CACAGGCGTGAGATAACGAAGGAAGGCCTCCTCTTCTCCCTACTGCGCGCTAGCGCCTTAGCTGCAGGTGTTAAAAGTGCTGTTAGTCGATTCCTCGTGGTCGGTTCTCCTAGATAGCGTGCTTTCCTAGCGGTTTCCAGAAAACTCGAAGTTGGTGTGTGTTGCTGTGGTCGGTTCTCCTAGATAGCGTGCTTTTCTAGCGGTTTCCAGAAAACTCGAAGTTGGTGATGTCTATGGCTGATAGTTTGGTAGAATGGCGGTGACTTTGGCGTAGCTGTGATTGGCCTTGTTCCTATGCGCCCTGCAGCATGCAGCATGCTTGCATACATCAACGGCCATGTCGTGGCACCTCGAGATTGATTATGTTGCGTCGTGATATGACGTCGGAGTCTAGAGCACAGCTAGCCACCGTCAAATCCCACATGTACGGAGGTGCCTTTCAAAAGTTCTGTCTGCCAAGAACAATTCAGCCGAAGTACGGCCGCCTTAGTCGAGGCTTGTCTCTTCCCTCTATATACTCATTACCACCTTGTAGCTTAATTATCTTTTAGACATGAATAAGAATCCGCTTAATCCAAGCTTGGATCTTAAGTTGAGAAAGGTCTCTCTAGCAATTCTGCTAGACTCTAACTGCCTCAGCCCTTGACTGTGGAGCTCCTTTCTTCGTAGTCTCTCTCTTTATATAGAACCAGCACGGCTCAATACAGTTACAGTCTGGCGAGTTGCCACACCAGAGTAGTCTCTCGACGTCGTGCAGACTATAGATCACACTCTGATAGTGGTGGGCGTGGGCAGGTGCCTTATCTTCCATCACGACAGTCTGAGGTCTATCTTGGAGGCACTCTTTGGCGAAAGGAATCAGCTTTGGTATCAGAATACAGTTCTGATATCTCCACCAGTCTATACCACCTCCAGGCTTACGCACCAGCTTGCCTGTATTCTCTGTCCATCTCCATTGAGGTTTTCTGCCAGGCTTGTTGCGCAGCCCTGTCCTCCTCATAGACTCTGACAGCTCCCACTCCTCTCTCTGTAGAGGTTCAAGCTCAGCGTTTAGCTGCTCAATCTTCCGAGCAGCATCCTCTTTCTCTGCCTTCGTCTCTAGCTAGTAGATATGGCATGGACCTTTCCTGTCATACGAGAAGCAGCCCTAGAACATAAACTTAGAGTATCCCTTCCACCTCTCACGGATACAGCTCTTAACTACTCTCTCGTCTGCTTTTCTCCAGATCCTATAGCCCCCACGTCAGTAGTTGATCACCACGGACGTCTCGTCTGTCCAGATGACATTCTTCCAGTCCTCTAACGTCTAGTCCTTGTGGTCAATCGCCCATCTAAGACGAGCACTCCTCATCTCCTGTGTCAACCCAGGCTTCCTCGTTGGCTTAGTCTTCTTGTATCCCGCTTCTCTTAATACCCTCCAGACGGTAGAGGCAGAGATTTCGACTCCTTGGAGACTGAGCGCACCAGCAAGGTCAGCGCAGCTCTTCTCTCGTCCATATCTATCGCGTCGTACTTGTTGAAATATCTACTCCTTCACCTCCTCTGTCTGCTTAGCAGGCCTGCCAGAGCGAGGGGCATCTTGAACGTGCTGTGGAAGGATCTTGAGAGGGAGAACGTTTAGCTCAAAGCCAGCAGCGATAGCTCTACTATAGATACGATTGACCGTACAAGGATTAACACTAGTCAGCTCTAAGATCTATGACGTTGACTTGCCAATAGGAGGTGACTTCAACGTTACAATTAAGACACGGGTGTAAGAATTAGTATTAGGAGCCATAGTACTAAGTAGATAGATAACTACAACTAATTAACAGCTTAGCTTAAAGGTGGGGGTTGCGCCAAGAAGAATTGCGCCGAAGGGCCGAGATTAGCGTCAGACAGAACTTTTGAAAGGCACCTCCGTACGTGTAGATCACATAAGGATATCACTCCACCAACAGCCATCCCCCCGCTAACTCGTCAGACCTGATGGCTCAAACTCATTACACGAATCGCATCTATTAGACCGGGGCGGCCCTATCCTCGTATTACTGCTATACGTATACCATGTTGAATCAGCGCCGTCCACGATATGTGCACGCCGTCTTACTCACCAAATAACTCTCACGTCACCGCAAACCGACCATGAGGATCAAAGCCGCTCGTCACGCCCACTCGCCCGCACCTCCACCAGGCCTCCGTGTCTCTGCAGAAACGCGTCCACGCAATCTATAAACCGCTCCAGCTCCTCCCAGGGCGTCCCCAAGATGACTGCTATGCTGCCACGGTTCGTAATCCAGAAGCCAGCCTCCATCATTTCCATCCAGAGGAGCGTACTCAAGTCGGCATCTGCGTCGCGATCCCGGCCATTCCTCAATTCCTTCCTACCGTCATGCAGGAAATGGATTCCCAGGATGGTCCCAAGGCCTGTGACGGTCATTTTCGTGCCCTGTGAGAGGGCTTGGAGGCGCCGCCGGAACTCGTCTCCCATTGCGTTGAAGTCACGACAGACATCAGGCGTGTACACGCTTGCCAGGCCTGTGTATCCCGCTGCCATGCCAAGCGTGTTGTTGTTAAAAGTCCCAGAGTGACCCATTGAGCTGTTATCTCTCGGATCATACACCCACATGAGATTTTCGCGTCCTCCAAAAGCGCCAAAGGCGATGCCGCCACCCAGGAACTTGCCCAAGGTAGTGATATCAGGCTTCAGTCCCACAAGCTCCTGCAGACCGCCCGGTGCCAAGCGGCTTGTCTGCACCTCGTCGAAAATGAAGACGGCACCGACTTTCTTCGCCGAAGCTTGGACCTGGTGCAGAAAGTCACGGGTTCCAACAAGACATGGGCCTCGCCCTTGCATGCCCTCTACAAGCACCGCCGCCACATCTTCCGACTCTTCGATCTTCTTCCTCGCATCTTCAACATCGTTGAACTCTGCAATGATCCAGTCGTCCCTGTCCACACAGTTCTCCGCAGGCTGGTTCTCCGGAAAATTATAGCAGCCCCCGTGATACCCGCCCCCAAACACAACCACCTTTCTCTTCCCAGTAAAACGGCGTGCGCCCTGTATAGCATGGAGATTTGCTTCCGTTCCTGAGTTTGTAAAGCGGATGAGATCGAGGCCGTAGCGCGCACAAATCAAAGCCGCATGTCTCGTTTCCAGCGTCGTCGTACCGCCCAGGTTGAGTCCAACAGCATTGATAGTATCAATGAGCGCGGCCTGGATCACAGGCTGCGAGTGTCCGTACAGTGCAGCCGTGAATTCGCCCACCAGATCCGTGTATGTATGCCCGTCTTCAGACGTGACCTGATGCCCTTTCCCGCTCTTGAGGAACACGGGAAACGGCGCTGTGTGCAGCACGCTGCGGGTATTGCCCCCGGGTAGCTGCTTGCTGGCTTCTTGGTGCAGTCTCCAGCTCTCTGGGTTCCGCGTTGTGAAACGCGCTGTCGCTGCTGAGACTGCCGACTGCGCCGTGGCATGTCCGCTCGTTGCAGGACCGGCAGTCGAAGACATGATCACCTATTATCCAAGTGTGTAATCGTAGTTCAGATCAAAATTAAAAGCTCTGGAAATACGGCTGTGATTATAAGTACTTACACCCCGCCGACCGAGTGTACGCCCCGTTCGACGTCCGCTGATCTCGGTATTGCTATTTCGGTATTCCGGTGTAGACATGGGAACCAATGCCTCGATAGTGTTCTGCATTGTGACTCACTGTTGGCGTGTTGCTTGCCTCCACAGATACCAGATACAGTAGTGCGAGGGCCCGCTGGCCTGGATGCGGAGTGCATAAGTAACTCGCCCCCCGCTTGTTGGGTGGCTTGATAGGCATTGCGTTGGCATTCCGACCTATTCCGACGCATTCCGATGGCCCAAATACCGATGCGTTGTATTCCTGCTGTTGACGTTGTACTGTGTCACTTTGTGTGGTACGTGCTTGGGTGGGAACATGTTGCTCTTAACTTGTGACTTGTGATGTTGTACTATCCTGCTATTTTGGAAGGGGATAAGTAAATCGTGATTCGGTTCTCCTGTAAGTAAAGATTTAAGGATATTCCAGCTGTCGACAGGGGTTTTGAATGAGAAAAACATTCTTGTTGTCTGTTGTTCATTATTTGGGTCTAAAGTCAATCTAGAAAGTCCTGCTAGATAACATCTTCAATCCAGGTAGTCTCTAATATGATAACGTGATTTGGCGCTCTTGCTTGCTCCCTGCAATCACCCACACTGCGACACAAGCTGATATCAGGCAGAAATTTCCCGCCAGCTTGGATACAAATTGTACTGACTTGCTGCTCTCTGCACTTGCGCTCACGTTTCGCATGTCTCGGTTATTTGCTTTTTCCCGCCCAACGACCACCGGTTGGAAAGGGGGCAAGGGGGGGCCCTGCTGGTGTACGCACCCAAATATAGCTGTTTATGGGCATCCTGAGCTGATCCTATCGCATGTCAACTTGCGAAGTCATCGACGGTTTACTGCATGTAAGACCCTTTAGGGCAATATGCTGACTCGCAGGAGCGGCCTCGAAATCTTACTAACCGCCTTTGTCTCGTTCTGGGAAATGGCATAAGCGCACACGCCCTACACGCTGACAGTAATCGATGGGGCCCAAGAGGGCAGGCGTTGGATGTCGCGCTGGCATTGTGTGAAGTGTATCAGGTGTGTCAGGTTGACAGTGGTTTGATCCTCCATAGACTCTGTGGGACTCTGTTTCGAGCGTCTGCTTGGCCCTGGTCATAGGTAGGAGCTTGACTCAGATATACTGAGCTGTCAAGACCTGTTGTGGGTGCATGCAAACCCTCCAGAGAGCCAGAAATCGCGATTCTACATGATATGCTTCGATTTACAAGGTGATATTACCATGATTGAAGTGTAGGGTTGATTGTTCGATAAGATGACCTGGCAAATCTTGATGCTACACCGCTTATCGCATCCGTACTTACCGAAATTTAGACAAAAAAGAAAACGATAAAGCAGAGCCATGACTTGCAATGTCGGGTAGATGCATTCAAGCCGTCTTTGACTCTAACACTATCCGACGTCCAGTCATGCCAATATTTCCAGTTCCTTTTGCGTGTGACGATGTGCAGCACAACTGATGTGTTGTACCATGCAGGACCACGCGATCTTGCAGCCAACCTGCAGGGGCCTCTACGAACACTGGGTTATTGAGTTTGAGTTCTGATATGGCACACTACCGACAGGGTGGGCTAAAACTTGGTTTTTTCTTCTTAACATGGCCCAACACCCAATCCTCGCTGCCCAACCCATACCTCATGCAAGCGGTATCACAAGTTCAAAGACTCATGATTGCTATTTGGAAGATCCCAACGTGGCACAGGGTAATTTTAGTCATGAATTACTGTGAAAGACGCCCCGTTACACACGCGTTTGCCAGCTCATCTGGGAGTGAAGCCCATCGCCAAGACTCTGATTTGCAGCCCATTTTATGCGATGCGATCGATATGCTGTTACAGAAACCTCTAAGCTATGTTGGTGTGGTACAGGTTGCTAAAGGTGTTTCAAGTGTTACCAATCAAAGCTAGTACTTCTAACTACTATAGGCTGCTGTTCAAGCCTTGAGAAGACATGGCGTTGATAGAAGAAAAAACGGGCGTTGTTTGGGCTGTCATGCTCATTTTAACATCGGTGTCCTTGAGCTGAAGGTATAGCTTTGGACGTGGTCATAAGGTGTTAGTGATCACTCGAGCACACGGATTCTCCCGTTTCACATTTACTCCTTTTAATTATGCTCTCTGGAGTTCTTGATTGTTTATGCCGTGCGCCTTGGCAGTTCTCATTTCTATGGAATATTTTCCCATCTACAGAAACCCCTAAATCAAGCGAAAAAAAAAGTACTTTGCAATGCGCATTATAATTTCAATCCAAAGAAGTAAACCTGTTGCTTGAACTTGGCGTTTGATCGCCCGTAAGAGACATGCACAACAACGTGCATATACAGGGCGACGCTAACACCATCACCCAAGAACAGTCACACCACGCTGCTAAACGTCATCAAAAATGTTGTTGGGAAAGATAGATAATCCGATTCACCAGTTTGAGTTCAGGGGGTTTGTCATAAAAGTGGCGACTCGGACGGCATCACCGAAGCAGACCAGAACGTTATTTTCATGACTTCGACACAGCCACCGAGTGGCGTTAGCGTATGCACATCGCTTGTGTAGGAACACTACTCCAGTTTTGCATCCAGAAAAATCTCGGGTGGCCATTTTCGGCATCACGGCATCTTTTTTCCTCCGTCTACTAATGCTGACGATGTCTGGTATAAGGAGATGGTCAGCGTTGGGGCTGGCTGTAAGTTCAGCAAGTGAGCATAAAAGTGAGCAACGTTTTCAGCTGAATGGTGCTCTAAACAGGACTGTATCCGAATACTCAGCTGTCAAGCTCCGCCAATACCATCTCCTATCTTCTATTGCCACTGTTGATCACATGGAATTGGCTTCCCATACACATATGTGGCAAAGTTCTTGGAATTTTTTTTCAGCATGTTCGGAGAAGCGGCTACGCCTGTTTTGAGGAAAGCATGCCTCCTAGCCAAGCGGCAAAAGACTTCCATGTCCTTCTATAGTGATGATTGGATGTCACTATGATCACGAACAAGGTAAGAAGACCGTGGGGTGACATGGTGTTATAAGCGTTGAACCAATGAATCCTTCTAGGCAGCATAGCCCTTCCCGTCGATACCAACTATTCGAGTCGACTAAACGAGACCGGACGCCACTCCAGGCATCGATACGATAGTCCCTGTGCTTTCATATATAGCCTTCTACCCCCTAGCTCTTCCTTGCCGCTCCATGCTCACCGACTCTAGGGCAACGACGAACCCGACATCCCACAACAGACTGAACGAAAACTACAAATTAACACAATACCCGTCAATACCCGAGAAGAAAATGTTGCGGAAGCAGACCCATACTGACTCTTAGGTCGCGTTTTCGAGAGCAGCTCCAAGCATGGGTGTGAAACGCACCGACACTCAAACTGGGACGCACCCTGGGGTTCACCCCATGTATCGTCCCGTAGGCAGCTCTTCTTCTTCAAAGCCTTGACTACCAGGACGATGTATTGGTCCAAATCTTGTTTGCGCGTTCAATCCTGCGTGGTTCTCGTTGGGCGAGGCTGTGTGTGGTGATAGGCTGCCCTGCTGTTGCTGATAGGATACGCCAGGTATTAGCGATAATATGGACATGGTTGCGCCTTGCTGGGCCCACGTCGGTCCTCTTGATCGTCGTTGGGCTCCGTTAGCTTGAAGAGAATGATCCTCGCCGACCCTGGACCCTGGATGGATACGTGCCCCAAGCTCCACATCGCACCTTTAGTCTGCCCGACTACCTCACTTCTTCCTCACCTGTTCCCCTCATCAGCATTTCATACTTCGACGTCTCAGGCGGGCTCTGTACATACATCCAAACTGGTCGAGATAGCTTCTTGACATGCTGACGCAGCACAACAAGTGCTGCCTGCTTTGCACGTGTGTGCTGACGGCCTCTCTCGGCAAGAAACATTTCTAGCATTGCCTGCCCAGCTTTCCCCCAGCAACGACTTGCTCAGACTTGCTTAGACTTGCAGCCCCACGAAGAAGGCCTGTCGCAAACGTATACCGAACGCCGACAAAAGAAAATACAAAAGAAAGACCCCTTTGCACGGAGCAACGAATGCGTGATGGTGTTCGGATTAGGCAGCAGCCTGCCTACGTTCTAAAAGACAAAGGAAATAGCATGGGTGGAGCATGCCAGACATGATGTGTGTTGGATCGTCCAAGACATAGGAAAGAGACGTAGTGCCATGTGTTGGGAGGTATGAAGCCAGCCCACAGTGGAATCGTTGACAACCAAAGAGAGCAAGAGAAGGACACAAAGAAAGAGAAGGATTAGTTTTGAGGGGCACTGTTGCCGAGGAGAGCCTATCTCGACCAAGCGGAGATGTCTTTCAAGTCCATATCTTGGACTCTGCCTCTCGAACGCCGTGCCGATGCACTTCCAAACAAGAGTTCTGGGTGGTGCGCTTTGTAATGCTTCCTGCGAGCATCCGACCGTTGGAATGTTTTTTTGCATGTACTATGCTCACATTCCAACGGCCCGAGATCATGATGAGATCCCTTCTCATGTCTCGATCTGTTGCCTCCCGCCCATTTACCGCTAAAGGTGGAATCGCAACCAGGGTATCTACATTCCAAAACCTCGTCGGTATAGTTGGATGCAGTACCAGGCGTAGAAGCCTCTGTGATCTGGGATGGCGCATGAGACATTTGTCTGCGTTTTCGTGAATGCGACGGATAGCCGGGCTCTGACCGGGTGTATATGTTGGGATATCCTCGAAAGTCTGTTGGTATTCCAGCTCTTGGTCCGGAAGTGTGGAAGGCGTTCAAAGGAGACACGGAAGAGCCGGGCTGATAAGAGATAGGGGTTTCCATTTGACCTGGGAAAGGGGCGTGTTGGTAAAGGGGCACATGCTCTCTTGGCATAACATTGGTCATGGAGTCATGTGAATAATTCATGGACGACAGTGGGGTTCCGAAATCACTTTGCGTTGAAGGACCCCAGCCAGAGTTGTTAGGAGCGGACGTCGAGCGTGTTGTGTTCGAAGGGTATTGCTCAACGCCCATCGGCATCAGCCCGGTGTATGGGTTAGGCCGTCCGCCTTGGACGGCACCTACGGGGTTCCAAGGCTCTGAATTCCGGACAAGTGGCATTGCGCTGAACATCGCACTCCGTGCGACCATCATTGCACTCGAGGTTGCCTCCGTGGAGGACTGACCATCTTGTTGGTTGTATGGTGTAGCATCCATCCCGGACCCCAGTTGCTGGTTGAGGTGACCAGAAAACAGTGACATGTTTTCCAAGTCACTGCGGGAAGTGCCATCAAGTCGGTGGTAAGCTGGACCAGTTTCCTGTGCTAGATTGAAATTACTAAATTGGTACAGATCGTCTTGCTGAAGCAAGTCTGGGACCTGGTCTTCTGCATCTGCAGGCACTGGCTCAATCGAACAACTTTCCGATCTCGCATGATGATCGTGGTGGGTAGATCCTGCATGGGCATTCTGCATCAAAGCAAGGTTGGCCCGGCCGCCATGCTGTTGGGTCGATGCCCGAGGGACGTAATAGGGGCCTAGAACCCTAGTCTCATCGGTGCCATAGGAAGGGAAGGCTTGGTATGGGTCGTGGTACCTCGACCCATCCATGTCCATGTTCTCGTTCTCCATCTCGATAATTATTGGTGTTGGCAAGGCGATGATGAAGATGATAAAGATGATGAGGAAGAGGAGGGGAGAAAGTAAGAGGATGCTCAGAGGATGGAGAAGAGATGGAAAAGAGGATGGAAAAGAGGATGAGCAAGAGATGGAGAGGAGGATGAGGAAGAGGAGGGGAGAAAGTAAGAAGATGCTAAGAGGAAGAGGAAGAGGAAGAGGAAGAGGAAGAGGAAGAGGAAGAGGAAGAGGAAGAGGAAGAGGATGAAGAGAGGGATGAAGAGGAGGAGGTGCTGTTGGAGCGCAGCTGCTGGGTATTAAGAGAAGGCCTTCTGAAATCCGTGAACGGTCAACCAAGGAGGCTTCAAGTACCTCAGAGCACAATGGCAGCTCAGGATACGACGCTTGGTCGAGCGATGGACCTCCGCGCCGGCAGACTCTTGGCGGCGATCACTAAGCTACAAGCCAGTGACCGAACAAGGTTGTCCAACGCCCTATCCACCCACTTCTGATGTGGTATTCGATCCAGACTGGAAAGGCTCTGGCGGGTGGCGGGAGGCGTTGAGGGCTTGATCGATTTACAGTTTGCTCGCTAGGGTTCACGGTTCGTTCGGCGGCGTCAACAACGGGTACTACTCTTATGTGGTGAGCTTGTGTAGGGAGAGGTAGCAAGAAGGGACATACTAGTCGATCCAGAAGACTTCTACTCAGGCCTAGTGCACCTGACGCCCAGCCTAAGCCTCGCTCTTCTATCTGCAGAGTAAGAGTTCCTCGACCTCGCATAGACTATTGGATACGTTCCCCTAGACGACCGGGCGCAGCTGTAGCGGCAAAGCGGAAAGGGATGTCGTTGAAGATGATGAGGATCAAGAAGGTGGAAGGTTGACGAAGAGCTACAAGTGCGTCGTGTGCGGCGGCGCGGTACGTGGGCCTCACTCTTCGGACTCGGAAAATAGGGGACGATGGATGAGGGGTATCTCGATTTTGAACTATCAAAGAGTCGAATCTGTCAGTGAACTCGAGGGGCTTTTGAAGCAGTGTGCTGGGCTGTCCTCAACGAAATCACTTACCTTGGGCGCGTCCTCCGGGATGGCGGGCTCCGCAAGTAGCGCGTCCAGCACCGCGTCAACCCCTGCAAAATCGGTTGCCTTCTTATGACGATATCGCGAGGAAGCCAATGCTGAGATACAACCAGGCCGCACCAATGGTGGAGAAAGATCAGAGAGTCGGTGTAGGACGATGGTGATTGGGAAAATAAAACTGGGCAGTGTGCGAATAACCCTCATCGCAAGGCCCAATAGCTATGGGAGAACACGGAAGCGCTCAAGCCATAGCAGAACCCCTCGCATCGGGACAAGGCAAAAAAGGCGGCTACGGTAGCCACGTATGCGACGTATGTACAGGCAAGGACACATGGCTGCTGTTGTCCCCCGTTTAAGGGTATGCTTCGAGACGATTTGAGTACACACCAAGGAACCTTCACATTCTGGGGTGCAGCTCCTTTTCATTGACTTTCCAGAGCGCTATGCCCTCGCAATGATCTAAATGGAGGTGCATATGCCATGCAGCCATACCACACCATGCGGAGCTGTCATGCAGAATCGACAGCTCCGCGCTCGCAGCCACGTCTAGCACCAGTGCCAGAATGCATACATAGCATATCCTGCCAATCCAACCAGACAACTGGTATGATGCAGCAAGAGCTCGCAATCCGCACCACCAACACATGCCGCTTCTTACCACACCCATCTTTTTATCAGAGGCAGGACTGCTTTGCATTCGGTTCAAACACTGCGAGTGAATCCCCGCACGAGATGGACTCGAGCTACATCCCTGCCTCGGTAGCGGGCGACACGCCATGCCTGCGACACGGCTGGCTGCGCCGCGATCGAGCAGCTAGAAATGCCGCTCCCATGCGAACCAAGTCTTTTCACACAGTTGGCGCGAGTCTTCCTCACTCGACTAGTCTGCAGTTATCTTTACTCCTTGGAGCGAGGTGCATGCGGCCATTCCCCATCTTCGTTCTCTTGTGGGGGTTTTAATTGCTTGCGCATTCACACGAACTGCTCAGGTGCGCAGAGTGGTTGGTCAAAAGCCACAACTCGGTTACCCCCCCACAAAGCCGGCATGTGTCAATCCTGTGCGCCAACACGTATCCGATGAATTAAGGAGACAAGCTACCCCAATTTTTCGCTGGAAAGGATGGGGAAATCACAAACCTCTGCCGTCAAGTAGCAAATGTCGGGTTCAGAGCGAAGAGTCAGCATGGCGCAGTTGGTATCTGAACCGCCGTGAAACATGGATCTGCAGAAGATGGAAACGTCTCGCCAGCCATAATTTTCAGCCTCATCGCTTCAGGCGCCTACGGCGCAATTACGCATCCGTATGAGTTTGCGGCAAAGATACCACATCACGGGAGTGGCAGATAGGTGCAAAACCAAACACGTGGACAGAAGATCCCATCCAAGGTTGGCCCCGCAGGACGTTGTGCCACCATCTAGCCCAGTGCGGCGTCTAATCAGAAACCAATACCAGTTGGCTGTTTTATGTATCGCTGAACCGTCACATCCATTCACAAGCTGCGTACCTCAACCTCCGAGCATAGATTTCACATCTTTGGACAGCTCTTTGAAAGAAGAGTGTATAATCATGCTTGCCGAACAGCGCATCGCATATCTGGTTGGATGACACGCTCGGGGCGTATCAGCTGCTCAAGTCTTCACACAATACCAGCGCCTCGTAACAACATCCGGGTCATGGCACGAGTTGGATCTTTCCCGTAACTCGGGCCGGCGCGGGATTTGGGTATCTATGTTGCTGGCCCAACCTTGTCTTTCGTCAAAACTGTATAATCACTGAGTTTTGGGAGCAGAGCCGCATAGATAACAGCACTTAACCCTCAACCCATCCGCCAAGACTCGTCGCCGCTCTTGTTGTCGCCTCGCCAATACAAAACGCCCATGTCAGCCTGGCCGTGGGGTTCACCGCCATTCATTTCTTCAAAATCCAGACATTTGGGATGCATGCAAAGTGTCGGTGACGTTGGTGCCAATTGGCATTGATTCACCACATCAGATGCGGCCCAACCGTGTCTTGCTGGCCAAGTAGAGAGGAAGTGTACATGTGCACGGGTTCATTTGCCTCGAGCAGGGAGTAAGGTGTCTACTTACGAAGTAACACCTGCATACAGTTTGAAGGCCCAGCGCAGGCCTTGTTCAATGAGCTAGCATACAATTCGGTGTCATTGGGTCTCAATCCAATGTGCCCAACGAACCTGCATCACCCACAGTACACGCACAAACACAACTGATAGAGTTGATCACACACTCGGCCTTTGGAAAGAAATGGAGACCTCGAGTATCCATTGTGTACTATGGCGTTTCTGCACGCATACATACGTCTGCCATCGACACACCCGTGAGATAGGGCTTGTGACTAACTTTGAAGCCTATTTGCGCTATAGACGATCCCATCTGTCACCGGAAGTGACGTCTATCACGAATCCCTGCAACCATAACTACCCAATCCTAATAGTCCACGGGGAGGAAGGCAAGATTGCATCCACTAGTAGCAAAATCCTATGGATCACGACTCGTGCGCCGTGCATCACGGTCTGACTGCGCACAACACATACCAATGCCCAACGTCACATAACCGGTGTCCCTATTCCCAGGCGGCCCGATGAACTGGTAGATGGATTGCAGCCAAATACATCCGCGACGCACTTTTTTTCCTCTTTGAGTTATACGCTGCGACGTACAGAGTCGGAACCACCAAGACAATGGAGCCTAGGCCGGCCCAAACACCCAAGATCCTTCCGATTTCTTGCCTGATGAGGGCTGAAACAGGTGATTGATTAACAGGCTCTGCCAACCCGCCCATATTCATACAAGCTGGAAATTTTCAAGTTGCCTGATAGTATGGCAGACCGAAGGTTGGCTGTGGCATGCTACCATGAGCACCGTTGATGCATTAGAATGCATGCATGTGGAGCAAGTGCAAGCTCGGCCGCCCCCTCCCTCTCCGTACTTTACATGCAGACCACATGGGTCTTGAAACCAGACTGCTTGATTGGATGCCATATTTGGACATCTCACCTGGCCGGTGGGTCTTTGGGTATACTGCTGCAGCGTTGCACAAATAGAAACCTGGATGTTCGTATTTTGGACATTTGTGCATTCGATACTGCACCTCACCCCGGCTCTTCTAGGCCCGTATGCATCTATAGGGTGGCCTGCGGCGTCGACTCTCATGACATCACACGGCAGCATTTACCACCTTGGAACTGATTGGCTACGTAAGAGCCTCACGCCTCGACGCGACAATCCGGAGACTCGGCTACACAGCCGTATTCACGTATTCACAAAGGCGCCACCTCTCAATTTACCGTCTTCATGGTAGAGAAAAGTATTGGTATTACTGAAAGTACTAAGACATTACTGCAAGACTCTGTCCTGTGCGAGCCACTCGGGATCGCTCCAACTACGTAAACCAGCGTCGAGGCTATCAAAGCCGAAAAGATACTTACGGTCGCAAGCGACCGGATGGGAGAATTACCAGCTCCTGATCTGCGCCACGATACACGGATATCGTAGCCGATCACATGAACTGCGTCCAGCACTAGTTTGCATTCCGTTTCTTTGGCCTCGCATCGGGCAAACGGTGTTTCTTCCACTCGTGTTTCTTGGTGGCGTCTGCTCGGTTATAGGCTCGCTTGCAAACACGACATGCCTTTCCCACGGCCGACGCCAGCGGGTTGTGGAAAGCGAGATCGTGTCTTTTCAAATTGCCTTTGCGATATCTGTTCAAGTGGTCAGCCTGGGCATTAACCTGGGAAAGGTTGCCTTGGTGTTACGTACTTGCCACGAAAAGCTTTATCGCATTTGCTGCAGTGGATGATGCTGGCATCCGCTTCCTCCCGGGTTTCGGGGTTTGAATTGACCTCGGTCAATTGTTGCTCTTCACGCGCTGCGTAGGGCTGTGGCGATTGTCGCTGATTATACGATTGGCCGATATGCAGCGGAGGTCGTGATGGGCTCGCTCTCATCGTCGGGTGGTTCGCAATCTTGGTATTGCTTGTTTGAAGGTCGTATTCGAGTTGGTGCTGCCATGCACGATGCCCCTGGTATTCATGAATACCAGGCAAGATGCTCGACTGGTCCCATGTTTGCGAGAAAGGGGCTTTGATGGAGCTGCCTGTCGCAAGCGATACATTGCTGCTGGCAATGCAGGTTTCCGATCCACTGGAGTATGGCGACGGGGAATATCCCACATGATTTCCGCCATGGAATGCGGGACGCTCAACACCTGAGCCTTGAGCGAAATAATGCGGTTGCTCAGCAAGACTCACGCTGGAAGACAATGCACAGTGGTTCTGCGAAACGAGGTTTAACGACATGGGCGACATGGTGGGCGTGGCCCAAGAGCTTTGCGAAGGTGAATGAATCTCATGAGGCAACCCCATGCTCCTTTGGACCTCAATGCCAGACGAAAACTGCATGCCGTAGCTTACGTCAGTACCAGGCGTGTCAAGCGAGATGGGCGATGAATTTTGGGACTGTTGGCAGCTTGTCATACCAGGATCCGGAACGAAGTACTGTTGGGTGTTTAGACTCCAAGGCAGCCTGGAATTTTCGAGATTATCTGGCGTCTGGGGTGCAGCATGCTCGAAAGCGCTATCGTACTCGTGGACTGGATATCCGAGCCACGTTTGGCTGGTAACAAAGCTCGAATTGGCGCTTGGCTGCATGGGACTTTCTAGCTCCACAGGTAAAGGCCCTGCGGGAAGTTCGGCAACAGGGCGATCACTCGGAAGCTCATGCACCTGGGAAGAATCGAGATTCTCACAAGGCGGCTCGTAAGCTGGCGGGGGCTCGTTGGGGTCGGCGATGCGGCAGCTTTCAGAGTACATTGGATGGATGGATCCGTCGTGGTCGACGGTTGCGTGGCTTTCGGGGTGCATGTGTTGGATTGTCATTACAAATCGACGAAATCTCCAGGTACGATGTCGATAACAGGTTGGCTTGTTATCTTGACAGTACTCTAGGGATGAAGCGAATGAATCGGCACTGGGCCCTATTGCCTGCTCGGTAAGGCCGTGATTACGTGTGGAGATGCTAGACTAAGGTCAGTCAAGGGAACATGGAAAACAATTGCTAATGGAACAGGATTGGTTGCTCACGTGATTCTCAAGCGACGCTTCGGTTCGAAGTGGATGAGCATTGCTATGAACGTGGGGTACTGCTCAAATATGTGGCAACAAACTCATGGCGGCGAAGGACCTTATCAAACTTGACTTTGTCCAAAATAATGGGAATCATCTTGGGACTTGAGTCTTCCTGGAGGACTTGCTAGCCGATAGCACAATCATCGTACGACACCACCAAGTGGAGATGCAATCTAAAGGACACCTTACATCGACAGAAGACTGGATTGATCGCTATCATGACGCACAGATACGCTGTTTCAAGAGTCGGAAAGTAAAAAAAAGGCAAAAGGCAAAAAGGCCGCCAGAGGACTCGACATTACTCCATGCACAGCTGGGAACCATCTGTACGTGCGCACGCATACGACAGCTTCATTCGAGGAGATTGGCTTCCGGCCAAGCCGTAGCTTGGATTCGAATAGATTGCCGTGGAGCTATTGGGCGAACGCGGGTGGCAATTTGGTCCTTGTTGTTGCCTTGAGGCATCGTAAGGTTGGGGTGTTAGCCAAAAGACCATACGGAGAGGCGTCAGAGTCAGCGGGCCAGTTGAAAAAAGCAAGAAACAATGCCGCGGCACTCGTCCATACGCCAAGCCTGACTCCGCTGCAGCGGAGGACTGCGATCGACGCCTGCTGCAACGACGTGTTCCAGGCCCTCTTTGTACGCCGTTTGCCTAGATCGGACATTGTCTGTCGGAGGGACTCCAGGATCATGCTCGAGAATAAGTCCGTCTGTTCTCCGGATCCCCGATGGCAGCAGAGGTAGCGATAATTCGTCAGTGCGTCGTAATGTCCATGTCTGCGGTGGAAGTGTTGGGTATTCCAGGAGGAACACCTGCAAAGGTGAGGGGTTTTCCACACATGGCGTGGGGTTGGCCCGAGAAGACTCCCAGAGCTGCGTCCAATGTCCCTGGAGTGTCCAACGCGCTGTTCGTAACGAGCCGAGGGAATTCGAAGAGTCCGGATTTTTTTTCCCAGCCTCATCAGGAGGCATTGCCTCAGATATACCTCTAACTTGCACTGCCTACAAAGATGTAAGTCAGGATGCTGTATCTCAGCCCCCAAAACGGCTCCAAGGAAATTCCCACGAGACTACAAAGGATGAGCATTTCGGGTCGAAATCAGCGGCTGTGAACCTGTGGATTCTGCCTTGAGTCTGCCTTTGTAGAGGCTTAGTCGACGCATGAGGCTCTATGGATGGTCTTGTGGGGCCGAGAAGGTTCGCATTATTCACACTGGCAGCCTTGGATGTTTCTACATCCAATGGAAACTGTGTTGGAACGCCATCGGAGGCCGCAGCACGGCCATGACAGTATGCAACCGGCAGAAGCCGCGACAGCACCGTCGAGCCTGGCGGCTACGCATGACATGGCGCCATCTCGACATGTCTCTGACTCTAGGATGCCCCAACTTCCCCTGCGTCCTGCAGGAATCAATCTCTCAGGCTTCTGCTGGATGTCAGTCTGTCCTACTGCAAGCCCGCCTGGCGCAATCGGCCATCCCAACACCATTCAGCCACCGGCTGACGTGCACGCTCTCGAAACGGAATCATAGGATCGCCGATAAGTGTCCCATTTGGTACCACGGTCAGATCACTCGCCTGGCATGCACCGCACCAGGTATCCATGAAGCAGACCAGCCCTCGCGTTAAATGCCGTTTTCATCCAGACTTTGGCTGGAGGGTGCGCATTCGTGCTCAGCACGAGCCATTTAGTGGTCAGAGCTCACGGCTCGGCACGTGCCCAACGACAGATCGGCCAAGACGTCATCTTCTCTAGGTCTTTATTCGCACGTCACCGTTTACCCTTGTCGCGTCGTCCCATACCACGACGACGCCCAGCAACAGGTCGGCAAATATCATGGACGCGACTGACATGTCCTTTACAGCAAGACGGCAACAGCCCCGTAGGGTGGCGCCCAAGACTCACTCAGGATCCTGGCGTGTCCTCCCCGTGTGGACAAGGCCATACCAGGCCGCTTTGCTGATTATGGCCAATCCTCAGCAGAGTCGTAATCATCAGGCCACTTGCTCCGTCTTGCAATTTGTCGTATGTCCTCCGCTGGCGCCATGGCATGTGACATGATCGTAATGGCGCGGCCCTCCCATCGCAGGTCGCCGTGGCCGTTGGCGAGGGGCTCGGTGTGCTCCACTGGCTTATCTCAGGCGTGTTCCCGCTGGTTGCCTAGCGGGGCTGCCATCTTGTCTTCCGCCGTGGGTCAATCCAGACGTATCCCTCTGATGAACGACTGGATGAGAGGCATCCCCGGAGTGCATGTGGACCTGCCTCTGCATCGCTCCTTGTCACTCGCAAAACCATTATGCACGGTGCATGACAGATTTTACATGACACTTTCCGCCGACACTTGGCCGGGCAGATCGGTGGTGATCAGGATGCCCAGCCGCTTGTGCAGGGGAATGATGCGGTTTCAACACAAATAGTAGCACACTCGACCTATCTGGCGGAGGAATTCAGCTCTCGCCGAGGGCGAGGTATAATCCCCGCGTCCTCTGGCGCTGGGCGCCCGCCATGTATGCCGCACCACAACACCAAGCAAAAGGGCCCTCAGCACCATCGTCGGAGTCATCGAGTCCCTCAAGCCGTTGACTGGTTATGCGTGTGCCAACGCACCCACGGCGCAATCTCTCAACAGGCGGCCTCTCTTAAGATAGATACATGTTTCAGACTAACGGTCCTCGATCCCGGTGACTGCGAGTCCTCCTCGCCGACTATCCTTTTGCAGTACCGGTGAGCGGTAGCGTTATTGCCTGGAGGCCTTGATCAGCATACCGGTCAATGGTGTTGCATGGCGACTGCGCCCGTGTGCAGTGTCAGTGTCAGCGAGCGTGTCACGGCTGCTCGGCGCGCATCGCCATGTCCGAGGCACGACGGAAAGCGAAAATTCACAACGGGGACTTGCAATGAATATTCACCATGTGACAATTCGACATAGAAGAATATGCGTACGTCATTGGGATCATACTGGTATGCGTACATACAATGTGAGGCGGGGCCGTTGCAACGCCACGAAGACTCGCTCCCAAGAAAAAAAAAAGGAAAAAGGGAAAAAAAGGAAAGCAAGTAAGTAAACGTGATTCTCGGCCGCGAGGCTGAGCTCAGTGGCTTGGACCCCACCACGCGCGCCTACCAGAGAAACCAAAAAAAATCCCCAAGCAGCCAAAACCGCAATAAGCGCCGATAAGTAGGATTCCGTCAACCAAAGAGAGAAGGAGAAAAAAAAGGGGAGAGAAGATCGCGGAGAAAACCCAAAGCACAACTCCGAGAGCTGAAAAAAAAACATAGCCTTGTCGCCCATTGCCCCCCCCCTACGTAGGATAAGAAAAAGAGAAAAGGGAAGTAATTTATATATGGGCCGGGGAAGTCCTCGTGGAATTCAATAGTGAGAAGCATGGCTTCTCACGCGGTAATACCCGTCGCTTTCGTTGTCGTCAGATGCACCCTCCCGCTCGTCGTGTCCACGCGCCCTGTACTCCTGGAACGTGTCGTCGTAGTCGTAGACGCGGCCATCCCGTCGCACGCCCCAAATGCCATGGTATGGCGGGGAATAATCGTGCTCGTGCACTTGACGAGAAGAGGTGTTTGCATGGGGAGCAGGGTACCGCGAACGCTCGGTCTGGACGCTCTCGGGCGGCTGCTGCAATTGGCTCGCCTGTGGTGCTGGTGCTGGTGCTGGTGGAGCGTGGATGCTGGCCGACGGATAGCCAAGGACATTTCCGCCATTCGCATGCGCATGCGCATGCCCGCCGCCGTGGCCGTGTGGGTAGTATCGGCTATCTGGGTATGGCTCACGGTGCGCCGATCTCAGGTGCATGGGCTCCAAAGCGGGATTGTTGATTACGCGTTGTAGACGCCTGTAGTCGTCGCGGGGGGGACGGGCGACCTCTCTGTAGACAGGATCGTATGCCGGGCTGTACTCGTCATGCTGATGCTCTCTGGAAGACGAGGCTGTGTTGGCTTGGGCCCGGCCAGACTGCGTCTTGTTAGCCGTCGGAGGCCCCATGGGTGTAAGTAGGAGCAAATATGCATCTTTCTTACAGCTTGTCCAGCACGGTTTGGGCTTCTGCGGCCACTGGTGCGGTCTCTGTTGCTGGCGAACCCGTCGGAGGCCTGCCCCGTGTAGCGGCTGTGAGGCGTCATGTTGCACTTGGGGAGTAGTGTTGTAGTGCAAGTTCAGGCGAGGGCGTATACGGCCAAAGTGACTTCACGAGCAAGTCACGAGGTGTGGCGAGGGCAGAAAGCTCAAGTCACAAATAGGCGTAGGATGTCACACACAAATCACGCTCAATAGGTGCTAGTGCGAGTGGTGTCAAGATGAGGGGAGAGGGGAGAGGGGGGGGGAGCCTGCTGAAAGCGATTGGCTGACGAGTCCAACGTGTCAAGAGGTGGTGGTGGTGGGGATGGTGAGATGGATGTATCAGTCGTGAGCCAAGTAAGACTTGAAGGAGCGCAGAGAAGGGAACGTCGCGACATGCCAGCCCGGGGCCAGGCATGCTTTAATAGTTGGGGCTCATCATAAGAGAGAGGTACGCAGCGCCACGTTCGGTGACTTGGTCCCTCCGTCGTCGTCCTCAGTCCTCAAGGCACACTTCGCTCTCATAAGCTCCCACGCCCCTTGGCAGGCCGCGATCCAACTGGTAGCGGATAAGCTCGAGCCACGCAAGGTCAGGACCCCGTACCTACTCTCTCCGCCTCGGCTGGGCGCGCCAGGCAGATCGGGCACCGTGACATTTTGCTGCGCTGCTACTCCACTGCGGTGATCCCGCAGGACCTCGTTGGGCAGTGGATACTGCCCATGCCGGTCCAGATGCACAAAAACATCACTTGTGCTCGTTTACCTCCTATACATATTTTCGCCACGTGGAAGACAAACAGACCCACTAAAGGGAAGTCATTATGCGTGTGTAAATGTAGCCGCGTGGCTTGGTAATCCAGTGCCAGGCCAACGCAAGCCAGGAGGGCGGGCCGAGTTAGACGAGCGCATAACAGACATGCGGATGCGGTGACCCAAGCGAGAAACGCATACTTGGTGCGCTAACTGGTTGGAGAGAGAAGACTGCATGGCAAGGTCCTGGTACCAGTACTTGTCTGATTGTGGGCCAACGAGACGAGCCGCTAGCAAGGCTTCTTTCGTCCTAACGCCTTTTTTTTAGGGAGGCGCCTCCGATATGGTTAATCAGATTGGCCGTGTCGAGTAAGACTGTGAGGCTTTCCGGGGTGGGGGGGGGGGGGAATGACACAGTGCCCTTGGAGAAAAACCAGTATTTTGATCGTGATCGGTAAAGTCAAGGGCGCAAGTCTGGTAAACCGTCGTCTGTGATTGGCGTACTGGGTAAGGACGTCAGGGCCCATCCTCCAGAAAAAAACAGCCATTGCATTCGTATATCCCAAAATAGCAAAGGTGGAGGGTGGCACGTCGTCTATGTATCCGTGTGGTAAAAGCTTGAAGGAGGCCTGCAGCCCTGCGTGCGTACAGCCAATTGGCCGGCGGGGGTCTGGCATATCATGGCTGAAGCAGCCCTATGCCCGCCCGCAACGTCACATGAAGGGGGGGGGGGCATGCCAGGATGAGCGACAGGAAGACGAAGGGGGCCACGTGTGCCGCCCGCATTTTTGTAGTTGCAAGTTTTGTGGCTGTATACGCATACAGGTCGGCACGGCCGAGGGGGGGGGGAAGGCTTCTCGTCCCTTCGCGCGGCCAATAGTAGAGGGGCTGGTAGCGGTGAACAGAGCATGCATCCATGTATTACCCAGCCACTCTTTCCCACTTACTTGCAAGTATGTATGTACATCTGCAAGCCCAAGCCCTCATCAAAAGAAATCGAACAGTACTAGCCCGAATACAGTTAGAGACTGTTCGGTTTCTTTTGAGGATGTGGTGGTGAGCCCTTGACGGCCTTGCTAGCGGAGCCACCACGTGCCCGTTTGCCACACGCCTAAAGCGGCGGCTTGCGGGAACTAGACTGTAGCGACATTGGCGTACAGAACCTGGTGTATGTATGTATGGATGGATGGATGCAAACCCTGGCTATTGTTCCCTGCAGCGCGTACGACGCCCACTCGTTCCATCGATAGCCATCCATCTCGAGTCATGGAGCCGCATCTCGTCAGTGCTGCCACTGCTGCCACTGCTGCTGCTGCTGCTGTTGCTGCCAGGACTCGCACTCGGGAAGTGGGACCTACCTGGGGTAGCCGAGCCGTGACCCCTCCCTCTGGGCCCGTCTGTAATGTAGTGCGTCATGCGGCCGATGATGATGAGGAATCAAATCTCCTGAATCGTATGTGCAGAGATGGGGTATTGTTGGCTGCTGCATGACGAGAGACTGCTGTGGTGTTGAAAAAGTTTGTTCGTGAGCACCGTTAAGTGATAGGCGCCAAAAAAAAGGGCGTCTGGCGTGGTGGCACAGATAAGAGGGCAATCCGGAGATAACACGGTCCCCCCCCTCGTATCTCCGCTGCAGCCCCCCCCCCCCGCCAAATGATCTCACCCCCAAGCATCCACTCGAACTCCACTCAACCTCTCGCCCTCTCGACGCGCAACCCACAAACCGGCAACCAGCAACCAGCAACCCGGAAACTGGCAGCTAACAGCTAAACAGCGCGCACCTGGCACCTGTCAACTGTCAAGCCCCCCCCCACTTCCCCCATCCACAATGCCGCGTCTCGACACGCTCCCCCCCGAAATCCTCTTCAACATCCTCTCATACACGGAGCCCATTCACAGCCTCACTCTGACTTCGTACCCGCTCAATGCGCTCGCCGCAACCAACAAGCAACTGAATGCCGTAGCGGAAGAGTACGCGCGCAACCTGCTGAAGCGGCACGCGGATATCGTCCCGCCGCGCAGCGCCAAAGTGGTTACGTGCCGCCGCAAGTGGCTGGGCGAGCTGTGCTACGTGTGCAAGAAGAATAGCAAGCGCCGCGCGTGCTTGTACCGCGCGCTGACGTGCTGTCATGCGTGTGACAAGGCCATGTTTGCGAAGATGGTATGTTTTGGAAAAAAAATTTAAAATTATCAAATGAAGATTTCTTTTTTACTTCATACAGTTTGCTACTGTAATACTACACTCTGTCTGCTGTATATTTTGCTCGTATTCTTCTTCTTCTTTTTTTTATCTTTGTTTTTTTTCTGTGTGTGTGTGTGTATGTGGACTTGACAGCTGATACACGCAATCCAGACCATGACGCAAGCCTCGCAGCAAACACACCTCTCGAAACTGGATTTGTTCACGCCGTCGCCGCTGCACCCGCACCTGCCGCCGCTGGCAACGGGCACGTATCCTGTGCTCGGCGGGGTCGCGACGATGCTGTCGACGCCTGATGTGCTCGCACGCAGCGCGTACATCCGATCGCTGCTCGGCGACAAGGCGCACGACGACGGCTTCATGCGCGTGCGGCCCGCGACGCACGACCGCATCATCAAGCACCTTAATATCGAGTACTACGATGGCAGGGGCTGGCTGGAGATGCAGGAGCGGGGCGAGCAGGAGGGGGAGAAGAAGGCGCCCAAGAGTATGGCAACGAGGGAGAGTAGGAGGGCGTATGCGGAGAAGGGGTTGAGGAAGGAGTGGGAGGCGCTGGGGGTGGAGGGCTACGATGATGTTATGTTGGGGGTGAGGCGGCTGGGGGGAAAGGGAAAGGGAAAGGAGGCGGTTGGTGGGTCGGTTGAGGCGCCGGTGGTGATTGATTGATTGATTGATTGATCAGGAAGTTGAGAGGATTCATGGTTTCTGGCAGTATTGGTTGCGGCATGTGTGCATGTGTCAAGTTGGGCACTTTTTTTCTTTTCTCACAGGCGCAATATGGTGATTGTGATACCCGAGGGCAATTCTGTAAGCGTACAACATGTCATAGTAGTTTGATTTATGGTCAAGTATCCCTGCTATTAACAGCCGTGATATAACCATGTGCTAGAAGGGGAAAGCCTACTACTCGAGCTTGACCCACGGCTGGCACACCCAACCAAGTACAAGGACAGTGCACGATATCCAGCGAATAATCAGAGAATCTGACCGAAGCAGGAATCCGTCAATCAACCCCAGTCTGATTATTCAGCAGCTTGAGATGACGCTGCAGTCCAAGTTTCAACGCATCCTCATCTTGGGCGGCGACTACTTCTCCCAGGTAAAACACGACTCGTGGACGCATCTTCTGCAGAGGAGCCAACAGTGGTTCTTTGTGTTCCCAGCCAACGCCTTGGGACCTGTCAATCACCGATAGGGTAAGACTGGTCAGACACTTTGCGTCACGATGCAGCAGCCGAATAATATCCGGCAGCCAGTCGCTCATAAAGTAGGGCCATTTGCTCAGGTGCTGCTGCAGGTACCGTGGTTCAATGTTCCATTTGAGGCGTAGGTCGAATTTCTTGACTCGCTCGAGAGCAGTGGCTGTAGTGGGGTCGATGTAGTCGAAGCGGACACGCTGGATCGTCTGCGCGACGGCACGAAACGTGACATTGTTGTAAAAGTGGGTGAGGACTTCGTGGTAGATGGAGCGACATGTAGCCATGAGCGCTGTGGGCGGGGCGCGGAGATCAATGGACGATATGGGAGGGCGGCTGAATGGGTAGCTCTTTGGCTCAGCACGGCTTAGGTGGTCGTAGATTTCGAGGCGCAGCTCCAGAGGAAGTCTCAGAAGCGGAGACGCCTCTGCAAGCAAGCTGGATGCTTTTGTCTCGGGAGCGGGTTTCATGGCTTTCTGGAACAATGCAGTAGCTGGACGCGATTCAGAAACACTGTGGGTGCTGAGAGGGCGATGGCGTAGTGGGTGATGACGTAAGAATCAGGGTCCAAGACCATGCATGCAGAACGCGATTGGCGAGCAAAGTCAGCGTAGCTAGCAGTGCAACACGTCCAAATGATGATTCATGTCAGCCTCTGCTGTTCTCACATGACAGATGGGACAATCCACGAGCAGCTTCTTCTGTATGGCCGAGCCATGTTCGGGGTCCGACCGCGGCCGTTTCTGGCCTGTGTGGGGGGACGTCGAAGGTGGTGGTGGTGCGGGAGAAACAAGGTCCTCGGCTGCCAAGCTTTGTGCATCCCTGGAATACGAGGATGCAGGCGGAGTGGCGTCGTTGGTGAGGCCAACCAGCTTACGACGGGCATCATGGTCGGGGGTTTGTTTTGCAGGCGCAGTGGTGATGCAGCCGTCGAGCCTGTTCTTCTGTCTGCCGGCACGCTCCTTTGTGGTCATAGCCTGCAGCTGTTTTTTCGTGGGGGCGGGCTCGTGGATCTTGGTGTCGGAGCCGCCGCACTCGGCGTGGTGTTTTGGCCACCAGTTGTCGCTCCTTGCAGGCGGGCGGTTCATGGTCCGTTTGACCAGGCCAGAGTACGGCGGCTGGGTGTGGCAGGGCCCGTCACATTTCCAGACGTGCGCGCGGTAGCTGTCGACGTCGTGGTGAAACGAGCGATGGATGGTGACGCTGTAGCTGCCGTCGTCTGTGCCGTCGTCGGCGCGCAGGTGCGTGCAAGAGGTGGTGACGAAGAAGAAGGCATGCATGGCCTCGTGCAGGGGTGCCTGGAGAGCTCGCAGATGGCAGCGCACTGCAGCGAGCGTCAGCGGGAGCGTGATACGGCCGTCTACAGGCGGGCGGGGCGACGACAGGCCGGCGTCAGAGACGGGTTGTGAGACGAGGCGAAAACAAAGCATAAAGCGCGGCGAGAGCAGCTCGACGCGGGAGCGCAGCAGGCTTCGGAAGTGGAGCGTGTCGACGGGCACAAAGGGCTCGCCGTTGCGCAGCATGGCAGCCTTGCCATTACGGTGCTAACTGCTCCTGTCGCGCTGTTGCTGACGGCAGAAGGATAGTCGAGGCGATCCGCAGGGGGGCGCTGCATCGCTATCCGCCGTAGGGCTGTCGTGCCGGGGGCCATAGACACACACTCACACACACACACATGGCACGCCCAAGGCAGAGCCTGTGTGTGCAGGCGGCGCCCCCTTGGGCTACGAGTAATGGCCAGCACGCTCTCCGGGGCCGCGTGCTCGGCGTGTCCCCTGAGCGGCGCCCGAGGCACGACCACGACACCAGGTATTATTTTTGGCGCCGCCCGTCGTTAGCCCTGCTCGTCGTGGTGGTGGTGGTGGTGGTGGTGCGACTACATGCACATGCACGGCGTGGGCGGGCTGCGAGATGCGCATAGTTATGACGCATCGCCCCTCTCCGCACGCACGCCCGCACGCACGCACGCACGCACATACTGCAGTCTCGCCCACACTTGGACTCCCGCACCCGCAAATCCACGCCCACGCAGCCAACATACATACGTACACACATACATAGACACATGCCAACCCGCCGCCCTCGACTCCCCGGATGTGCCCCCTCGTAGCCGCCCTCCACCAACATGGCCGCCATGGATGCTCCGCGCGCCGCTGATCTCGTGCGGACCGCCTCGCAGTCGTCGGCCATCTCCAGCCCGCGCAACCGCAGCCTGCAGCGAGTCCGCCCCGCGAAGCGCTCGTCCAATGCCTCGCTCAGCAGGAGCAGGAGCAGGGCCCCGTCGCCCGACGTCGACACCAAGAGCCTCACCTCGTTCCCCTCGCTGTCGCCCAGCCCCGACGCCTCGCCCGTCCAGTCGCGCCTCAACGGCTGGTTTCGCTCCACGCCGCTCCCTGAAGAAACCCTCAAGGACGCCGCCTCGCCCGACACCGTCAAGGCCGTGCCCCCGCCAGACTTTGCCGCCGCCGCCGCCGCCACCACCACGACGCCCACGTCGACGGTCCGCAAGGTCACCAAGTCGACGCAGCAAATCGTCGGGAGCCTGGTCGCCGCCGCCGCCTCGTCGACCAACGACCGCTCCGCCCTGTTCGACGACACCCCCGCCGAAGCCGCAAACGTCCCCGGCAACCTGCATTTTGCCAGCGACGACAACATCCACCATGCCCTGCGCCACACGGGCGCCGTCGCCCTGGTCAAGCAGCTGGCCGGCGACCTGGCCCAGCGCGATGCCCAGATCACCGCCCTGCGCCGCCGAGCCGAGGAGCGCGAGCGCATGCTGAGGAAGATGCTGCAGGAATGCGAGGTCTCCAACATGGACATTGAGAACAGGCTCCGCGACCTCGACCGCACCCGCGACCACGCCAACGGCCTCACCAAGACGAGGACACGCGGCGACAGCACATCCGCCGGCCTGCACCCCGACGACCCCATGGAGGACAGGCTCGCCCGAGCCATGGAGGACGAGCTGGCCGAGCATCCAGATGCGCTGGGCATTGACACGGGCAGCGCACCTCCCCTGGCAGACGTCTTGTCGCTCAACTCGCTCGCATCAGACGCCGCACGCGACACGCCCAGGTCAAACTGGAAGAGCTACATTTGGACGGGCACCAGTCGCAAGAGCAGCAGGGCCCCCTCAATCGCCAGCTACATTGACCGCGACGCCGACAGCCTGCCACCCGGACCACGATCGCGCGCATCGAGCGGGGCTAAGCCGCCTCGCAAGCCTCTCACCAGCGAGACCTTTGTGCAGCCCCCTGCCCAGGGCGCTGCTGTGCCTGCGCTACGCAGACTCAACAGCCAAGATCGCTCGACAGATGGGCCGGCGCGTAGATCGTCGTCGTCAACCTCGCTCGCTAGCTGGGCGCTGAAAATGGTCGCAGGCAACACGGCTGCAAGCCCAAACAAAGCAGCCACGGCACGGGGCCGCAAAATGACGGCCTCTGATGCTGCGGATCGCGCACCCTCCATGGACTCGACCAAGACGGCCCAATCCACAAAGTCCTTGGCAGGCACCCAGAAGCGAGGACGTGCCCTGGGCCCAAATGGGACCATCAAGAGTATCGCCGGAGAGCAGCCCAAAGCCTCGTCTGGCAGTCTTGGTACATCCCAGCCCGCGCGCAACATGAGCAATCTCGGCCCTGTGGAAATGGACCGAATTCTGCCCGAAGACTCTCGCCCGCCAACGCTTGTACAGCAACACAACAGGTTCTTCGGTAGCAGTGAGTACTTGACCGATAGATTTGGCTTCATCTACGATCAGCGCCGCAAGAAGCGACAGAGCGAGGCTGCCGCCGCCCTTGTCAAGCAAAAGCGGACCAGCAACGTCGAATCCCTTGGCGATGGGAGGACCGCGCTCAACAACCTCGCAAAGGGAGATGACCACGACGGCGACGTCGACGCGGCGGCAAGCGAGCAGAACAACGGTACCCTGCGCCCGTCTAGCTCGGATTCCGACAATCTGTCCAGCCAGCCAGCGAGCAAAACTTGGGCCGACTACTTGAAACTGGCCACACATCCAACCGAGCTGCTTTCGCATACCCCGTCTGCGGCGCCCATCACCACAGTAGAGTCGGTCGAAGGAGAGACGTCTGCCTTCAAGATTGGCCAGAGCCAGATCACCCTGATGAAGCGGGGGTCTGTGCCAGCCATTAGTGCCAACCCAGAGCCATCGCCGTCTCGTATTGTTTCTGGTAATGCCGAGATTTCTGTCACGACCACGTCGCCTGGGCCAACTACACCCACCAGCCCGTACCAGTCGTCCATGGACCCGGTACAGTCTCTGCTGGAGCAGATGAGCGAGCTGCATGACAATCTCCAAAAAGAACGAACCGTCAAGTGGAATGACTTTCTCCGCAAAGTGCGCGCTCAGAACAAGCGCGAAGGCGAAGTGGCCAGTACGGGTGAGAATGGCAAAGGCAATGCAATGCCGGAAACCTTTCTCTCAGACGGCGAGCTGGTCGGCATCGCAGGCCTGGGCAACAAAGGCAAAGTCGGCCGTGCCAAATGGCAAGAGTTTCGCCGCCTCGTCCTGGGTGGCATCCCTGTTCATATGAGAGCCGCCATCTGGGCTGAGGGAAGCGGAGCGCTGCATCTGCGTACGCCAGGCTACTACGAAGACTTGGTCAAAAACGGCCAAGACGATCCCGCCATTGCAACCCAGATACAGATGGACATTACTCGCACATTGACTGACAACATCTTCTTCCGGACTGGCCCCGGCGTGCAGAAGCTACAGGAAGTACTGCTTGCCTACTCGCGCCGTAACCCAGAGGTTGGATATTGCCAGGGCATGAACCTCATTGCTGCATGTTTACTTCTCATCATGCCAACGCCCGAAGACGCTTTCTGGGTCCTCACCGCAATGATTGAAGAGATCCTACCGCAGCACTACTACGACCAGCACTTGCTGACCTCTCGCGCCGACCAGGCTGTGCTTCGCTCATACGTTGCTGAAATCCTCCCTAGGCTATCTGCTCATCTTGATGCCCTAGAAATCGAGCTCGAGGCTTTGACCTTTCAATGGTTCCTGTCCGTCTTTACAGATTGCTTATCCGCCGAAGCCCTCTTCCGCGTCTGGGACGTTGTCCTCTGCATGCATGACGGCTCCACCTTTCTCTTTCAAATTGCCCTTGCACTTCTCAAACTCAACGAAAAGGCTCTCTTGCAATGCGATGCCCCAGCTGGCGTATACCATTACATCAACCATCAAATGACCAATCACGCCATCAGTATCGACGGTCTCATTCAAGCGTCCGACGCGCTCGGAAAAGTCATCAAGCGCAAAGACGTCGAAGAGCGCCGTGCAAAAGCCGTTGCCCACGAACAAGAACTCATACGACAAAGAGACGAAGCCCGTGAAGAGCGAGCCCGCAAACGAGCCAGCAAGGCCTCTCTCGACGCTGTATCATCACCGCTCCCCACGCAGCTAGAAGAAGGAGAAGAAGAAGAAGAACAAGAAGACGCAAAGTCCCTTTCCGCAAGTCTCGATGCCGAACTCGCAATGCAAACCAGCCCCATGCGCACACCACTCTCAACGGCAAGCAAGCGATCTGAAGAGGAAGAAGACGCCGAGTTGATGAATCGCACTCTTGAAATCTCCGACCGAACACCAATGCCCATGGACGAGGAATTTACATGGCGCGCTTGATTCCCCTCTCTCATTCATGAACATGTGACACCTTTCTCTTCTTCTATTTTCCTTTGTTCAGCATGTAGCCTTTTTTCCTTTTTCTTTCTTTTCACATGCTACTTTTTTCTTTTGTTCTGTTCTGTTCTGTTCTGTTCCGTTTGTTGCTTGCTTGCATCGCCGGAGTACATGGAAACACACACACACACATACGGGGAAACAAAATTGAGACCCACAAACTTTTATTCGGTACAAACTTGTTTTACTTGGCTCAAGATTATCAGACTCTCATGCATGTTTTCTCTCTTTTATTCTTTCTCATCTTCACATCGTATACATGCATACAGATATACATATATACATGCAGGCTGATATTATACCCCCCCCCCCCTTCAACCATCCGAATTCAATATCCCGTTGGGTGTTTTTTTCTTTCTTTCTTTCTTTCTTTCTTTCTTTCTTTCTTTCTTTCTTTCTTTCTTATTTGGACTTGCTATGCACGTGTAGCAGACTGTCCATTATCCCAAGCTGAGATTGAGAATTGTTGCTTTTTCTTGATGGTGGTTGTTGCTGTTGTTGTTGTTCTTCTTGACGGGCTTTGTCGATACCCCATACACATACACATACTCTCACTCTCCCACTTTTCCCGCTCTCTTACTTTGACTACTGCTTTCTTTCCTTTTCTTTTCTTTTCTTCGCTACCTACTTAGATCGCTTTCCTATTTCTCTCTCCCTCTTTTTTTTCCCCTTCTTCTTCTTCTTCTTCTTCTTCTTCTTCTTCTTCTTCTTCTTCTTCCTTTCTCCACGTGTGCCTTTGTGTGCATGTGTGCATGTGTACTCTCTTCTTTGCTTAATAGGGCGTATTACGGTGTGTATTTCTTTTTTCTCTTTTCCTTTTCCTTTGTTTTTTTTTTGCCTCTCCTGCTTGCAGCTTTGTCGCACGCGCTGTTGGCTTTCAATGTACGGTATGGTTCGCTGGTTGGCTGCGCAATGCCTCATATGGAGTAGTTAGCATATATATATACATACACGTATGAACAAGAAGATATATCCACACTTACACTACTACAATTCCAAACTCATCCAGTAGTGTCCCCCTTTTTTTTTCTTATTCTTCCATCCTGCTGTATGTATATATGTACATACATAACAGTGTGTATCTATCGATCTGTATCCGTGCATCTGTGTGAGGAACAAGAAATATCCTCACCGTTCTTTCAAATCCACATACATATATACACATACACACACATATGTATACGTATATCCTCTCCTACAGGCAATGAAATGAAAATAACACAAATCAAAAAAAAAATACTACGTACGTACGTTTGATACTTTTGCTTGATATTTCAAAACTGCATCACATGACCATAAGTACCATGTCATACTCACTGGTTTTTTTTACATCTGAACAATGATAATAATCATAATCATAAGATCAATGTCTATGTATTCTGTTCATCAAGGTCCTGGGTACATACATGTACTTACTTAGTTAGTTAGTTAGTTACTTACTTACTTGCCCGCTACATACATTGAAGTACTCCATCGTATCTCCCTCCACTCGCACTCGCACTCGCACGCGCACTCGCACTCGCACTGCAATGTGAAAATCATATATATATGTATCACAACGTGTGCAAATCGCCTTGTACAAGATATAAAAATAATCCAACATGTCTCTACCTAGAGGCTAGAGAGGATGCTAACATGCTGCTGCATCAGCATATCATGACAACACTAGGTTCAATGATTCCGAGAACAACGTACGTAGTCGTGTGAATTTTTACATGCACATTTCTACACCACAACCACTAGAAAAAAGAATTTGCAGTTACGTGCTCATCTACTAATATCGTGGCTACTTCACTCAAACAAAGCGAGACGAATGCTTACTCGATTTACCATTGTGCATCTATGCTAAACCTCCATCTACACATTGCATATCCCATTCCAGAACTTTTGTTTTTTCGAGGCAGCGGCCACCTAACTTGACCCGAACAGACTATCTTACAGTCACTCATCCAACATACTCCTCCAAGATGGAAAAAAAAGTGGCTAGTGAGCGCAGGAGGTCGACCGCCACCAAGGATCCAGCGCATCCTCATCATCTTCTACCACCTCCTCCAACTCGTCATCCAACAGGCTTACTGTGCGTGCTCGCAAGCCACGCTTCTTGTTGCCCTTCTTGGTCACCCCGGCCTTGACGTGCCCATGCGGGCGGCGCTGCGAGGGAGGCGTGTTTTGCTTATGGAAAACCTCTTCAACTATCATCCTCCAGGAAGAAGTAGTTTCCACTCAGCTTCTGCTCCTGGTCAAGTTGAGACCTGTCCTTGTTGATACGAGGGCGGTACGAGTTGGGGTCACGACGGAAGGTGACATCCAGGTTCTTCAAGAAGGTGTTGCAACCAGTAAGCAGCGACTCGGGCTTGTTGGCACGTGCCTTGACAGCAGGCTGACCGTCGAAGACAATGACACGGTCGGCGAGATACGTGGCCATGATGAAGTCGTGCTCGACAACGAATGCAGTCTTCTTAGAATGCATGATGAAGCGCTTGATGACACGTGACGCGATGATACGCTGTTCCGAGTCGAGGTACGCGCTGGGCTCGTCGATGAGGTAAATGTCGGCAGGCATACCGAGAGCCAAGACAATGGCAACACGTTGCAATTCACCACCAGAGAGGTTCTGAACTTCCTGGTCGATAAAGTCGTCCATCTTAAGGGGCTTGTAGACATCCGTCTGGAATTGCGGGCTCAAGAAGGCGGCCTTGATCTTCTTAAAGAACAGTTGTCGGACGGTACCCTGGAATTTGGGAGTAATGGTCTGGGGCTTCATGCTGATGCTCATCTTGGGGATCTTGGTGTCGCCATCGGGCTGCAGAGCGCCTGCAAGCATCTTACAAAAGGTCGTCTTTCCGGTTCCGTTTTCGCCCATCATAACCAGAATCTCAGAGTCGGTAAAGGCACCAGACTCAATGTTGAGCTCAAAGTCGCCCAAAGTCTTCTTCATGCTGGGGTACGAGTAACCGCGGTTGTGGTCAGCCATGTATTCATCACCAGCCTCGGCAATTCGGAACTGAAGCGATTCCTCACGGAAACGCAGGTTCTCAGTGGGAATGTTACCGTCCAAGAAGATGTTGATACCTTCACGGACGGATGCTGGAAGAGTGACGACACCGTAGACGGCAGGCTTTCCGTAGAGAACGCAAATGAAATCAGAGAGATAGTCGAGCACAGACAAGTCGTGCTCGACAACAATGACGTAGTCGTCGGGGCGGAGCAGACTGCGAATCTTTCGACCGGCGGCAAGACGCTGCTTGACATCGAGGAAAGAAGATGGCTCGTCGAACATGTACACGTCGGCTTGCTGAACGCACACAAGCGCAATGGCGAAACGCTGCAGCTCACCACCGGACAGTTGACCGACGTCGCGGTCGAAAATGTGTCGTAGTTCCAGATCGTCAATCATCTCGTCAAGGTTTTCCATCTGCGAGCGGGCCTTGATGAGCTTGCCCACGGATCGGTCGGTGGCCTTGATGGCCTTGGGGATTTGGTCGACATACTGGGGCTTGACGACAGCCTTGAGGTTGTCTTCGAGCACCTTGGTGAAGTAGTCTGCGTTTCGTTAGCGCCACGCTACGTGCGTGGTAGTGGGAGTGGCTTACTCTGAAGCTCAGAACCGCGGAAGTACTTCAGAATCTCCTCCCAGTCAGGCGGGTTGTCGTAACGACCCAAGTTTGGCTTGAGCTTTCCGCTCAGAATCTTCAGCGCCGTGCTCTTTCCGATACCGTTTGTACCGACCAGACCCAGGACCTGGCCAGGACGGGGCATGGGCAGCCTGTGCAGCTTGAAGCTGTTGGCCGAGTAACGATGGGTGACCTGGGTCTCGAGGTTCGTGGGCAAGTTGATGATGTTGATGGCGTCAAACGGACACTTCTTGGGACAGATACCGCATCCGATGCACAGGCGCTCCGAGATGAAGGCGATCTTGGAGGACGAGTCTACTTCGATGCACAGCTTGCCCGTGCGCACCACGGGACAGGACTTTTTGCATTCTTGCCGACATTTCTGGGCCGTGTTAGTGCACGACAACGGGGAAGGGCCATAGGGGGGCGGCGCTTGCCTTGGGCTTGCACTGTCGTGGGCGAAGGTGCTCGTGTTAGCAATGGCCAAATTTTGTGCGTGGAGGGGTAGTGGGGTACCTTGTCGGAGTTGACAATGGCAATACTAGGACAAGTCAGCAGAGGACGGGCAGCAGAGCCACAGGCGGCAGTGTGGCATACCGGGTGAGTTTGTCGGACATGTTTGCGGTGGCGGGCGTGGGCGGCGGCTTGGTGTAGACGACAGGCGCAAACTGGGCTGGCGGGGAATTTGACGGTCAGAGTAGTGCGCAGGGCAGACTCGACAGGACAGACAGGCGACCCGGGCGGGCACGCACTCTGATGCTGGGGACGGCGGGCAGACTGCGAGGCGCCGGCAAACAGGCACAGGCAGCACACGAGAGATGAGGAGGCGTGGAAAGAGTGGAGAGGACCGCCGGGGAGTGTCCAGCCTGACGTTGTTCGCATTCACGTTGTGGTAAGCGTTTTGGGGCGGGCGCTGATTGGTGGCGGGTGCGGCTGTCACTAGCGCGCAGGGCGCTGGCTGCTCGATTGCAAGCCCCGACCGTAAGGAAACTCCACAACCCTCACCACCACCCATACCTGACCCCCCTCCCCCCCCAAGACAACACCCCCACCCCCCACCCATATCGAGGGTGTCTTGAGCATGGACTGTGAGTATACGCTCCTTTGACTTCTTTGTCGCGTGTCCAGCCCTCGCCGCCCCGCGCGGCGTGCCTGCCAGTGGCCTCGCCCACGGCCATCCAATCCATCACCATTCCACGCCCTTGCATCCCGCAACTCGCCTGTCGCCCATAGCACGGCCTGGCACGACGTACTGAACGCTTCTTCCGGCCCGCCTCCGCTTTCGACTCTCGAACGGCCCGCCTCCTGGCCCGCAACGCTCCACTGCCCTGGCTCCATCACGCGCCCATCCACCACCATCACAGCCCATCAGCCCTCCATTGCTGGGGTCTTCGCCTTTGTGCCTGGTCGCTTTCTGGTTCCTTTGAGTCGCGTAATTCTGCTCTATCCAACGCACCCGCTCCGAGACGCCGGGCCCCACAGGAGGCTGAAATATCGTGCTGACCATCTGCTCCAGCCGCGTCCATCATGATGCCCTCTTCGCCGGGCCGTGTTGCTTCTTTGCCATACACAAACGGCCATTTATCGCCTCTTGCAGCTCATATGACGATCGCCGATAGCTCTTCGCAACACAGTGACAGCGATGCGTCCGACGCGAAAGAGCACACCGCAGCTGCTCAGGCCTCCGATGTCGACGCGCCGGGAGAGGAATACGAGGAGGACGAGGAGATGGCTGCTGCCTCAGACTCGTCCGAGGATGTCGATGCCGAGGGCGAGCCAGACGGCGACTACGACTCTGAGTCACCGCCGTCTGAGCAAGCAGAGAGCGACCGCGCTCGGAGTTCGTCACAAGAATCATCGAGGCCGTCCAAACGCAAGGCAAGCGCTGAAAAGGACGACTATATAGAGCAGAACCCGGAGCTATACGGCCTGCGTCGCAGCGTATGTGGCCTTTATGCCTGCCCTCTCTACACACGAGCTAACTGTATCCCAGGGTCGCGCCCGCCCTAGTCGTCGCGTTGTAAGTAACCCCAGCTTTGTGTGAGAAGCCAGCACTAACACGGCTCAGGTCGATAGCAGCGAAGAAGAGGACGAAGAGTATGACTCAGACCAGCCACGCAAGAGGCAGAGGACAGCCTCGCGGAAGAGTTTGTCTACCCACACTCCCTCCTGCCCAGAGCGGCCCTGACATGCCCATCTAGCCTCGAACCAACCGACACCAGTCTATCGCTCAACTGGCTCCGACTCAGAGTCAGATGGCTACGTTGGAGCCCGTCGCAACATTCCGACCAAGAAGCAACGCCAACGTCAGCATGCCGTTGCCACAGGCCGCGAGCCTCCTTCGCAAGCCGAGGTCCGATTCTCCGCACGACGTACAGCTCAGGTCGCGAATTACAATGAAGAAGATGATGAAGACGAGTTTGCTGAGGAGGAAGACGAGATGACCTCGGCCTACTGGGCGAACGCCGTCGAGGACGCTGGCCCCGTCATCGACAAGATCCTCGACCATCGGCCAAAAGACGGCTTAGGTAATACAGAACAATGAGCTCTTGTGCTAACACTTGCTAATGAGGTGCAGAGATTGATCCCTCGTTTGATAAGCACGACTTTGAGTACTTGGTAAGCACCTGTCCTGGTAGTCTCCTTTCATCACTCTAATTCAGCATCAGATCAAATGGCAAGACAAAGCGCACTACCATTCGACATGGGAAGACTACAAGACCGCCTCTGCCTACAAAGGCATCCGAAAACTGGACAACTACTACAAGGGACCTGTCCAGAACGACATGTATTATCACAGCCGCAAGGCTGAGGACCCAGAAGAGTTCGAGCAGCATATGGTTGCACGGGAAGCCGAGCGCGAGAGTCAGCTCGACTTCCATATCGTGGAGCGTGTGATTGATACGCGAGACGGCGAGGATGAGACGGAATATTTCGTCAAGTGTAAGCCTAGTCATCCCCAACCCGTACGTGGAGTAGCTAACATCAGCACAGGGAAAGGACTGACGTACGAGTTCTGCACATGGGAACCCGCGTCGCTTGTCAGCCGCCTGTCCCAAACTGAAATCGACCGGTATCTCGACCGCTCGTCGAATCGGCCCACCTCAGATCCCCGCGAGGCAAACCCCAATACACGCAGGAAGTTTGTCAAGATGGATACACAACCCGACTACATCAAGTTTGGGCAGCTGAGATCCTTTCAACTGCAGGGTGTGAACTTCCTTGCGCACAACTGGTGCCGGGGCACAAACGTCATCCTAGCTGATGAGATGGGTCTGGGAAAGACGGTGCAGACTGTCTCGTTTATCAACTGGTTGAGACATGACCGTAAACAAGACGGCCCGATGATCTGTGTTGTACCACTGTCTACTATGCCCGCATGGGCAGACACATTCAACAACTGGACACCCGACGTCAACTATGTCATCTACACAGGCAGAGAAGAGGCTCGCAGCATCATCAGGGAAAAGGAGCTTCTTGTGGACAACAACACAAAGAAGGTCAAGTTCAACGTTCTCTTGACTACCTATGAATACGTCCTTGCCGACTGGCAGTTCTTGCAGAGCATCAAGTGGCAATTCCTGGCTGTAGACGAAGCCCACCGATTGAAGAATCGGGAGTCGCAGCTCTATGAAAGATTAACGGCATTCAGTGCACCGTGCCGCCTGCTCATCACTGGTACCCCTATCCAAAACACATTGGGCGAGCTAGCAGCCTTGATGGATTTCCTGATGCCAGGAAAGATTTCTGTTGATGAACACGTGGACCTGTCTTCAGAAGATGCCAGTCACAAGCTTGCAGAACTCAGTTCTGCCATTCAGCCTTACATGATCCGCCGCACAAAGGAGAAAGTAGAGAATGATCTGCCTCCCAAGTCTGAAAAGATTCTGCGAGTGGAACTGTCTGATATTCAACTTGAGTACTACAAGAACATTCTTACCCGAAACTACGAAGCTCTCAACGAGGGAGGCGTTGGCCACAAGCAATCCCTCTTGAACATCGTCATGGAGCTCAAGAAGGCTAGCAATCATGCTTTGCTCTTCCCTAATGCCGAGAGCAAGCTTGTGAAGAGCGGCTGTTCAAAGGAGGAGACGCTGAAAGCACTCATCACCACCAGCGGCAAAATGATGTTGCTAGATCGACTGCTTGGCAAACTCAAAGCCGACGGTCATCGCGTCCTCATCTTCAGTCAGATGGTTCACATGTTGGACATCCTGACCGACTACCTCAAGCTGCGCAACTACGCGTTCCAGCGACTTGATGGAACGGTCCCAGCAGCCGAGAGGAAGATTGCCATTGACCACTTCAATGCACCTGGCAGCGAGGACTATTGCTTCTTGTTGTCTACGAGAGCTGGTGGTCTTGGCATCAACTTGATGACTGCCGACACGGTCATCATCTTCGATTCCGACTGGAATCCTCAAGCCGACTTGCAAGCCATGGCTCGTGCTCATCGTATCGGCCAGCAGAAGCCTGTGAGTGTCTATCGTCTCGTCTCCAAGGATACGATTGAAGAGGAGATTCTGGAGCGCGCTCGAAACAAGCGCATGCTCGAGTTCATCACCATCCAGCGTGGTGTGACGGATCGGCAGCAAAAGGAGCTCAACGACAAGATGAGTCGCGCTGCTGCTGAGCCGAACTCAGCCGATGACATTAACAACATCCTCAAGCGCCGCGGACAAAAGATGTTTGAGCAGTCTGGCAACCAGAAGAAGCTTGAGGAGCTTGACATTGACTCTGTTTTGGAGAACGCCGAGGAACACAAAACGGAGCAAGCCGCAGGTCTCACATCTGACGGCGGTGAAGAGTTCTTGAGGAACTTTGAATACACCGACGTCAAGATCGACCTCGAATGGGATGACATCATTCCCAAAGAGGAGCTTGAGGCGGTCAAAGCCGATATACAGCAGCGCAAAGACGAAGAGGAGACACAGAAGCTGCTCGAGGAGAATGCGCCTCGGAAGCGCAAGGCAGCGTCGGCCAGCGCACGGGAACAACGAGCTGCGAAGAAACGCGCGCTCGAAGCCTCTCAGATTGATGCTGATGATGACGACCAATCTGACGCAGATGAAAATGTCAAGCGCGACCCCAAGCGACCGCTAAACACAAAGGAGGCACGCAATCTCATTACAGCCTACTGTCGTTATGGCTCGCTCGAAGAGCGTGGCGATGAGATTCTGCAGGCGGCTAGACTGGTCGGCCGCGACATGGGGGTTGTCAAAGCGACTCTCGAGGAGATTATCGAAAAGAGTACACAGCTCGTCAAGGAGGAGCAAACGAGACTCAAGAACCTGGAGATTGAGGCCAAGCGTGCCTTGACCAAGAAAGACAAGAAGGCTGTCCTGTTCGACTTTGGTGATGTGAAGAAGGTCAACGCGGAGACTATCCTCGAACGGCCGGTTGAGATGCGCGTGCTCAAGGAAGCAGTCGAAGCAACGCCCGACTGGCGAAACTTCCGTGTGCCAGACGCCATCAAGCCAGCAAGCTACTCTTGCCCCTGGGGTGCGCGTGAGGATGGCATGCTCTGCATCGGTATCCAGCGCCATGGCTATGGTGCGTGGATTTCGATCCGTGACGATCCAGAACTAGGCTTGTCGGACAAGTTTTATCTGGAGGAGCACCGCGTCGACAAGAAGGAAGAGCGTACCAAGGGCGAAGACAAGAATGCCAAGTCTCCCGGTGCTGTACATCTGGTTCGTCGCGCAAACTACCTTCTCACGGTGCTGAAGGACAAGAGCACTTCGGATCCAAACATCAAGCGCCTGATGGAAAACCATCACCGTAACAACAAGAAGAACCACCTGGGCGTCGCTCGCCGGGCTGAGAAGGCGACGAGCGTTTCGGCAAGCCCTGGACCAGGTAGTGCTCTGCGTAGAATGCAATCACGAGACTCTGATCGGCCTTTGCACCGTGCGCACAGCAGCGGCGAGAGTCGACGGCCTGACAGTCGAACGGACGGGCGACACCGAGATGATCGCCCTAGGCACAGTGACCAATACCGGCCTTCTGACGGTCATCGCAAGGAGCATCGCAACGACCGGGGAAGCATTGACCGTCGTCAGCAGAATGCGGACCGGAACGGGACGCCAGAGAACCGACGCAAGATCAGCGGTGACCTGGACAGGCAACGTGTTAGAGACGATCGGCCTCGGCTCTCGGAGGACCGCCCGCGTTCGCACAGCCAAAGCCAAGTGCCGGATCGCAGCGTGGAGGCAGCCAAGGCCAAGGAGAAGAAGCCAGACGACTTCCTGGAGCGCAAGCTTCGGCCTGTGCGGGACAATCTCAGCCGGCTTAAAAAGGCGACACCAAGAAACTACCCACAGAAGGATGCCATGGTCAAGGTGCTGAAGATTGAGCTAATTGCCATTGGCAACTTTATCCGCGCCGAGACGCGCGACAATGCGGAGCTCGAGGAGCGGCTATGGTCAGTGTGGAAAGAAGGGAATTTTGTGAGCGAGAGGCTAACGAGTTGCAGGAGTTACACAATCAACAACCACTGGCCTCGGCCCGGAGTGACAGTTCCGGCCATCAAGGGCATGTACAACAAGATGCTGAGTTCAGAGAAGCCAGCTGCGAGCGCGGCGGCGTCGAACGGGCAAAAGAATGGGGCTTAGAGGCGGTTGCACCAAACGAGGCACATGATGTTCGTACCCGGATGCAGCGTCATTTATCATCAGCATATGGGAGTTTTCGATTTTCACGGCGGGACAGCGTCACGTATATTTGCAGCATAGCGTAGGTGTTTGGACTACTCGAGACATGAGTTGGGGACAGTGGTTCAGACCGTGTCCTTGGTCTTGGTCTTCTTCTTCTTCTTCTTCTTCTTCTTCTTCTTCTTCTTCTTCTTCTTCTTCTTCTTCTTCCCCTTTCTCTTCTTCATTTTATATTGCATAGACGACAGCCTGTGCACGGCCATGTCTGATATGGTGTTTGTATTTTTTTTGCAGGGTGGCGCATACTAAAAAAGATTTGTCTACCACTGACGGGGCCTGTTGATATGGGGGCATTGGCAGCACTTTTGGGATGGACGGTGCCTTATTTTACCAGACAAGAATTAGGAGACATGTCTCGCGCAAGACGGACATTATGTTTAGTAGCATCAACTAGACAGCTTTGCTCTGATGCAATATGACGCCGAGGGTGCAGGTGCAGTGTTTGTCGTGTCGATGGAGTGCATACATGATCAGCGTGAGGCAATATGTGGTGGCATTGGAGGGGGGGAGGGGGGTCACGCGAGGAGGGCGTGGTGTGGACATATTGAGTGAGGCATATTTATACGGGCGCAGAGGCGGTGTCGGCTGGATGCTGGGCGGGCGGAGTGACGCACGCATGGCAATAGCTAGGCGTGTGGCAGGGCAAAGGGAGCGCCGTGTAGTCACGCGCGGGAGTCGTGAGACAGACGTGGTGGGGGAGGCCGGGCATGTGTATGTCATGGCCTGGGGATGCGTGGGTGAAAGTGGGTGCGTGACGATCCAATGACACGCGACTACGCAGGATCGTGCTCGCAGGCGTGGACCAACGTGCGCCATCAGGGTGTCTTCGGTGCTTTTGCAGGGCATTCGGGACTTGACGGTCGCGCGACACCCATAAAGACGCCGTGGAAAGGCGCAGTTTCTGGGCTCTCTGCATCTCTGGCCACCGCCATGCTGCTGCGCACAAGAGACGCGCTCGTCGGCGGGCTTCTCCTCGGAGAGCACTGCTATGCGCGCGCCGCCCCGCCAACCGCGGCTGGCCATGCTCACAGCAGCCGCACTGGCATTGCAGCCGCTGGCCCCCGCAAACTCACGGGCAGGTTCCTACATATCACGGGTATGCATGCCCCTCCGCCTGCTCCATGCCGACCCCTCTCTCCCCCGGCTAACGTCATTGTGCAGACTTCCACCCCGACCCCTTCTACAAGACGTATTCCAGCACCACCGCCGCCGCCGCATGCCATCGCAAGCGCGGCCCGGCTGGCATCTACGGCGCAGAGACGACGGGATGCGACTCGCCCTATGCCCTCGTCAACCAGACGTTCCAGTGGATACACGACCACGTCAAGGATGAGGTCGACTTTGTCGTCTGGACCGGCGACTCGGCCCGCCACGACAACGACGAGGAGATACCGCGGACGCACCAGCAGATTATCGACCAGAACGAATTTATGGTCTCCAAGTTTGTCGAGGTCTTTGGCCAGACCAGCCCTGGCCATGGGACGGGTGACTTTGTGGTACCCATTGTGCCCACTTTTGGCAACAACGACATTATGCCTCACAACATCTTCACCAGCGGGCCAAACACGTGGACCATGAGCTACCTCGACATCTGGCGCAAGTTTATCCCCGAAGCGCAAAGACACCAGTTCCAGCAGGGCGGCTGGTTCTCCGTCGAGGTCATTCCGGGGAAACTGGCTGCTATAAGCCTCAACACCATGTACGAGATTGTACGAAGGCGAGTTTCTGCTCATTGCTGACTTTTCCAGATATTTTTTCACGTCAAATTCGGCTGTTGACGGCTGCGCGAAAAAGCACGAACCCGGCTACGAACACATGGAATGGCTGCGCATCCAGCTCCAGATTCTACGAGACCGCGGCATGAAAGCCATCCTCCTGGGCCACGTACCCCCCGCTCGCGTCGATAGCAAGGAGAGCTGGGATGAGACGTGCTGGCAAAAGTATACGCTTTTTGTGCGGCAGTTTAGAGATGTCATTGTTGGCACTCTCTACGGACACATGAACATTGATCATTTCATGCTGCAGGATTTCGAACATATTGCAAAGGATACCGAGGATGGCAGGATGGGTGCCATGTGGAACTCAGCTGGTCTGGGCAACGAGACGAAGCTGCTTGTGGATGGCGAGGTCACGGTCGCGTCTGCGTCGGACTATCTGCTGGATTTGCGCAAGGTTTGGGCACGACTGCCTACACGGCCGGCGAACCCAAACAAGTCTACACAAGAATTGGAAGAGGAAGAGTCAGCATGGGAGTGGCTTGTGTCAAAGGTCTTTAAGCCATCAAAAGACAAGGAGCAGAAGAAGAAATACCTCGCAGAGATTGGAGGCAAATACGCCGAGCGCTTTGCAGTATCGCATGTCTCCCCGAGCGTAGTACCAAACTACTTTCCCACGCTCCGCATCATCGAGTACAACATTACCGGATTGGAACATCTGAGTGTTTCCTCGAGCCCCAGCAGCCCGTCAGGGGACGATAATTTCGCCGACCAGCCATTATCTGATGACTCGATTGATGAGGATTCAGAGGATGTGGATGCTACCAAGAAGAAGAAGGGCAAAAAGGGGTCACGAAAGTACAAGTTCAAGGTTCCAGAAGGCCCTTCCAAGTCAGCACCTCCTGGCCCCGCCTACTCACCTCAGCCACTTACATGGACACGCTTCGTTCAGTACTACGCAAACCTTACCCGTATCAACAATGACTTTGTCGAATCTGCGGCGGACCATCAAATAATCTCTACAAATGACATGTCCGTCACCACCATCTTTGGATTCGCCGTCAGTCCAGACGGACGGATAGAAAACAAGAAATGGAACGAGGGAAAGCACAAAAAACACCAAGGCAAACAACCCCGGCCCGAACCGCATCCAAACGAGTTTGTCTTTGAGGTGGAATACGACACGAAGAAAGACAAGGGCTTCAGCGATCTGACCGTACGCCGCTGGGTCGAGTACGCGCGCAAGATTGGCTCCGCCGAGCCCAAAGCAGTCACAAAAGCACAAGATGTTGAAGACGACTTCACTACCGACGACGAGTACATTGACGCCCAAGGCAAAAAACACAAGCACAAAAAGGGGAAAAAGGGAAAACACCACAAAATGTCAAAGCAATGGTTCACCTTTGTCAAGCGCGCCTTTGTAGGAACCCTGGATTCTGAAGAAATCAAATCGCTATTCGGTGGCTCGACATCTACCACTGCACAACAACAACAACAAGAAGAGTCGCTGGAAGATGCTCCGGAGCAGGAAACGATTGAACTGTAGAGTCATGCATGCAAAATTCAGGTTGTATGTAAAACAGGGGAAAAAAAGGGGGGGAGTTGAGTAGATGCAGAGCGGCATATGTAGATACCCTTAGGTGGGGGCGTTGTTGTTGTTGTTGTTGGGCCTTTGACTGGGCACTACTAAGTACCCTTTTTTTTGGGGTGCATTGATATGTCTGCATTGCATTCCATTGCATTAGCATCTCTTCCTTCCTTCCTTCCTTCCTTTCATTTTTCTTTCTTTGGCATTCAAATCTTCATCTCAGCATAGCATAGCATAGCATAGCATAGCATAGCATATATAGCCAGCCATGTTTTGCGCTAGAACAAGAAAACGTCACACACCAAACCACAACTTATTGCTAGAAACATGTGCATACATGAGAAGTTCGAAAACAACCAAAAAAAATCAATCAATTAATCAATCAAAATGTTTGCTTTTGCTATCCTCTGCAACGTCTAGTTGATACCTAATATAGTGAGGAATCTGTTCGTTTGATAGAACATCCAAGTACCTAAGCACTTCGTTTAGGCAATACCATCACACCAGTCTTAAGACTCGCACACCACCACCACCACCACTATAAAAGAGAAGCCCCACAAGTCAAAAGAAAATCAAAAAAAAACATACAACAGCAGGGATTCGCCAGTGGTCACCCACCTGACTACTAAACCGCCGGTATACCGTTTAACTTTTCGAGAGCGAACGGGATCGAGTGAAATCGGATATCCTGTGGTCGTATGTGCTGGAATAGAGTTTGCGTGTGGATTATCTAGTAGTTGGATTCATGGGGAAGAAGAATGTGTTACGGGCTTTCTTCTGGTCGGGGCGGTGCGAAACTTTCCTGACTTAAGTAGTTACTTCAACATGAGCAAAGCGGGTAAATTGGTGATTTTTGCAGAAGGGGGTTCCTGAACAAACAAAGTGTGGATTACGGTGCAGTAAGTTGCACCTGGTTGCGTTTGCTCTGGAGGGTTGCTTCCTGTGGCGTATGTTTGTAGAGTGTCGATTGGATTTGGTTGGTGGCCTTTTTTTTTGTGCCGTTCATGTATCTGGTCTTGGCTAGTTAGTTGATTGTAGGTATTGGTTTAGTTGATGGTAGGAGTACTTAGGCATTATGGGTTATTTGTTTTGGTGGTGGGTTAGAGTTGTTCACGGGGACAAGGGGAGGGTGGCCATGGCATGGCATGGTCAGGTGGTGTGATGGATGGGATCTGGGAATTTGTGGAGCCATGTCAGATTTGGTTGGTTGGCTAGTTAGCTGGCGCAGTATCTCTCGAGTTGATGAGGAGGACGGGACAAGGAGAGAAATAATAAACTGTTTGTTAGGTCAGGTGTATTGTGGTAACTTTGCTACTCACTGTTTGTATCATGAATATCTATATGTGTGTATACATGTAGATAATAAGGACTTTAGACATAGTTCCCATAGTAGTACATCATCAAGTGCTGACCTGTTTTGCTTTTTGTCGTAAAAGGCGCAGCAATCCACGGAGCCAAGCCTGGGGTCGAGTGGTAAACTTGCCTAATTCGAACATGCATGCCGGCCCCCCCCCTAGACGGATGGTACCGATTTTTTTCACTGGGCCTAGGGGTACTGGAATCGACGGTGGAGAAAGGGGGTGCCGAAAGTTGCCTTGTTGGGAATATTCATCACATGAGAGCTAGAAAGAGAGAGAGAGAGAGGTCATGCTTCCACTTTTTCGCATGGCGTCGAGTGCATGTTGGTTGCCTCATGGTCGGTGGGTGAGCGTGTTGCGTCGGATGCTTTGCATGTACTTTGTAAGTATCATCGCGCGCCAACCAATGCCAAAGCGCAACAGCCCAGGTACGTACGTACTGCGGGCATTGCAAAGATTCTGACTACAGGCTTACCCAGATGCTGCGATCCATGGGATTTTCATGGCTTGCCTCTTCTGGCAACTTCGCGCGCATGGGGCTGGCTAGTGGGCTGTCATCTGTCGCCACAAGTGCGAGCGGGGGGTTTTTCGCTCCCCCCTGGCCTGGCATGCCCTGTGAGGCTTTTACCGTACTCTGCTCTTCCTCCTCCTCCTTTGAACCACGCGAACGCTAACCAGTATCTGCACAAACCCCAGACTTTGAGTCATTTTCATCAGCGATCTCTTTGATCTCATCGTCGCACGAGATCGAGGCCATACGTCATCGAGGTCAAGTGCGCTGGCCGACTCAGATGCTCGTTGTACGGGGACTTAAATTTTTGAGCATGACTGTTCACATTTGCCTTGCCCACCCACCTTGGCGACGGCTGTATTATCGTATCGTTCGTTAGTAGGCGGTTTTCTATACTAAAGGGTATGCAGGTTATATATCTATGTTGCCCTCGAGAGTGAACTGCAGTACCATGCTGCCTAACTCATTCACTATTCCCAGAGGTTTCCTCTCTCCACCACAATCACGATGCAAGCCTTGAAAATTCCACGAGCAGCCTTCAAACTACACGAGCAGCCTTCAAATTACACAAGCAGCCTTCGCGACTGCTTGGCTTGTGGCAGAGTGAGACTTCTTGTTCAGGTGCCTGCTATGCCTGCGCCGCGTGACATGGCGCTTGAACAATACACACGACCCGCACATCACTGAGCATCACCGCACGAGCGCACATCACCAGCCAACTCATCCTAGATGTAATCGTCATCGAAACATGAGCACTCATTACCATCGTTATCAGTAAAATCCCACGGCTGCCGCATTTCCCGAATCCCCTGAATCCCAAGCCATGGCGTCGCCGTTCCGACCCGCGTTGCCTGCAGAAGACCTCCCGGCATACTACCAGGAACTAGACGACGATAACATCCGATACTGCTTCCGAGACTTTGATGTCGAACGAAACTTTGATTTGTTCGACCGGCAGACGCGAGACCCCCGAAGCAACAACTTCTGTGTCGACTTTGGCGAAGACAATGCCTTTTGCGCCTTTGACCTCGACGCGCATGCGTATGAGAAGCTGCTCAGTGCACCGCGGCCAGCAGAGCTACACACACGCTGGATCCACATCTGGATGCCGTACAACCAGAAGGACTTGATTCGCACGCTGGCTACCCACTTTGACTTTACACCGCGACTCATGGGGCTAATGAAGAGCGATCATGTGAATCCGAACTCGTCACGTACTGGATCGTCGCTGCGAGCAAAAAAGAGCTCGTCAACGCTAAAGTCACTGATATCGCACAAATCCCAAAGGTCGGAGAGGGCCAAGCAGGCCAATGAAGAGCCCATGGACATAGAGTCGAGTATAGGCCTGACGAGCATGATGCAGTCGACCCAGCTGGAGATGGTGCGGGACATGAGCCACTACCAGCTTGTGAACGACGTGTGGCACTGGAGCACGGTGGACAAGGGTCGAAGATGTGAGTTTGCGCGGCTGTCGTGATTCTGTAAAAGAAGATTGCCAACATGAGCAGACATGTGCATCGGCTTCAACGCCCTCCACAACATCCGCACCAAGCCGCACCAAGACCACAAAGACACTGACGGCACCGACCGAGGCCAAGATGTGCCCCAAGGCAAGCGCGTGTGGAACTGGCTTGCACTATGTGAAAACAAAACCGTCATCTCCATCTCCGAAGACCCATTCCCTTTCTCCAACGGCGTGCTCAGCACCCAGGACCTACGCGTCCTCTTCACCACCCGCCGCAACCTCGTCAATGTCTTCCGCCAGCTGACAAAAGCCCCGACACCGCACACAGACGCAGCACTCATCCAGCTCCCGCTGCGACACCGCGTGGGCCGCAGCGAAGAGGAAACGGCGCACCGCCCCACCGACTCACCAGGCCTCCTCTTCTACTACCTCTTCGAAGACTGGGGCGCCACCTTTGACATAATATCTCAGCGCGAGCACGGGTACGGCGCGGAGCTCGACCGCCTGCGCAAGGAGATGCTTCAGAAAGCCAACTTGACGCACGTCGACCAGCTGCACCACATCGGGTGCCAGCTCGCGGTGCTGAAGCGCGTATACCGCAGCTACGAGCTCATCATCGAGCGCGTGCTTAGAAAGCAGGAAGCCACACTGGCGTCGCTCAAGAACTCGCATATCCTGTCTGGCGCCGCCTCGCTCGCCTCGTCGGCCCACCAGCAAATGATGCACGACACCATGGCGCTGGCCGGCCCGCTCGTGCCCGAGACAGACAGCCTGCTGGGCGTCCCGCTTAGTTCGGCCGCGCGCGTGCGCTTCGAGCGCCTCAAAGACCGCATTGTGCTGTATGCACTCAGCGAGATCCAAGAGTGCCTGGACCAAAAAGACTCGCTCGTCATGATGAACTTTAATCTCATTGCCCTGAAAGAATCCTACAGCGTCGAGCGCCTCACGTGGGTCACGCTGCTGCTCGCCAAAATCACCATTTTGTTTACCCCCGTCACGCTCATGACGGGCTACTTCAGCATCCAGTTCAAGGATATCGTGTTTGAAATGGGGAGTTATTGGCGGAGCTTTGGCTATATTTTCGCGGCGAGTTTGGCGCTGCTGGTGGCGTTTAGCTGGATGAGCGGCACGTTTGAGGGTAAGATTATTACGAGTAGTTGGACGAGGTCGGCGTTTGACGGGAGTAGGAGGTGGTTGGCGCATAGGAGGCGCAAGAGAGATTGAGCGGGGGGACGGCAGCGTGGGAGTGAACATTTGGGGTTTTCTTTGGGTATGGCTACTCGGCTTGAAATGTAATATTAGGTCTTGGGGGGGGGGGGGCAACGACAATGATCGAGAGAAGGATTCTTTCGGTCTGCAGTGTAAAGTAGTAAATTATTAATCCTACACGTCGAACGGATGGCTACTCAACACGTCTATCATGATACGCTGGTGCAGATACATAGTGCCAAGGCTCAATCCTCGTCGTCGTCATCATCATCATCGCCGAAAATGGCCTTGAACACGTCTTCCGACGCCCTCTCATTTGAAAGCGCATCGTTCTTCTCTACATCCACTGTTGCATGTTCAGTCTGCGGGACAGCAGCAGAGGGGACAGACGCCTCGGCTGGTTGGTTCATCCACGCTGGGCGCTGAAGAGCAGAGCCATTGGTCAAGAACTCGTGCTGCAGTCTATCCATTGTCGACTTGGACAAGGCTTCTTCCGTCTGTGGCTTGAAGCTGCTTTCGCCGTCGTCAAACTCGGATGGCATGTCGGGTGGAGGCTTGACGTTGAAGCGCTTGCAGAGAAGACGCGAAGGATGAAAGGGAAAAGTGCTCCGCGTCATGGGACCGTACATGCCCAGTCTTGCAGCGGATTCAGCCGGGTCCTCTGGTTTTGCCACGGGTTGCCGCAAAAGATTGTCGCTTGCTGCACCACTGTTTCCGCCTATTGTGGACGATGAAGAGGTGAATCGGGATGCCATGATGCCAGTCGTTGGCTTGAATACCTGTGCCGCATGAGCAAACTCCTGCAGCTCCTTGACCCAATCCGACACGGAGACGCCGTCAGGACGTTCTGGCAAGTCGTCTTTGAGCCCAGCCCGCAGCTGTAAGAAGCCAACATATCGCGCGCGCTTGTCCAGGTCTTCTGCATAGGGCATCCAGCCAGTTGCACCTTTTGCCAGAGCACCCGCAGCTGAGCTCTTTTCAAGCGCGGGAACAAGGCTCCATAAATCTTTTGCCTGGGCCTTGTTGGCTGCCAAGTGTCCCTCTGGGGCAGACTCTCCAAGACCCTGGGGAAGATCGGCCTTGCCAGATAGTGCTGCGAGACGATCGCGAGCATCCTTGGGTATGAAATCGAAGATTGACTTTCCAGGCAGAGGCTTCTCGCCAAGTAGGACCGAGCGGTCTTTTGCGTTGAGAGTCGATGCTTTTGCCGCGTCTGCGACGGACTGATACTCTTTGGATTCCGACGCTGGAGCGGCGCTTTTGGCAGACTTCCAACCTGGGGGTATCTTTGGTGGCGGGTACTTTGGTTTGCTCGTGACATGTGAAAAGCTGCTTGCAAAGACGAACCCCTTGAGCGGCGATTTGCCGTCGATAGATGGTCGGCTCGTCAAAACCAAAGCTTTCGAAGTACTCTTTTTGGACACAAACACGTGCTTCTCTCCAGCTCCTGGCTTGGCGAACTTGCTTGGCTTTTTCGCCTTCTTATCCTTGCCGATAGTCTTGTTGAAGGTGATCTTGGGGCCCAGTTCGTACGGGTCTTCGTCGTCGGAGCCGGTATCGTTGAGGACGCCGACGCCAAACGAGGACTTCTTGGTCGCGGGTTTCTTCACCGCCGGCGCCTTCTTGGGGCCTTCAATATAGTGGAGACTGAATTTCGAAGAGCGGTCCTCGGCCTCTTCGTCTTGCACAACGCCGAGGCGCGCTTCCGATGTATACCCCAAGCCCTTGCGGCGCACATCCCCCGGCGGCATGGCCATGATGCGAGCATCTCGGGGCGCAAATAAATGCGTAGAGTCTTGGGTGGAGCGGGCTGCGCCGTCTTCCAGGTCGGCATTCCGGCGCACTTTGCGACCGATGCCCTGATGCCGTCGCCAGCCCATTTTTTGGGCAAGCTTTACGCCCATGGTCTCTTCCTGGGTCATGAACAGGCCGAAGAAGCCATTGTCGTTGGCTTGTGCCGAGCCGCCAATGCCAGCAAAGTTGTGGGCGGTCTCGAGCTGGCGCGACTCGGCGGCTGCGGCCAGGTCCTCTTCATCCATAAAGTCCTCTGCTCGTTGGGGCTGGCCTGCAGACTGGTCTTTGGCGCGGTTGGCCCGCGAGGAGACAAATGTTTTTGGGGTCCATCCTTGCTTAGACCCGACTGTGTTGAAGTATCTTAGCATAGTCAAGAAGTCTTGCGTCCAGACAAAGACTGGCTCGGGGACCTACCCTGCACTGAAGCCTCCGGTAAATGCGCCGTGCAGCCTCCGCCTGCCGCGCTCGTCGGTCACGGTCTGCTTCCAGACGGGCACAAAGGCGCCATGGTCGGCTTCCTCGTCGGGGAGCTCTGTGCCCAAGGAGACGTATGTGGCGGGCGCATGGCGGGAGCGCTTGGGGGCGGGCGAGGGGGACGAGGCGCGGGGCCGCTTGTACGCCATTGCGATTGCAGAGTGTCGTGGGGCCAGGAGTAAGGGGGGTGTTAGTGCCTGGCGTGGTGCCCATTGGCCGGGTGGGGAGTGTGGCGAGGTGAAGGAAAGCCGGCACGCGAGGCGAGGGCGAGGGCGGCGCGAGTAAGCGGGCTGGGGTGACTAAGCAGCGGGAGCGTCATTGGCGGCAGGGCGCAGCGTTGCTTTGATTTCCTTCATTTGCGAGCGACCGTCACAATTTCAGGCGCGCGTGTGGGCGGGTGGCTCGGGTGCGTGGGGTGGCATGTGTGACGGCAAGCAGGTACTCGCCTTGTATGTAGACTATAGCAATACTTAGTACAGCTGGTGGGCACAGGGTGGAGGGGAGCAGCACGTGTAGGGGGGAGGATGGCGTTGGGGGATGGATCGAGGGCGCTAGGGGGTGGCCGAGTGGGCCCGATGATGTAGGTCGTGCCGGCTGCTCAGCCAGGGACCCTGATACAACAGCAACAGCGCGCAGACGGACGGACGCATCATGGGTGGTGGTGGTGGTGGATGGAGCGGATAGCAAGGCACTGCACACAGGCATGCATGGCCGTGCAAGGAGCTTCCCATTGCTGCTGTCGCACATGGTTGGTTACCCCACCCGCCGCAGCGCAGCGCAGTGCAGCCCAAGCGGCGGCACCTACAGCGAGAGAGAGAGGCATTGTGGTATATACACGGCGACGCCCCGACTCGCCCCGATGCCACGCCCTCGACGCTGCATACCCGCCCACCCAACGCCCAGCGGCGCACGACTCCAGGCTGACGACAGTATCCCACAGTGACTTGTACATGCTCGCCGCGCCCGCGACCCTGGATCTGCTGTGCCCGTTGCCGGCTGCTGCCCTGGGACCTGCGTCTGCCCCCAGCACCCGCCCATTACGCCGACTGAGGTGTGCCAAGTTTCGGCGCCGGCGCCCACGACAGGGCAGCAAGTAGCAGCAGCAGTAGCAGCAGCAGCATCGGCCCCTAAACCGCTGGCTGCCACCCGCCGCCAGAGCCAGTGGATTGCACCCTCACCCGCCGCCGCCGCCCTCGCCCTGTCGCTCCGTACTTGCAATCTCGTCACGTCGTCTACATAGGCCCGACGTGGTCGAGTCCGCGCTCGCCCTACGACCAGTGCGTCAAGCCTCGAGCAGGCCCACGTCTGCTCCCTGCAGGCTGCCTGTCGCCCACCGACTCACAGCATCCTCGCCATGTCGTCGGCCGCCGCCCCAGCCTCGCCCGCCGTCGTGCGCTCCTCTTCTACTTCGCGCAGGTCTGGAGAGAGACCCAATCGCTCCCAGCCCGCCGCCTCCCGCCCCGCCGCCCCAGCCCAAGCCCCAGCCCCAGCCCTCGCGCCCGCCCGCCATCACCAACCGCCGCCGCCGCCGCCGCCGCAGCAACAGCCCGCCCTGGCCAACGTCACCCGTCGCGACTACGACCAGCCCAGCGTCGCCCACGACCCGCCCGTCCGCCGCAGCGAGGAGCCGCCCCGCCCAGACTCGAGCCGGCGCACTCACTCGCGGTATGCGTCTGACGCGTCGACGACTTCCGCAATGCCCATCAACGGCGTAGCTGTCGATGCCCGGACGGTGCAGCAACAGCCCGTCAACAAGCGCAGGACCACCATCACCGCCCCCGCCACGGGCACATGGGCCCTCGGAAAGACCATCGGCGCTGGCAGCATGGGCAAGGTCAAGCTGGCCAAGAACGTCGAGACTGAAGAACAGGTGCGTACCCTTTGCTTGCCCGCCACATGGCGAGGGGCATCTGCACCCATCTAGCGCCTGCACTCGCTCGCCCCCGTGGATGCGCCCGGAATCCCCAGAGTGCCCTTGGTTTGAGCGCGCCCTTTGCTAACCTCCTCCAGGCCGCCGTCAAGATCGTCCCCCGCCAGTCGCAGGACCAGCACCAGACCGCTGCCGATCGCGAGCGAGCCGACCACTCCAAGGAAGTCCGCGAGATCTGGCATCTTGAGCGGCTTCTCTTCTGAGGCCTGAGGCGTGGGGGTAGGGGCGGGCTCCGCCTCGAGCCGTTCACGTTCTCGCTTCTCCTTGACAAGAAAGTAGACGGACAGGAGAGGGCTGTATGCATTGACGGGATCCAGTCCCCTCTGGATATCCTCGGAGGACGAGGCCGTCAGCTGCTCCCTGCTCCCGATTGAATTCCTTCTTTTGTAAAAGTCAAACATGCCCCTCTTCTTCTCCAGGTCTGGCGTCTGCGCAGTAGCCTTGCGAGCTGCCAGGCGCACAGCACGCTGGTACTCTTCTGACTGGATCACGTTGGTCAATTGGGTGGTGATGTATTCAGTGGTGCCGAAATCAAAGCCATGCATCTGCTCAATGATTTCGGGGTCCAGAGGTAGCTGTATCGGCTCTCGGTGCGGCAAATAGTTCTCCGGGGGGCTGTTGAACCCCTTGGTCAGCCAAGGGTGGGTCATGATCTCGGAGAGGGTCAGTCGCTGCGTCGGATCCGTCTGCAGCATCCTGTGGATCAGATTGCGGCATTCTGTGGCACGTCAGTCAAAGGATGCAAGAGGCTCATGTGCGAGGGCATACCGTTGGATAGCCATGGCGGATAGTCGACATGGCCCTTTTTGATCTTTGCGTGGAGCTGGGGCATGCTCTGGTCGTCAAAGGGCACTTTGCCGCACACGAGGACGTAGAGAACAATGCCAAAACTCCACACATCGACCTCTGGACCCGTGTACTGCTTGGCCTGGAGGAGCTCGGGCGCGGCAAAGTACAGACTGCCGCAAAACGTCTTGAGCTGGCTGCGGGGGGAGAAGAGGTTGCTGAGGCCAAAATCAATGATTTTGATGTCGCCCATCTTGCTGATGAGGATGTTCTCAATCTTGAGATCGCGGTGGACGATGCTGTTGCGGTGGCAGTAGTCGAGGGCGCTGGCGATCTGGCGGGCAAACTTGCGGGCCTGCTTCTCCTTGAGGCGGCCGTGGGAGATGATGTAGTCGAGCATCTGACCGCCATTGACATACTCAAACATCATGTACCAGTGGAAGTTTGTGCGGACGACATCCTTCATGCCGCAGATGTAGGGGTGGTTCAAGAGGCTGACGATGGCGGCCTCTCTGGCGGTGCAGCACCTCCCGCCGCCTACACCAACTCGGCCACTTACGAAATGGCAGGCGAGAAGCCAACAGGCGGGAGGTCGCGACCTCGAGCGAGGACCCACGGTGAAGACGAGATTGCTGACAGTCTCCAACGAGTGGATCTGAACAACCCTCCCCCAGTTCTTCCGCCCCAGGTCGAGCAGACCAAGAAAGAAGGCGCTGCTGCCGGCCTGTTGCGTCGGTTCAGTACGAGGAAATATAGAAGTCATGATAGAGAAAAGGTGGTGGAGCCGCTGCCACCACCACCTACCCCGGCCGTTGCGATTTCGGGCCCTGCTGAGCCAACCTCTGCGCCTCCGGTTACAGCGCCGAGGAAGAGCTTCAGCATTCGACGGACGCGCGGCCGCAACGCCGGATCAGTTTCGCATCTGCCTGGAAGCGCCACCAATCAGCCTGAATTACTCTCGCCTCCTGATACTGGTAACGCTGCTACCAGGAAGCTCAAGGCACTTGGTCGCTCTACCAGTGTAAACTCTGCTGATTTCCGGAGAAGACTTAGTAGACGAGGACGGTCATCAGAAGACCCGGGAAACCCTCCCCCCACTAGCGGATCAGACAAATCCGAGCTCAGCTCGCACAAGGCTCGAACAGCCAACGATGCTGCTTCTGACGATCTTTCTTCGAGCCCACGGCATGGGCAGGCCTCGCGGGCGAAGTCTTTGGGCCATGCACGTAGGGAAAGCATCCAAGCCCGAAGGGCCAAGCGAGAACAGGCAAAGGAAGCCAATGTACCCGAAGAGACGGATGCAGAGCTTGCAGAAGCGCAAGCAGAAGCCAGTCGCAGCCCAGATGCTGTCAAGCCAGTGTTTCTCAAGGGCCTGTTCAGCGTCTCGACGACTAGCACCAAACCATTGCCAGTCATTCAGGACGACCTGATTCGCGTTCTAGACCAGCTTGGTGTCGAATGGACTGAAATCAAAGGCGGGTTCAGGTGTCGACACTCGCCTAGTATCAATATCAATTCGCCTGCATCACCACCTGGTGCAGGCCACAGGAGGAAGATTAGCTTTGGGGGCTTCATGGCTGGCGACAAAGACCGTGACGATTTCCGGGATCAGAACCGCAACCCCGGGACGCCCAAGCTACGGTCGCGGCCAGCTCCTGCAGACCGCAGCTATACGAACACGGACGAGTCTGATGGCAGCGAAGACCGTGACGAGCGACGACCGCAACGTGCAGTACCGGCTGGCGAAACGTCGACGCATGTGCAAAGCGACATGGGCTCCAACATGAATCTCGTGTTTGAGATTCTCATTGTCAAAGTGCCACTGTTGACATTGCACGGCATCCAATTTAAGAAGGTGGATGGAGGGACCTGGCAGTACAAGAACATGGCTCAAACTATTCTTTCGGAGCTGAGGCTATGATAATAATATGGGGGGGGGGAATCGGACGTGTGAGCGCGGGGAACTTTTTTTCTGGACTTGAGCAGGCAGTCGTCAGCCCTTCAACCCTTCAACTATGCACTGTAATTTTTCTTTTTTTTTTCTTTTCTTAACTTTTTTTTGATTGATGTAGAAGGATTTGGAAGCAGATTTTATGAGTATAAACTCGACGCACAACGAATTTCATTTGTCATTGTTCCTGGAGTGGTTCGAGCGGTCGGTAGCTGGCGAGATGGATTGATCTCAGATCTCATTACCCTAATATGTTGAGCCAAGCTCTCTCATTTTGCGGCGTGGTGCCCTTGCTGGACCCCTACAGTGACCCAGTCGCCCTCACCGCTGCCTCGGTAACTTGACTGCAACACTGTCACGGTGGTGCAGACAAGACATTGCAGCGTCGCCCATGGTGCACCTGATGCGCATGCGCCGTCGATCTCCGTCGAAAGCACGAGCTCCCGCAGGCGCCAAGCCGCTCGAGCCAGTGGGGTGCCTCGCGACCTCACTCTCTCGAGTGCAGCCAGAGCAGCCTCACCCACGCTTGCTTGCCCACCACGCAACCGCGAAACCGCCAGCCTATTCTTCGATCGATCTTCTCTTGCTGCCTGCACCCGCGCAACTCTTGTCCTCTCGTCGATACCCCGCAATCTCCACCAAACCACTTGGTACTCGCAGCCAATGCAACATTTCCTCGCGCATCAGCAACAGTACGGCGAGTGGGGTCAGGGCCACCACCAGCAGCCGCAACACCATGTAGCCCAGCATGGCCAGCATCAAGCGCAAGCCGCACAGTTGCATGCACAGCAACAGGCGCAGGCTGTCCAGGCCGCTGCCCAGCGCCAATACCACCAGCAGCTCGCGGCCAACAATGGCACCACTCTGCCTGGCAACAACGCCGTCCCCAGGGGCCCAGCAAACGACGTGCAGGCAGCTGACGTTGGCATGACGGACGAAAACAGGCGCGTGCTGGAATGGGTGGCCCAGCTTATGAAGCCTGCCACTCGCGAGGCTGCGCTTCTCGAGTTGAGCAAGAAGCGGGAGCAGGTCCCAGAGCTGGCTCTGATCCTCTGGCATTCGTTCGGTATGGTCCGCTGGTGCGCTTGATTGCGACGTGGTATTAACCTGCTATCCATTAGGTGTCATGGCGTCGCTCCTTCAAGAAATCATATCCGTCTACCCGCTGCTCAACCCTTCGCAGTTGACCGCTGCCGCTTCGAACCGCGTCTGCAATGCCCTCGCGCTGCTCCAATGCGTCGCCTCTCACACTGAAACCCGTGGCCTGTTCCTGAGCGGTAAGTCGTGCAGCCCACACGGAGTCCACACGGCTAATACCATGACAGCGCACATCCCGCTCTTCCTATACCCGTTCCTCAACACCACGTCCAAGTCGCGACCCTTTGAATACCTCCGTCTTACGTCTCTCGGTGTCATTGGCGCCCTCGTCAAGAACGACTCTTCAGAAGTGATCAATTTCCTCCTCACTACCGAAATCATCCCGCTTTGTCTGCGTATCATGGAGACTGGCTCGGAGCTCAGTAAGACGGTGGCCATCTTCATTGTACAGAAGATCCTGCTCGACGATATTGGTCTCGCCTACATCTGTCAGACGTACGAACGCTTCTATGCTGTGGGTACCGTGCTGAGCAACATGGTCAATCAGCTTGTCGAGCAGCAGACTGTTCGCTTGCTGAAACACGTTGTGCGTTGCTTTCTCCGGTAAGCGACTTTGATATGCATTTCTGCGTCTTCGTCTAATTGGTAAACAGCTTGAGCGACAATGCCCGCGCTCGTGAGGCGCTCCGCCAGTGCCTCCCCGAGCCCCTCCGCGATGCCACCTTCTCCTCCGTTCTGCGAGACGATGCTGCTACGAAGCGTTGCCTTGCGCAGCTCCTGATCAACCTTTCCGACAATGTCGTTGATGCCGCAAACAACCAGCAGCTCATGCACTGACATGGTGTATGGTGCGGCGGCTCGATGAGTTTTAACAATTGGCCTGGGTAAGCTCAGTCGTCTAGAGCAGCCCTTTCTCGCCTTCTGTATATCTACGGCCTCGGCCTTTAGTCCATTTGGCGCGGTGGCCCATGTGCACAAACATACCCCTGGTTTGATCTGGTTTGGCTTCTAAAAACGGTGTGGATTCGGCGTTGGGGTTTCTCGCATGGGATACCCGTAGCAACAGTGTTCCTAGCATGGTGCTACTTGTTCTTGCATTGTATTTATCTTCTTGGACTCATGGTCATGGCGAGGAGTTTTGGGCATTGCATGGCGTAGTGCACATCCATGCACGGTATCAGGACGAAAAGCGAGTGTACATTATTGAGTATCTTTGGGTTTTGGGTGTGAAGCATCCCTATCTTTGCATGCAGCTGTCTGCGTGACTGGTGATGCGACAAATGATCAGGACGGATATGTTTTGAAGGAGCGTATGGAAGCATCCACTCTTCATGTGCGTTGGTGTTACACTTTGGTATGCGTTCCAGTTGTACCGAAGCAGTCTAGCGTGATTTTGGCTAGCGCGCACATTGTCAAATCCGCTACCGCCACCAGCCGCCTCTTGTCCTCCAACAACACGCAACAGAGCCACCAAAGGAACCGATATCCTCTGGGAGACACATCCGCCAACATGTCGAAAATCTCTGTCGCCGGCGTTCGTACGAACGTTCAACAGCTCCTTGAGTACTCCAACGAGACCAAGAAGAGGAACTTCCTCGAGACGGTCGAACTCCAGATCGGCCTCAAGAACTACGACCCCCAGCGTGACAAGCGTTTCTCTGGAACCATCAAGCTGCCTACGCTTCCCCGTCCTCGTACGTGGATACCAATATAGGTGGCAGTGGCATAGACTAATAGCGGCAAACAGGCATGAGCATCTGCGTTCTCGGTGACCAGCACGACATTGACCGTGCCAAGCACCATGGTGTCGATGCCATGAGCACTGATGTGAGTAGCACGATATATGGCGTACGGGGCATGTCTGACAATTGGCGCAGGACTTGAAGAAGCTCAACAAGAACAAGAAGCTCATCAAGAAGCTCGCCAAGAAGTACGACGCCTTCGTGGCCTCGGACGCCCTCATCAAGCAGATTCCCCGTCTCCTCGGCCCCGGTCTCTCCAAGGCCGGAAAGTTCCCCACGCCCGTTTCGCACGCTGAGGACCTTGCCAACAAGATGAACGAGGTCAAGTCGACCATCAAGTTCCAGCTGAAGAAGGTTCTGTGCATGGGTGTCGCTATCGGCAACGTTGGCATGACTGAGGACGAGCTGATTGGCAACATCATGTTGGCCATCAACTACCTTGTCTCTCTGCTGAAGAAGGGATGGCAGAACGTGGGCTCCTTGACCATCAAGGCCACCATGAGCCCTCCCAAGCGTCTCTACTAGAGAGGTTGTCGTTGTTTCTGGTGGGATATGTCGTGGCGTGTTGTCGAAAGACGGCTTGCCATGTTTACGATCTTACGGAATCTCGGTGGATGAATGATGGGTCTAGCTAGCTTGAATGCATGCCTGAACCCACCACTTGACTGCTTTACCAATTTTGTGAATGTGAATGCAAATGTGAACAAGCCATGAATGTGGAGTCTCTATCCAATGCGCGTAACGAATTTGAAAATTTCCTACCGCGCTCCCAGCCATCTCTGCGCCAAGGCCTGCCCCACTGTCGCTCGCCTTCCAGCTCCACTGTCGACTGGATCGCGCCTTCCTGGCCTATCAACTCTCCCCTGCCCATTGCTGACTAACTAGCGCCCGCACGGTTCACCCCCACCGCCGCTCGCGAATAAAACCACGCCCGTCTCCGGCCCTCCTCCTGCTTCCGCATCATCAGCAGGTAAATCTACATACCTTTTTAAACCGTGGCTCCGCGAAAGCGGCTTGCTGAGAGTTATTCCATCCTTCTCCTCCATGGATAGTTCTCCGTTCCCGGCCCCGTAGAGTAAAATACTTCCGCCCGTCTTTCCTTACCAATTGCAATTATCCGTGAAAAGATGGATTGGAGTTGTGGGATGGTGTGGGACATACCTCACTTTCTTGTTTTCTGTTCTGCTTTTATGTGAGCGGAGCAGAGCAGAAGTGCAGCTTTTTTTCTTTTTGTTCTTTTCGCGTGCGGCTTGCTTGATCATGGCAAAGCTGTGTGTGATTGTGCGTGTGCTGCTTGTGAAATTTTGCGCTTTGGTTTTTTGCAAAACTTTTGAGGAGCCATGTCGAGTGTGAGCTTTCAATCGCATTTGCAATCCGCACTGTGATATAGACAACGCCGTATGCTATTGTACAAAGTGGAGATTACACGCTATGCGACAGCTATACCAATACTATGCAATGTCGTCTACCAGCTACATCACCGCCGCCGTGTCGCCCTCCACTTGTCAAACGCCTCGTCAGCCTCTTCGCTCGCGATGCCGCATCGCTCGCCCAGTATGCTCCATGTGCGCATGCGGATAATCTTCTCTACCGCCCTCTCATTGCGCATCAGCATGGCAAGGCTCTCTGTCCTCGCCTCCATGGGAAAGTAGCGCCCAGAGTATGGATCTAGCCTCTCATCCACAGTGCGCTCTCTCGCCTTTGCATCTTCTATCTGACGCAAAACACTACCCGGGTCGTCTGGATCCGGGGATGTCGCGACGCCAGCGCAGTAGTCCAGTACATCTGATCGCACCGCCCAGCTGGGAAACAGCACCTTCTCCTTGAACGCCTCGCACTGCTCTGGCTCCAGCGCCCGTGTCTGGCCCGGCACGGGCAGCTGGCGTGTGCTTGTGGATGTTGGATCGAAGCCTCGTTGTGCCGGGGTGAGCAGCGCGTTGAGGTTCTGCGTGATCGAGTCGTCGATGCTGCTGCGGGATATGCGCAGAAAGTCTGTTGTTCAGCCGGCTGGCGCATTAGTTAGTGGACTGGGAGGTGAGTGTCAAGAGGCGAAGGGAGAAAGCGCGGACCTCGCAATGCCGTTTGGTTGAAGCAGAACTGTGGCGTGAGGGTTGGCTGTGCAGACGGCTTGGACATGGTGAGGTGCGATGGACGGGGGAGAGGAGGGTCTGGGGATTTCCAGAAGAAATTCGCCAGTTTGAAAGACAATACTGTAATATGCGCAATTGTTATCGAGTGCGCTATGCTGTGCTCAAGTCGTGATGCTTCTTCTACTTGGAGATGCCCGCCTAATCCATGTTGGTGTAATGATGTCAGCATGGGCCAGGGCCTGGAGCCGGGGCCGCTCAACTTTCGCGTTGGTGGCAGGCAAGGGCGCGACGCGCTTTGGACGACGGCTGCCTGCTTGTTTAGGCTGCCTCTCCCGCTTCACCATCAGAGCATGCCACTCCGCTTCAATGCATCTTGTTGCTGCATAAAACCGCGCCTGTCTTTTGCTTTGCAGCCTTCGCTTCGTTCTTTGCAATCCTCTTCAATCGTCCTCCGCCGCAATTGCCTTCCACAGCGCTGGAGCGCAGACCACGCTCGTGCTTTCGCAGCTATGGCTCCTAAGCAGGCTACTCTGGGGTATGTAAAGTCGTCTCAGACTACGTTGGGGTGCGGCGACACCCTGTAACTGGTGGGAAATCGTATTTGCTCACCTGCTATGCAACAGAAAGTTTTTTGGGAAGCCCACTGGCGACGCAGCGAAGCAGCAATCAAAACTAGCCTTCTCCACGAAGCCCAAGCCCGCGAAGAAAGAGGCCTCGCCCTCGCCAGAAGACGTGAAGAAGGAGCAAGATGCAGAGACGGATTCGGAGGCAGAGGTCAGAGCGCCGGTCAAGGAAGACGTAGAATCTGAGGGCGATGCAATGGAAGTCGATAGTACAGCGTCTGAGACTGGGAAGAAGAGGCAGATCAAGGAGGAAGTCGAGGAGGAGTCTGAAGAAGAGCCCCCGAGTAAGCGACAGCGAAGGAAACCCTCAGTGGAAAAAGAAAAACCAAAGAAAGCCGCAAAGTCAAAGACGGAGAAGGCAGCGGCGAAGCCAAAGTCGAAAAAAGCTGCTGCTGAATCCAAGGCTTCAGAGCCGGGAGATGAGGAGGAGGCACCAGCGCGAACCAAGGCGGCAAAGGGCAAGAAGAAGAGTGAGGCTAAAAAGTCTCCTGCGCTAGCAGAAGATGAGACCGAATCGAGCAAGGAGCAAGAAGATGAGGTTGTAAGCTCAGAGGAAGAGCCTGAGGAGGTCAAGGGCAAGGCGCGGAAGCAAGTACAGACGACCCTTACGGCCAACACCAAGGACCCATACCCCGATTGGAAACCTGGCGAGCCAGTCCCGTATGCGGCGCTGTGCACAACATTCTCCAAGATCGAGATGACGACGAAACGTTTGGAGATTCTTGCTCATTGCTCGCTGTTCCTAAGACAAGTGCTGCGGTTGACTCCATCTGATATGCTGCCGACTGTCATGCTCATGGTCAATAAGCTTGCGGCCGACTATGCGGGCATCGAACTTGGTATCGGCGAGTCGTTGATCATGAAGGCAATCTCCGAGAGTACCGGGCGAAGTCTACAGCACATCAAGAGCGACCAGAACGAGATTGGAGATCTTGGTCTTGTCGCGGCGAAAAGTCGATCAAAACAACCTACCATGTTCAAACCCAAGGCACTGACAGTTGAGGGCGTGCGCAAGGGTCTTATGGGTATTGCTACTATCGAAGGCCAAGGCGCTCAGGGCCGCAAGGTTGATGGTATCAAGAAGCTGCTGTCGGCAGCAGATGCGCACAACTCTGGCAAGCACGTCGACATTGAAAAGGACAAGGGCGGACCCAGTGAGGCCAAGTTCATCGTACGGACGCTGGAGGGCAAGCTTCGATTGGGTCTTGCGGAGAAGACTGTTGTGGTCGCTGTGGCACAGGCAATGATCTTCCACGAAATGTCACTCCAGGGCAAAACACCATCAACAGAAGATTTGGGAAAGGCAGAAGCCATGCTGAAGACGGTATACAGCGAGCTTCCCAGCTACGAGGTCATCATTCCAGCCATGATTGAGCATGGCATCATGAACTTGCGCGAGAATTGCCGCCTACAGCCTGGCGTGCCACTCAAGCCTATGCTTGCCAAGCCAACAAAGTCGATAACAGAGGTTTTGGACCGCTTTGAAGGCAAGGACTTTACCTGCGAGTACAAGTACGACGGAGAGCGGGCTCAGATACACTTTGTCGCCCACGATGCACAGATGGAGCTGGCGACGGCAGCACCCAGTGCTGGCAAGAGCGACCGTGGTGTAGCCAATATCTTTTCGCGCAACTCTGAGGATCTGTCGAAGAAGTACCCTGATATTCTCGCCAAGCTACCGACTTGGGTCAAGGAAGGCACGAAGAGCTTTGTTCTGGACTGCGAGACGGTTGCCTGGGATATGGTGGAGAAGAAGGTGTTGCCTTTCCAACAGCTCATGACGCGGAAGAGAAAGGACGTCAAGGTCGAAGATGTGAAGGTCAAGGTTTGCGTTTTTGCCTTTGATCTTTTGTACCTGAACGGCGAGGTGTGTATCCTCATTCTAGTCTGTGACTGATTGCTGACATGCTTAGGCACTCGTAACTAAATCTTTCCGCGAGCGCCGCGAGCACCTCAATGAAGCCTTTGTGCCTGTTGAGGGAGAATTTGCCTTTGCCAAGTATGGCAACACCAATGAACTGGAAGAGATTCAAACACTCCTTGAAGACTCAGTAAAAGAAGGCTGTGAGGGTCTCATGGTCAAGATGTTGGACGGGCCAGAGTCTTACTACGAGCCTTCTAAGCGCTCGCAAAACTGGCTCAAGGTCAAGAAAGATTACCTCGCCGGCGTTGGCGATTCCCTCGATCTTGTCGTACTGGGAGCCTACTACGGCAAAGGCAAACGCACAAGCTGGTATGGCGCATTCCTCCTCGCCTGCTACAACCCTTCGACGGAAAAGTACGAGACAGTCTGCAACATTGGCACTGGTTTCTCCGAAGCCATCCTCGAAACTCTGCACAAGAGCCTTTCGGAAATCGTCATTGACCGCCCCAAACCTTTCTACACACATTCGACTGGCAACAAAGACCAGCCTGACGTATGGTTCGAGCCGCGCTACGTCTGGGAAGTCAAGACTGCGGATCTTACCCTGTCGCCACGCTACAAGGCTGCTGCAGCTGAAGTGGGTGGCGGTGGCAAGGGAGTCAGTCTACGCTTTCCACGCTTCATCAAGGAGAGGGACGACAAGAAGCCCGACCAAGCGAGCTCCAGCCGCATGATTGCTGACATGTATCAACGGCAGGAGAGCGTGGCTAAGAACAAGGGTCCTAGCGTTGATGATGACTTTGAGTATTGAGTTCCTCTGCAATTCTATGTAGTAGTACAAAGAAAGAAAAAACATTCTCATGAGAGAGATCAAAAATGACTATCGTGTCCTGGTGCAAATGATGCCTGCTTTCTTTTTACGCTGACCATGTCTGTAGCAAAGGATGGAGATGCAGAGACTCGTTTAGTGGTGTACGGAGGCTGGCTATCTAGCGAGAATGAGGTGTAGATGAGAAGTGAAGGCTGATCTTCTGGCACGGTGCGACGGGTGCTTGTCGCTGTCTTGTATACATTTACCATGCTGCTTAGAAATGGGTTTACTCAAAGATTGGGTAATACTTTCTAATATCATACTATCTAAACGTTTTGTTTTAATCCACATGTTCCTCTTTCGTCTAACACTTGTCTAAAACTGGTTAGGTCATGGTCGAACAGGAAGGGAGAATAAAACGAACCTTGAGGTACTGTTGGGCATACCTGGCTAAAAGCATCGGCATCGATGCACTGGATATAGCAATCGCCAACAAATCTCCCAAAGGCACTCTCCCTCGGCACACGAGGACAGGAGTAATACTCGGAATATACATTGCCACTGCCGATTCGCAGGGTGCCACAGGCTTGTTTGGTACATCCCTTTGTCCAACCAGCGATTATGTCGTGGTGATGGTCGTACTGGTCCTTGGTGCACGGTCCTTTTTTGTTTTGTGAAGTCACATCGATGAAACAACACATCATCGTGTTGTCACACAGAACCGCGAGAGGACTCAGGAGAACGAGCAGAGTCAGCCATATATTGAGCATGATGGGCTTGAGACAGATAGCGTGAACAGTGAGAATGTGGCTAGACTTTTAATGATAGGCCAGACTGATGAGCTGGCTTTGCTTCTTATACGCTATGTACTCAGGAATGAACAATCATGTTCTCTTCTACTTACTTACCGCAATGAGGGAGCAACTCGATCTCACTCACGTAAGACTTACTCATCGCAATGAGCACTAACGGCATCTTGGGCGTAAGGCGACTCGCGATCCAAATGTTGTAATAACGAAAGTTAAATATTCTGATGTTACTAGTAGCTTTTCTACACGATGCTTAGGTAAGCGCGGCTTGCATCACTCGCTGCGTAAAAGTGTAGATAGTATTCTTGGTGTCTTGTTTGATTCTTTGCAGTGATTCTTAGATACAATAGGGAGATTACATGTAGGTATAATAGCGGCTGTTGCAGTACTAAGTAACAGTGGGACTAGAATGCAAGGCAATGAAGTAGCTATACTGCATGGATTTTAGTAATTTTGAAGGGCTTAGGAAAGAGCTCTAAAATAAGCTTGTAAGAGCCCAAACACAGCCATAAGAATAGGCTTCAGAATAGGCTTAGAATAGGCTTCAAAGCGGGTTCCTCAATGGGCCTAAACATGCGCTTGCGAATGCTAAAATAAAGCTTGGAGATAAGGCTGTAGACACTGGCATAGTATAGCGGGTTAAAAATGAAATTCGATAAATAGATTAACTCTGTTTTAACTTTTGGTAGATTAGAAATACGTGCTTAGATGTCTTCCGATATTGCTGACTAAAGACGGCTTGGAGATTACGATACTAATACAGAGAGGCACGGTGAATAGTAGGTGGATTACTTATTAGTGGAAGGAGGTTTAACTTTTACCTATGCTGGTTGATATGAACCTCATATCGGATCAAGACGTGAATTCTATGACGGATGATGATATTCGTTAGGCTTACAGGCCCGATTGTATCCGTTTATTCCTCGTAGATCGACATGCTACAGAGATGCAGCGATTTTCTTACTATGCAAGGTATCTAAACACTGTCATGGACATGCTATAAAAAAGGAGTACTTACCCTGCTTCTATACACAACACATCTTGCTTTACTGCACTGCATCTATCTTTCTACTGGCACACAGTTTACCATGTATCTTTTCAATCTGTTATTCCTCCTTCTTTCGGCACTACCCAGCCTTGCAAGTCCTGATTATTGCAACCCTATCAGGGATCCAACGTGTTGGCTCCCTAGTGGTTCATGGACTCCAACAAGGGAGCTTACGTTCCATACGGATCTCCAAGATCTCATCCTAAACCCCAGAGCAAGGCAGATTCAGCATGTGAATGCAGTTATTGCTGTGACGAATTCTGGGGGGATCAGGGTCACTTTCTCGCCAAACGACGTGCCTAGTTCGGTCGACAATATACAATACCAGGTCACTATTGAAGGTGTAACCCGTCCCACGCCTCGTGTAAACTGGGACCCTCACGCAGATGGCCCGAGCCCTTCAGTGGACTTCTCGGCGGATGAAGTAGAGCGACTACTTACGCGCTCTCGAAGTGGAACACTCCTATTCAACATTGCTGTTAGGGAGGATGGTTCTCTCTAGAATTAGGGCTAGGGCTAGGGTAAATCACGAGTAACTATCAGGCAAGGGCCCAGCAGGTCAAAAAAAAATACAGCCTGGTTGGAGAAGTTCGATCGAATCAAGTTGAAACATTTCTATTGATGGTACAAATTCGTGGTATTTCTAGGGGGACCAATGAGCTGTGCGACTCGTGGGTGGACTGGAGAGAACTATTTTTTGTACCTACTTTACATATCAGATTGCATACAATAGTAACTACATACAGATCTTATGTCATGTTAATCCTCTCTCCTGTTGTTAAACTGATAGTATAATTTAATGGCTAGCATGGACGAAAAGTTGTTTGCAGTTGACATATGAAAGGAATAGCTACGACACCGTCTACTAAACAGCAGATCCTATTTTAGTAGTATGTTGGTTCTATGCGCTATGTATGTGCCGTACTTACACTTCAGGCCAGACATGAGAAGAGGCTTTTTGGCCGAGTGCTGCCTGGCTAATTTTGCTAGGGCAAGCCTCCCTGATTTTAATTTAACGGGTTAACACGTGTACTTAAGAGCTAAGCTCGCTCTTGTCAAGCAGAGCCAGCGCGACAAAGACAATCCTGGCTACAATTGCCGACATACACAATGGGACATCTTATCAGCCTGCTATCTTAGTTCTGATGCGCTATGGAAGGCTTCAGTGACGCATATGGATTTCCTATTATACGTACTATCTATGCTAATTATAAGAAAACACAGTAGGCCACTATCTAACAAACACTATGTATAAATGTACGGTATACTCCTACCAAAGTTAGAATTGACAACAGATCTGTATACTACAAGTTAAATCCTTATTGATCCAATATTCAGCAACGGCTCGTTAAGCGTATGATTACAATATTAGTTTGCGATATCCATTTCTAGTCACGTAAAAAATCCTCAAATAAGTGACTATGATGTGCTTGCGCTGAGTTGCGAACTCTGCTGCATTAGCAAGCTGGAATCACTCGTAGAAAACAATAGTAGCCGCATGACAAGAATTGTAGCATAAGAATGAGCTTTCTATAGAGCTGCCCAGGTAGCAGGGAAACTATAAGCCCTGGTGCAGAAGGGTTGAAGGAAAAATTACAATGACTTAATTGGGTAGCTAACAATTACGATCCCTGTTCCGCGCTGCTACGAGCTGTAGGAATATTCGCGAAATACGCTCAAGGATAATCGATATAATCCAGCTTGCGTAAGCACTCGTTTCCTTTTGGCCCGGCTTGACAAACATTAGGTGAGCAACATCCGCCATGTTCGTTGGCAGCTGCACCAATTGTACAACCACGAGTTACATCTAAAGATATTAGAATACTTCCATAGTGCAAATTAAGCTGTGTATACGCACGTGATAAGCAATGGTGACCGCCTCCAAAACCAGCATCTCCCCGATGATTGCCGGTCTCTCCGCGTTCAACTAGTTGATAATCATGTGATAAATCTGCTGGTTCTGCTAGGCAAACTATTAACAAACCTCTCAAGATAGCACCACACTAGACCTACGGATAGCAGCCCCTGCAACCACTGAAAGAAATGTAAGGAAGATATCAAACTTCATGACTTATAGGGAGGGGTTTACTGTGTGTAACTTTCAAGTAAATTAAAATAGATGAGATGGATTTTTTTAGGATGGAGAGGCAATCGTAATAAATACTTCTGATTTGTGAATGTACAGGTCTGATTATGCAATCTGTTTGATTACGGCTGACTAGTCTGACTCAACTTTCTCTGCTGTACGGAGGTGCCTTTCAAAAGTATTGTCTGCCAAGAATAATCTAACTAAAGTGCGGCCGCCTTAGCTGAGGCTTGTCTCTCCCCTCTATGTACTTATTACCACCTTATAGCTTAATCATCTTTTAAATATATATAAGAATTCGCTTAATCTAAGCTTAGATCTTAAGTTGTAAGAGATCTCTCTAGCAGTTCTGCTAGACTCTAACTGCCTTAGCCCTTAACTATAGAGCTTCTTTCTTTGTAGTCTCTCTTTTTATATAGAGCTAGCATAGCTTAATGTAGTTATAGTCTAGCAAGTTTCTACACTAAAGTAGTCTCTTAACGTCGTACAGGCGATAGATCACACCCTAATAGTGGTGGGCGTGGCTAGGTGCCTTATCCTCTATTACAATAGTCTGAGGTCTATCTTAGAGGCACTCTTTAGCAAAAGGAATTAGCTTTAGAATTAGAACGCAGGCCTAATATCTCTACTAGTCTATACCACCTCTAGACTTACGCACTAGCTTACCTGTCTTCTCTGTCTATCTCTATTAAGGCTTCCTGCCACGCTTATTGCGTAGCCCTGTCCTTCTTATAGACTCTAACAGCTCCCATTCCTCTCGCTGTAGAGGCTCAAGCTTAGCGTTTAGCTGCTTAATCTAACGAGTAGCATCCTCTCTCTCTGCCTTCGTCTCTAGCTAGTAGATATAGCATAGACCTTTCTTGTTATACGAGAAGCAGCCCTAGAATATAAACTTAGAGTATCCCTTCCACCTCTTATAGATGCAGCTCTTGACTACCCTCTCGTCTGCCTTTCTCTAGACTCTATAGCCCCCACGTTAGTGGTTAATCACCACTAACGTCTCGTCTGTCTAGATAACATTCTTCTAGTCCTCTAACGTCTAGTTCTTATGCTCTAATGCCCACTTAAGACAAGCACTCCTTATCTCCTATGTTAACCTAGGCTTCCTTGTTAGCTTAGTCTTTCTGTATCCTGCTGCTCTTAACACCCTCTAGATAGTAGAGGCAGAGATTTCGACTCCTTAGAGACTGAGCCCACCAGCAAGGTTAGCATAGCTCTTCTCTCGTCTATATCTATCGTGTCGTACTTATTGCAATATCTACTCCTTCACCTCTACCTGCTTAGCAGGCTTACTAGGCTTTAGAGCATCCTGAACGTGGTGTAGAAGGATCTTAATAGGAAAGTTGTTTAGCTTAAAGCCTACAGCAATAGCTCTACTATAGATACAATCTATAGTATGAGGATGAACGCTAGTTAGCGTAGAGACTTATAAGGTATTCTTGCTAATAGGAGGTGATTTTAACGCAATTACTAAGGTACGGGTATATATATCAATATAAGGAGCTATAGTTAAAGAATAACTACATAGTAGTAGGCAGACTAATTAGATAGCCCCTTAACTCTAAGGTGGGAGTTGCGCCAAGAAGAGTTGTGCCAAAGCGCTGAGATTAGCGTCAGACAATACTTTAGAAAGGCACCTCCGTACACGGATTGTAATTTTAATTAGAGTTACTAGTTAGATTCAAATTCTCAACGACATAGAAAAGCTTTTGTAGAACAGCCTCTTTCCTCGCCTCCCTGGTTTTCCTCGAGGCTAAATTCCTTCCCGTTACGCTTCAGTATCTCGTCTAGACTGATAACTTTAATTTAAAAATAGAGCCGCAAACGGCGTCGTGTTTAGTAAAAGGAAAGCTTTAGAACACGTATTATAGATTTTGTCATCTTTATATAGCGCTAACAGAATATCTCTTACGTATTACTTATATAAGACTTATATAATTTATTATATCTTTGCACAGAACTCATATTATAAGGGTTTTAATCGCCGTGATAGCAACTTCGGTTCGCGGAAGAAACCCTATATTGTGTATTTCCAAAATTTTAATCCAGGATGTAGCTCTAGCTACCTTTCGAAAAACCCCTTTTCAAGAGATCCAGTACGTTGTGACGGCACAATACAAATACTTGAACAAGTAACAAAGGTAGTAGAAATAGATGTATAGAACTGTAATAATTGTAGTGTTAACCACTATCAGTAGGCTCAGTAGAGGTCGGCCGTTAAGGCGCTATACCTTAGCATCTTTCAATTCCCAATGCAATATTTTAGAACCTTCTTTCTGATATATGGTCTTTTGTTAGTCTAGATACATGATTGTAGGACAGTGCTCATAGCAACAGTGGTAGATAGAACAAATACTAGGATGGTTCACAAACCGAATTGCTAACGAACACTGTCAGCGACAGATAGAATCATTTATTAGTGCTGTGGTACTAACAGGGTAAGATCTTAGCCTCTCGTACCCTTGTGGTTGTCACAAGTACCGGCTTTGAGTGCGCTGCAGTAGTCTACCCTGAGTTAATCTCGACACCTTCACTACGTACAACAAGGCTGATTAATAAACGTCTAATATTACTAGCCTCTGAATATACACCGCATTCGAATATGCTTAATGCTGCAGGTTTCATGCATAATCTTCAGGGTAATGATAAATTAACAGGAAGAGTAGCTAGGCATTTTAAGGTGCAAAACACTGGCAATACCAAAAAATGGCGAAGAGTCATTCTAGGGGATCTTATGTTGATATCGCTCTTTGCATTTAGATCTCAAAGTGCGAAGATGCAGAGTTAGCTCTTGTCGAGCGAACAGGAATTCAAAATTAATGGTAGGGGAAAGACCGTCATTTTCCTCTAAAGGCAATGCAATGCTCCACCATTAGATGAGTTCAACACCACCAGACAGTTGTAACTGCTGGATTGGGGAGAATGGAGTTTCACAAGAGTATTTAGATATTGCACATAGTACCCCGACTGGCTTGGTCTATTGGCCCCTCTTCCTATCTCACATCAAAGTGATCTTCGCTACCTGCTGCCTTCGGGTATACCGAGCCTCAGTATGTAGATGTGGCAAAAGCATACTGGACACGTCCAGTAAGACCAACTGGCGCTATGGACTGATTGGTGCCCAAAACGAACCCTACGTAAGAATACCGGTTTCTTTTTTATCGATTCCTCCGAATTCAGGCATGATGAGAGTTGCCAGCCGCTATGATTGGGTTGTGGTTGTGTATCATGCAGGAGCATGTCGCTTCACCATGTTCGGATGATGACCTGCAGCAGCTGAACTAGCTCATGCGGACTATGTTGAATTAGGTCAAGCAGCTTCCGCCCAACACTAACAGTAAGCTTTCGCACGATTTAAAGCGCAATATGGTCTCATTTGGTATACCTTTGATCTTTTCGTCCCCTCTTATACATCACAAAAAACCGTTGTGATATTCATTCACACCAAGATGCCAGTAAATTCAGGAAGACACGCGAGTTCCAGGAAGAGACTTCCTCCTGAAGGCCGCCCTGTACAGCAAACCCGCCCCAGCTCACAGAAAGGAAAATTCAAAGTGTGGCTGGGTAATACGAAGCGCGAGAGACATGAACCATCCGAATCCGATGTAGAAGTAGATTTGAGGGATGCCCAAGAGTTGGAAAGCTGTATCGGGTCCTTGTGGAAGGGTGAGCGTTTACCTAGGAAGCTCAGCCTATTTTGTATCAAAGCCAAGGATGTTGGAATGTCTCTCGACCGAGACCAGAAACGGGCTCTTCTAAAAGCACTTGCGAACACGGAAATATACCCCAAAAAAGAGATGCATTTGAGTATTCGAACAGTCAAGTCAGAGACGGGGGGTGAGCACGAGGGGATTGATAAAAAGGCGGAACTCTCCTATGCTGCAATACTCATTATCGATCTTGCATTGAGAGACGAGCAGGATATTGATACTCGTGATCTTTTTGCTGAGATGGTTGGATGTGCTACGCCAGACACCATTCTTGAGCTGTCATTTGTCCTTCGCTATCCTTTCATCACGTTGACAGAGCTGCCTACTCTGATTCACTGCACTGTCAGACAGTACGTATGCACGAGCTGCAATGTTGTTACTTCACTCGGACTATTCACGAATCCGCCATGAACTAATAGACTCTCTAAAAAAGAGAAGATAGGGGAGTTGAATATGCTGCATCGGATCATCAAAGAATATCCGCTGACCTGCGGCCTTATTTCTAGCATAGCCCGGATTGACAAGAACGATCGCGCGAAACAGCCAGTAAAGCTAGCTATAGAGACAGCTACTGCTATTGCAACCACGCTAGAGCATGCCGAGGAACTGCAGCCACAGAAGCTAAGGGCCGATAGATCGCTTTGGTCTGGAAAATACGATCGAGTTGGGAGGGAGAAAGCTTTGGTATCATCGTGTAAACGTGCACTCGATGACTTGCTGTTCGGGACTCTAAGGCGGGCAAAATATCTCCAGGAGAACTACTACGCCGACGATGACGACGCTGCAAGACAGAATCCTGTGCAGACAGACGAGAAAAACAAAGAGAAGGAAAGTAAAGAGGATCGGCTGTACAGGTATAGCCGGGACTTGGGCTGCCATGCAGGCTTATTGCTTGCTGGAATCCAAGCCTACTTCCTGCGGTCGAAAGAAAATGACGAGGACATGGAGATCAAATGCGATCTGCTCATTGACGTTATGTCTGGCTTTCTCAACGGAGTCCCCACTGTCGGTTTTGTGTTTGGGCCAGCCGGCAGCGTTGCCAAAACACTGTTTCATAAGTTTTCTTCAGAGAAGAAGAAGAAGAGGCGAGAGCAGGTCAGTCAGGGCATCAAGGAATATTTCGACGAGAGCGTGTGGGCGCCAATCTTCTTCGACGACGAGTTCTTTCTTGAGGATGCACACGGGACGGCGCTGATTGCACCTGAGAAAGTGGAATGGGCCGTCTTTTCTAAATGGTACGAGCAGATTATCAGGTGGAACCAAGCGTTTGTGAACTGGCACTAGATGCATACCTCCAAGGAAGGTATTCACATGGGCTTTTCTTTACTGCGACGACATGAACCATGAACACTCTTCTGAGCGACCCTGATACTTTTAAATTGTTCCCGTTAAGCCGACTATAACTTAGCTATATTTGCTGGTAAGCGTAATCAATGTCTGCATAAAGAAATCAAAAGTACTACGTAGTAAGCTCTTTACAAATATTACGACATGAGCCGATGACAGGGCCGCGAAGGGGTGCAGCGTCAGCAGTGACCCTGTTCATGCTATTAGAGTTGTTCGAGCCGTTCCGTTATGCTGGCTCTCCTAGTTCTCCTAGCTCCTCACGTTCTTCGATCCATTCTAGTGCTGATTTAATGTATAGTATACAGATAGGTAGCTGGCTTGAAAGAGGGCTTCCAAATATCTAGGTATCCCTTTATCCAATAGCTAGGATATATCTCGCCTTAGTCACTGTAGCAAACCATTTCTAATGCACACATTGCGCGCACGGAGACGGTCATCGGGGGGTTTTTCATTTCCGGTGCCAAACCACGCGGTGTCTCTCGGTATTACTGCATACTTGACTAACCACATGATCTATCGAGGTAGCACGCCCCCCGCCCCCCTATCTTAAGAGATGATGTCTCACTACTCTGCCTAATACATTCAAGATGAACGATCGTTCCGTGCCAGAAGCGTGCTCTGCCGTCCCCCGCTTTTTTAAGTTCGGCTGTCGTCGGAGATAATTACACAGTAAGCTGTGACGTAGTTTCACAGGTAGGAGCAAATATATCGATATGGTATGAATTAAGAGGAATCCTTGAGGTTTGTCCCAAAGTTCAGGCGGAGACTATATACTCTATGTAGAGTCCTGTAGCTCTCTTAAACTGAGGGGTCTTGGATGGGGGCCCGAGGGTTGTTTTCTTAGGTCCTTTGGCAGAGTATCACGACAAAAGCAGCGTCGAGAAAGCCCTTGAAATTTACTTTAGGAAGAGTTTATTCTACGCTAGTCTTGATACGGTTAGGATCAGTCATACGTGAAGGAGTATTCTTGGTGCTATGAGATAAACACAAGCCTCACCGTGGACAAGTGAACTCAAAGCGGGAAGTCTATATAATATGCACTGCTGTTATCCTTGATTACACATTCTCTATCTTCCCATCGACACATTGTTAACAACTTTACCATCATTTGCTACAAACAAGCCCCTTGTTTGCCTCTCTCAAAGATGCGTTTCACTGCTTTTCACCTTATCCTTGCTCTTGCTGGAGTCTCTCGCGCGTCGTATCGCGAACCAATAACAAAGCCTGATATAGGGTCCTCCCATGCTTTCGGCTGCGATATCACTGGATATTGTAACTGCATGGCGGGTTGCGGATCGCGGTGCCTGCCGATTTGCAAGATAGAAAATTGTGGAGATACGTACCCACCATTGGATCCATCAAATCCATCTAAAACGCGCCCGTTTCCACCAGACTGCTCATACGGACACGAGCGCTGATGTGGAGTCTGAGTTGGCGACAATTTGAGGCTAGAGTGCAATACGGCTACCACCTAGAAGGCCCTCTTTCATAGTATCCCAAGGTGGCTTTAGCTATATGCTTGTCTTTGCACGCATCCATACAAATACATTTTAGGAGTTGCTGTCTCTTGATTGGTTCCTAGACTGATAACATCTGAAGTCCTTGTAGCTACTTTATGCTAAATCAGTGTTAGCTTAAAATACTACAGTACACACTCTGAAGAAGCTGTTTTCTATCTATATGAAAGCAGATTTGTTAGGAATTAAAATGTTGGAAGAGGAGTTATCGAGATTTGACAGGTGCGAACTTATCGGGTTCAATAATGTGCCCCAACCCCAGTCCGCCGCTGGGCCCAGGAATGAATCATGTCTCCTAGTGGCTAGATGCTCTCGCCTCTCAAAACTAGTTAGATGGTGTGCAATACCTCGGCTGCCTCATGCTATAGGATGCCAAGACTCGAGGGAGTAAAATGTCGAAACGTCGATCCGGCATCGCTAGCACTTACTCTTTTGCGAAACAGACTTTTTCTTTTTTCTGCATTTGGCACAAGCGAGAATCTTGTTTTTGCCCCCAACTTTACACTTACAATGACATTCTTTGCCATGTCTCTTCGGCGCGCAAGGCCGTTGATGCTATTGCTGACCCAACGCCACTGGCTGTACAGCAATCACATAGGTGTACTTGTACTGGTAAAGTGCACCTGTTGTCTCGCTCCGGATTTCCCGTTTCGGCTAGCAGGGCAAGGCGTGGCTGGCCACCAGCCGCAAGTTCTGATTGGCAGGGTACGGGAAGCGAACAACACCGCCACAGGATTTCCTCCACACCGTTCCTGCTTCGCCGCCAAACTCAAAGTGGTGCTACGGCTGTCTCGGCGCGTTAGAAAAGGCGGATGTGCACTACAGTGACAGATCTCGATGGCAACTCCGCGGAAGGCATGCCGAGCATGGTGGATCGGGTATGTTATGCTTTTTTTACGCAATGCTTCCGTCTAGTGTTGGTATCTCCGGATGCTCGCTGTCGCCTGGGCCAATCAGGGTTCGGACGGGACGACGATGCAATGCGACAAGTGGAATGCGTCCTCGTACACCTACAGCCTACGGGTTTGCGTACCACACCGCACGAGCGGAAGCCCATGTTCCAAGTTTCCAAGTAGGCGCCGCGGACCCCGCATTGGAGCCGAAGTCGTGTCTTCTCCATGGCTTGCAACGGGCTGATGCTGGAGAGGAGAATGTCGCTGCCCGTCATATGGCAATCATTATATGCTCGGCTAACACGCATCAAATCATTGTTTTTTCATACTACCTACAGGTAGCGCACTCCCTGCCGGATTCCTGGGTCGACTGGTCTCATCAAAACCTGTTGGGTACACAGCAAGCGTGTCAACAGCAACGCGGACATGTCAATTCGACGACAGCAAACGGCAACAATAACGCCTTCTCTCCACTGTGGCAACGGCTCCACTTGGCCAATACGGGAGGGCGGGTGAGTTAGCCATGGACGTATGCAGGGCGGCCATGAAACGCATGTCTACATGCGATGATGGGATTCCGCGCGTTTAACTTTCCCATCTCCGCCCAATCGGGCCTAGCGGGTGCATTAGCCGTCGGGGCTCTAGGCAAGATGTGACTACGGGCAGGGTGAGTGGCAAAGACAACTGTTGTGACCATGGTGATTGGCGGGTAGCTGGCCGGCTTGTCTACACACAGAATCGGTGCGCGCGCATGCACGCCGCTGCGAGGGCCAGCGAGAAAACGGGGGCGAATCCAGCAATTCGAAACGAAACCATATCAGGGCCGTGTCTCGCCAGCCGAGCTCGTCGGGCAACAATATCATCTGACAGGGCAAACACTCAAATGTCATCCTCGCCCGAGCCCATCCACTGCCACAGCCAGAGCTGCGGTGATTTTTTTCCTCTTCTCTACCGTCGGGCCACTGTCTTTGCCTCATGTTCATATTTGGAGTCAGTCGCATCCGCGGGTTTCTGTCCCTGCCGTTGTGTTCGCATATAGGCTCTGCCGGGCCCTCTTCGACCATTCCTTCTTCTGGCCAGATACCCAGCTCAGTCCCCTTGAGCTAACAAGCGTTTTCTTCAGTCATCATCACAGTCTGTGGCTTGTGGCATGCAATCACAACAGTCGATTCCAGTTCCTGTAGGCGAAAGTGCTGCGGCCCGACCTCTTCGACCTCTTCTCCCCGCATTTGCTCCCAGGACCGAACCTCGCCCCAAACAGTCCAAGCGATCCCGCGTCTCCCTAGCCTGTGCAGCTTGCAGGGCTCGCAAAACCAAGGTATTGGCTTTGGTCACTTTATTCACCACCACAGCGGCAGAGAAACATGGTCTAATGATTTTTTTCTCTTCTAGTGCAATGGTGACCGTCCTCGCTGCAGTGAATGTGCGTCTCGCGACAGCCGCTGCCAGTACAAGGAGACTGAAATCACCCAAACGAAGCGAAGGCACCACGACCTGGAGCAGCTGTTCGAGCTGCTCAAGTCGCTGCCGTACGAAGATGCCGCCGAGACGCTGGGCAGAATCCGGGCCGGCGTAGAACCACGCGACATTGTTGAGACAATCACCCATGGCAGCATGCTCATGCAGTTTGCCTCGAAATTCAGGGACACGAAAACCGGCACCAGTTCCAGTATAGACAAGAGCGAGGCCTCCAGCGGCAGTGAGAGCGGCAATGGCATGGAAATCGAAGAGACCGAAAGTGGCACCGCGAGCAGGAGTAGCGAGGAGCCCAAACACTCTCTAGACGCCGCTCAGCGCACAAGGACACATGAAAAAAGCACCGCAATCCCGCTCGACCGCATCTTGATTTCCGATCCAGAAGACGACTGAGTCTTTTTTTTTGTCGCAGCATCATCCCCAACCCGGAGTAAAAATTCGCGGAGAATCGGAGTTTTATGTTTTTTTTTGAGAGGCTACTTTGAGTGGGAGATACTCAAGTCGAGTTGTATCCAGTATTACACATACAAAAGAAGATTGACGCATTTTCCCAACCTACACACACTCTTGAAAAAGGCACCACCACCAAAATCCGATCGTTGTTACCAATCGCCCTGCAAAGTCGTGATGCGAGGCGGCAATACAACTACTAGTTATTCCCGAACAAGTATTCTCGCAGCTGTAACCAGACACGTGTTCGAGTTTCAATTACCGAGTCCTCCAAATAATCTGCAAACCAACCCTTCCCCGGTAGCTTATTCTCCCAATCCGCATCTGTCCACCCCCACACGTCGTCTTCAAACTGCACGTTCAACTGAATGAAGTCACATAAGCACCGTATGTTGACTTCAAAGCCGTTTGCCCTCAGCCCTTTGTACATGCGTACGACGAGTGATGATATATCGGGGAGAGCACTGTCAGAACAATCACTCTCGTCGAATATTTCCAAAGTAACGAGCCTGGGTCCAACATAGAGATCCGAGGTAATCTCATCAGCAGTAATAATGCGGTTTGTAGCCGGAATACCGATAAATGCCGTGGCATAGCCATTGAGCTTAGCATAAAACTCCGATCGCTTGCCAATATTCGAACCCCTAGTGGACGCCATGCTGTTCTGCATCTCTTCCAGTGACTCTGGCTCGAACATGTAGTCGGCGTTGAACTGGATGCTGATGTTCAAATTGCGCGTCAGCTCTTCCATTGTCATGCCAACACCAAACACGTCTTTCGTGACGAAATCCAGTATGGATAAATCGTTAATTGTACATTGATCGTCAGGAAGATTACCTGAGTCATCTGGCCGCTGATCCCTGCCGACAACATCCCTGAAACACTCGAGGATTTCTCGGGCTGCTACCGGTCCCATAAAGGCCTTGTCAACAAAGTACGGTGGCCTCTCGATCGTTTTAGGTGAGTCGAGCCAGGGCGAGTTGCTCACGTCTTCGCTCTTGTAGAACCACGCATCGTCAAAGGCACCCCAATGCTCCAGAAGCGCGGCGTTGGGATCGTTATCCGGTTCAAAGTCCCAGAGGTACATGTAGATTGCGTCTCGGAGTTCGCGCGGTAGTTTGAGGATGCGTGCTATGAGAGCCGTGTTGGCGTCGCGCATGTAGTTGAGAATGGCCGCATGTAACTTATCCGCCCAGTCATGGTGGCAACTCAGTACCTCTGAGTGCGGGGTTTCGGGTTTTAGTCTAGACAGGGCATGCTTGCGCTCTAGAATGGTTCTGCTCACGGGGTTAGTCGAGAAGGGGTAGGTTCGGATACAATGCTCACTGTACAAGCTGCTGTTCTGCGTGCTCTTGCGCATGATCTGATATGGAAGACATTATGTGATTTTAGCGGATGCTTGAACTTTGATCATTCCTTCATCAGCATCCAGGGGAAGGTTGTTGGAGTGAACAACGAGATGATAAACAAATGTTGGTTTGTAAAGTGGCATCAAAATAGAAGCCGCTTTAGCTGTTAATTGATGCTCCCATATATGAGATTAAATAGCAATTGCAATAGCAGATGCAGGAACAGCTGTAGTATTAGGCAGCCGCGGTGGTGGTGGTGAGAAGCCTTGGTGGTGGGCAGCCGGCGCGGAAGTGGTGAGAAGTCGCGGTGGGGGCAGGCTACTAAAGTAGACTAGTGTATATATTACGCGATGCTCACGCGCCAAAAGCCAATCGGATGAGACCTTAATTCAGCTAGTGAGTGTTGCGTTCTTTGGACGCGTTGCAAGCTGTAGATGTGATGTGATGTCCCTACTTAAAACCTCCCGCGGAGCATGGCTGCATGCTGTAGGGAATGACCAACTCGACTATAATGTTCAGCTAAAGCTGCAACAACTATTTACATGCAAAGCACCTGTTCTGCGCCATAGATGCTTGTCACTACCTTCACATATTTGAAATTGATTTCGCATAAAAACAGCTTACCTCAGGGTAGCCAACCTGAACACTGGGCATGATCACTGCTGGCTTGCTTGTCAATTGTTGTCCAAATCCAATGCATAGCCAGGTAAGGTGTCTTCACAAGGTGTTGGCATGCGTTGCCCCTCATCGTGCCCACCTAGGGTGAAACAAAAAACAACTCCAGCACCCTGCCTCTTCCTGATCGAGGTCCGGGCCGAACTGGGAGCAAAAAAAAAGTAATGTCGCAAATTTGGCGGTACTGGGAACTGTAGACATGTTAGATGTCTCAGGACTGCCATAATATTTTGTGGTAAAACGTACTCGAACCCAGGCTGGCGCGGATCTGGATCGGGACACATAGTGTCCGCCAGCCACAACGCGACGTCATACCACTAGACCATACCACCTTATGGTGATTTTGATGGCGAAAATTGGGGTAGCAGTGTAAATATTGCAAGAAATATTGATGTTGCGGCGCTGCCACAGGTCGGGTTGTACACTCCACCCGCTTCATGGTTAGCGGGGTAATGAGTTTTGCGCCCGCCCTAGCCAATTTCGGGTCTATAGATTCAGCAGAGCTCTGGGAAACAAGTCTCCAGTATATGCATTGATTGGATCAACCTTGAAGTTTCGACTATTGATGTCTTTGACAGAGGCATGATCGATGAGGAGGACTAGCCCTTTTCGATTGGAATGCGCGAGAGACCGACCAAATTCACAGGTCATCACTGTATATGCAAGATCGCTTATCTAGGGCTTTGATTCCCTACGACAGGTTGTCATTGATAGGTATCCAGCAAACTGCTGTCACCGCAAACCTATGCAGCACGTATTTTCCGACTTGTCCCGAATAAAATTCTGTACACTTGCATGCATGCTCTCACGAACATGGCGCAAAACGATGCTTGTGGTGATATTGTTTTATTCCAACAGTGGCAGTGTCGGGGCTGAGATTTGGCGGCGGTGGCTGTTCCGATTTGATTCCGCTTTTGCCGATAGTTAGTTGGGAAACTTTTGGACGCGCCAGCAACGCTGCAACCGCCATCGCAGCCAACACCACCATGGCCGGACCGGACGCGCAGGCCTCGCCTGCTGGCGGGGCATCAACCGGGTCTGGAAAGCCCCCCAGGCCCCCGAATCCCGTCTGGCGGATGATGGGTACTTTTTTCATCTGCCTGGTGCGACTTCGCAACTGACAAGCCTAGGTCTGCCCAACTTCCGCTTCAAGCTACCGTCGCGCAATTGGATGATCTTCCTTTCCATTACTGGATCATGGACTGCCGCCGTCATGTACGATCGCCGCCAGAAAAGGCGCATACAAAAGAAGTGGGCAACCGTCGTAGAACACATTGCCCACGAACCGCTCGACCCACATCAGCTGCCCCGCAAGCTCACTATATACCTCTCTGCGCCGCCGATGGATGGCCTGGTCCCCGCTCGCGATCACTTCCATCAATATGTCAAGCCTATTCTTGTCGCAGCAGCGCTAGATTGGGATGCGATTGAGGGACGAAGAGAAGGAGATGTCAGAGCCGGTTTGGCAGAGCGGATACGGAAGCTGAGAAGGAGGAAGGGAGAGGCGACTGCTGAGCCGATGGAGCTAGGTCTCGCAGAGGAGCTGGAAGGCCTCAGGCAAAGAGCAGGCGTTAGTGAGTGGGGTGGCCCAGGCGGGGATATCATCATCGGAAGACACACATGGAAAGAATATGTTCGAGGGTTACATGAGGGCTGGCTTGGTCCGTTGGATGCTCCGCCAGTGCCAGAACCAGCGAGTGAATCTATCAGCGCTGGTACTACGCCTGCTCCAGCCGATGACGCATCTCCTACCGCAACCGCCGACTCCCCCAAACCAGAAGACGCGGAAAAGCCAAAGGAAGAGGAAGAGAAGAAGCCCAAAAAGAACAAACAGCCGCCGCCTTTTATTGCGGCATCCGAATACCAGAACGCCATACTCTCACCGAATTGCCCACAAGCTCTCGGTCCTTCGGCAGTCATTCCGTTCCCACATCTTCTCGGCTTCTTCAACTTTCCAATTCGCATGTACCGCTTTTTGAACCAGCGAAAGGTGGCGGATGCTATTGGCAGAGAGACTGCAGCTGCAGTTCTCGGTGCGTACCGACCTTTTGAGACTACAAGTGAAGGATCAGAAATGGACGAGCAGTCAGAACAGCAACAGTTGCTTGCCCACGAAGAGCCAGACTGGCATAAGAGTGCGCGAAAGCGTGAAGAAGGCGAGACAAAGGAGAGGGTCTGGCTAGACGAAATGGTGCTTGACCCGCGGATCGCGGGGCGCATGAGACGCTTCGCATTGGACGCCGAGGTTGAAGAGCGCGCGAAGACGATGCCCATCCCAGCAGGAAAGTCTCTGCTCAGCTCTCTTTGGACAAAGGAAAAGCCCAAGGGTGCTTGGGAAGGACTGAGTGACGAGTAAGCGCTCGTAGATTCCACCCTCTCCCCTTCTATCTTGCTTTGTATAGCAGTGGGATCTGTAAAAGTAGACCTGTACCATGATAGCATCAGCGGCGTGAATGATACCATGTGACCTTGAATATAATTCGCCTTGTTCAAAACGTGTCACCTGTCCCCAGGCCGTCATTAGGACGTGAGATAGCGCTTGGCATTGGCTAGCTGCCCCGCCAATAGCCCGAAGGAAGCTTCGAGTCGATATACTTTACTTAGTACCACATCTGCAACCAGCGAGTATCTCTGTACCGCCCGCGCGTGTTCCAGGACATACCACCAGGGCAAAATAGTGCACTTAACGCATTAGCCAGCTTGCGACGCGTTTCCAGACAGCACACACAACGCCGTCATGGTAACGTGCCCCACACCATGCAAGTAAGCCACGACTGACAACCACAGGCTTTCCAATCGAAGAAGCGCCTTGCGGTGGCGATTCTCGATTTCCTGCAGACGTCGCAAAAGGACGGCTCGGTCGCTCCCGACGATGCTGAGCAACTCGAGGTTGCTGCCAACTGCATCAGCGAGGCCTTCAAGGTCGATCTCGCCGACGAGGCGGCGAAGAAGGACGCAATTGGCGACCAGAACCTGCTCGCGATTTACAACGTCTACGAGAAGCTCAAGGGAAAGACGACTGCTACAACCGAAGGAGGCTCATCTGCAAAGGAAGCTCGTCCAGCAACGCCGCAGACACCTGCTGCCAATGCATCAGGCCCCGGAGGACCCAACAAGGACGAAGCCGAGAGGCTAAAGGGCCTGGGTAACGAGGCGATGAAGAAGAAGGACTACGAATCGGCCGTCAAGCACTACACTGCTGCCCTCGAACTCATACCGCTCAACCCCATCTACCTCTCCAACCGCGCCGCCGCATACTCGGGTCAGGGCAAGCATGAGCTAGCCAAGGAGGACGCTGAGATGGCCGTCGCTGCCGACCCCAACTACTCCAAGGCATGGTCACGTCTCGGTCTTGCAAAGTTTGTGCTTGGCGATGCAAAGGGCGCCATGGAGGCATACAAGGCCGGTATGGACGCAGAGGGTGGCGGCTCGGAAGTCATGCGCAGGGGATACGAGACGGCCAAGAAGAAGGTGGAAGAAGAGGGCGGTGATGTCGGCGCTGCTGATGCGACTCGCGGAGTCGGTGGTGGTATGCCCGACCTCTCCTCGCTGGCCGGTATGCTTGGTGGAGGTGGAGGCGGCGGTATGCCCGATCTCGCGGGTCTTATGCAGAACCCGATGATGAGGCAAATGGCGCAAAACCTTATGAGCAACCCAGACATGATGAGCAACCTCATGAACAACCCAAGAATAGCAGAGATGGCTCAACAGTTTGGTGGTGGCGGTGGACGAGGCGGCGGCGGTGGTGGTAGTGGTGGCGGCATGCCCAACCTCCAGGAGCTCATGAACGATCCAAGCCTGGCTGAGATGTAAGTCGACCAAACAAGCATAATTATGACTGCAGCTAACGAAAACCAGGGCCCGCAACTTCATGGGTGGAGGTGCTGGTGCTGGTGCTGGCCGAGGAGCAGGAGGCGCCTCGCAATAAACCACCAGCCCGTATTAGATTCGCGGTAGCAACATTGGCGTAGAGCATACATGAGGAGGAAAATAATGATACCATGTTCACTTGCACCTGCAAATTCCTATTGCCTACTCAAAGGCCACTACTTTTGTCACTTGTACCCACCACCTAGACGCGTTCCCGGGGCGCGTTCGCAGGCAGAGCCTCAAAGGACTTTGTTTGTGTGGCAAGCTGACAGGCCCAACTCCGCTTCTCGAATCCGAGCATACCGCCTCCTCCAGCGTCCTTTTTTGCTGCTTTAAGAAACAAAAAGAAAGACGTCAACCATAGGTCGTGCTTCCATCGCCTCAGCACTTGATTTGCCCTTGCGCATCTCTCCCTCAGTCCAACTTCAAACCCCACAGCCCATCACCCAGATAATGCCCGGCCTCACACGCCTGCCCCTTCTTAACCTTCTTCATCTCATCCGTGCCCATCTTAAGCACCCCAACCATACACGCCGTCTCCTTGCCCTCCGCCTCAATCACAACGACAGCACCCTCCTTGAGCTCCTCCTCGCCATACCGCTCCTTATCCTCGTCGCTGAGTTCTGGCCCCGGCAAGCGGCCGCCCGGCGACGTGAGGCCCGGCGCCATGAGCGTGGCTCCCGAGAGCACGAAGCGGATTGCGCCGCGGTCGATGCGCAGCCGGTTGAATGCAAACGGGTACTTGTGCACGAGCGTCAGGTGCGGCAGCAGCGCATCGTCCATGTGCTGGAAGAACAGCGGCGTCGAGTTGAGCGTGTACAGCGATACGCGGTCTGGTCTGCATTTCCCATCCATCCTCTCGTGTTAGCATCTCCCCTTGTCTCCGTAGCACGGCGCCCGTGTGCTTGCGTAGCAGTGAAATGGGGGAGCACCGTACAGCTTGACGAGATCCAATTGCTCCTTCTTGGGCAGTATGTCTTCAATGTAGGGTTCCAGCTTGGGATATTCCTCGAGCACCTTGGACCGGATGCCGCGTTGCGCGCTGGATTTTACTTTGGATTTCGCGCCCGATGTTATGCTGTGCTTGTTGTTAGGTCTGGTTGGTGTTTTGCGCAGCCACGTGGGGTATGAAGGCTCTCTCTTACTCTTTCTTGAACATGGTGACGGTTTGGAGCGCAGGTTGTGGGGGTATTAGGGTGTGCTTGCGGGTGTTGAGACTTGCTGTTGTTCATGTGTATGCCCCGCGGTGCCCCTCATTGTACGCGCTAGTGGGTTGTCCAGGGCTCGCGCGCTCGACCCTTGTTTGATCGCCACGCCTTTTCGGGAAGCATTCATAATTCTGCTGTGCTCAAGTTCATAAGTCCTTGAGGATTTGAGAAGAGCAAGCATATCAATTCCATAATTCATGTCCGGTTAAATCCATACTTAGATGTTGTTAAACAGTTGCATTGCATGGCGCCAACTCAAACTATCAGTCGAACAACCCATTATTATGTACATATCTTATCACCATGTAATTCAATGCCTGTGATCAAGGCAGCCCCCTTCCACTATTGACAGCATCTGCTAATTGACTTGTTCCCGGACGATTCTCTGCATACCTCTCATAGCTGTCCAGATAAAGATCATCCGTACTTGTAGTCATCTTCACACTCCTATCTGCCTCGATCGCGTCAATCCATCGTTTCCATCTACTCCCCTCCTCGGCTTCGGGCCATCCTCTATAGGGGCTCATAACTCTTCGTAGTCGGAGGATCCAAGGCGCAATCTGTACATCTACAAAAGAGATTTGGGGACCAAGGAAAAACGGACCGGTAGGGTCAGCGGCATCGACAAGCTTTCCGATTTGGTTGCGGAATTCGGTCGCATGAGAGATTTGGTCGCTTTGGTCTTGGGCTTGGAGGAGTTTGTAGAACCACGGAATGATGTTACGGTTGATATGGTCCGTCCAGAGGCGTGATGTAGCGCGAGCCTGGGCATCCGGAGGTAGGAGAGGCGGTCCGACATGCAGATCTTCAAGATACTCCATGATCACAGTGGATTCGTGCGTCGACCACGTCGGGCCGTGCCTGATTGCAGGAACAAGACCACGTGGGTTGACGTCGAGGAGGCTTTGCGGTTTCTTGTAAGGATCGACTTCGATATACTGATAGGGTATTTGCTTGTGCTCCAGTGATATCCACACGCGCTGTACAAAGGGGCTTCGTTATGTTAGCATCATGGATATGACGTCATACAACCATCGTGCCGGACTTACCAGAATGCACTGCCATACAACTTCAATTCATCTTCTTTCGAATGATGCTTTACCGTTATCAAAGCATTGCCGGTGGCCTTTTTGTGGTATGTCTTCTTTGAAGGATCTCCGCCCTGATTGGTATCGGTCATTGTGTGTACAGACGCAGTGAATTGTCGCTGGGATTGTAATCCAGGTGAATGAATGAATTGGAAAGGAGTAATTCGAGACAATATGGGGTAATTGGAATGGGAAAGTGGTGCGCGGAATGAAATTACGGGAATAGAACGGAGAGCAGATCGCATTAATGGCGGGCTGATTGTGCAAAGGATAGGTTTGGGGATGAATACGGGGTGAACATATAAATGGAATAAAGACCGCATAGAGTGATGGGTGGGGGGTCCTCTAGCATCAAGATGACGTATACACCCGGTTCACTGACATGGTGCATGGTTGTTGCAATCAATACTGGCTAGGCAAGTTGATAGAACGGCAAGGCTGAACAAAAACGCGAAACTTACCTGTGATTTTCTTTTATCATCCTTATCCACTTTCATCTGCCATCTGATGACACTATTCTTCTTGACACGATCGCTCTCCTCAAGGGTGTGCTTGTGTGGTCCAGCAACGCCATCGCCTTTGCCATTCCCACCGTTTCCATTTACTCTTTGAACAGTGTAAAACTTCTTTTGTAGGGAAACGGTTGGCGATGTGTATTGCTGCATGTTGATATCCGGCGGACCGCCCATGGTTGGAGGCATGTCCCAGCCTCCAGCGGGTTGTTGCGGCAGTAGAGGGCCCTGCCCAAAGAATTGCGGGTTCGGGTTCGTGTTCTGACCTGTGTTCACCGGTGCATGTGCTGCTATGGGGCTCGGTGGATCGTTCTCGGTCCCTGGCGGCCGGTGTCCCAGCTGTTCTTCATATTCTTGCCGATCAAAGAACTCTGTGATCTTGATCTTGACATCACACAGATCCCGCTCTCGTGCAATCCTCTTCCTCTTCTTCTTGTCTGGGTCTGTAGACTTCTTGGTTCCTGGCGGCCGCCCCTTCAACCGACAGTCCCAGTAATGCGATACAAAGCGGTTGCGTTTGTGTTTCTGCGTCGAGCGGTGCGAGTAGACGTTATCGATGTGTGGGAAGTACATTTGGAATCTAGATTCGAATGAGAAAGCAGAGCCGGGAATAGGTGTGGAGCATCATACTGCTCCTCAGTCAACGTGATCATTTCGTCCACGTGAAACAGCTTCTCCCTCCACTCGTCCAAGTTTGGTGGGTTTGGAATAAGCTTGAGCCCTTGGAACTGTCCATGGTTCGACAATTGGGCATCATCCCTGTCGTACAATTAGCATACCCTCCTATAGAACAGCAGCACGCGCCGTCAAACGAGCCTGGAGCAGTTGGCATAGCTTGCAAGCGGCACCTTGACTACTTGCTATGCCAGCGGGTCGCCCCGACACGGTCTCAAGACTGCGGCCAATGCCAACATACCCGTCGCGTCCGTCCGGTTGTGGTGGTGGTTGAGGTTGTGGCTGGGGCGGTGGCTGCTGCTGGGGAGGTCCCTGTTCAACGTGGCGCGGCAGGGAGTGTGTCGTTGGGAGCGCGGGTGGTGCAGGCGGTGGGAAAGGGAGTTGCTGAACTGGCCCTCGCACCGTCTGCGGCGGAGAGGCATGATAGTGCTGCGCGTGCTCCTGTAGTGGGGGAGGCGGCGCGTTCATGAATCGCGGACTCGTGACATGTTGGTAATTGGCCGCCTGGAATTGGGCATACGGGCCCGAGGGGGGCAGCCCGCGTTGCTCAAAGTGTACGGGCAGGCCATGCGGCGGCGGTGGTGGTTGGGGCGGCCCGGCCAGGGCGTATTGTTGTTGGTATACATCGCTGTTGTGGAGGTTCTGGAGCTCGGGCAACACCTGATGCGGAGGGTATAGCGTTCCGTCTGGAGACTGGTGGAGCGTCTGGAGGGAGCCTGGGTGCAGGCGCAGCTGCTGCTGGAGGACAGGCGAAGAGGCTTGTTGCATGATGGCGCCGGTGTTGGACGCTGCTTTAGCCCAAGCCGTTTTCGTGAGAGAGGCAGCTCAACCGACGTTCCCGATACCCGGTGAGCAGCCTCGTGCGGGTGCGTCAGGCAACGAACAAAACACGCGCGCTTCACATGCAGAGCACTGGGGGCAGCGTGGCGAGGGTGTCTTGATTGCGTCTTTGTCTAATTCAGCTCTGTATGTGGCAATCCTCGTGCCGCAAGCTTAGAATAGCATCCACCCGCTTTGCTGAGTCGTGGTTGGACTCGACGCTTATGCCGCACTCGCAACTTTTGTCATCGCCGCTCTCAAGCAAACGCTACACATGTCTCTTCACGTATCCACCGGCTTTCTCCCATCTAAAAAGATCAAACCCAGTCCCGTCGCAGGGATCGCTAACCCGCAACGCCATGCCCATGCCGTGACGAAGAGAAGCATTATCATGAAACACAACCAGAACTGCCACCCGCTACTCTCCGGGCAGCAGATTGCTCTTAACCGCAAACATCTTGGACGTGACGCCCGCAGTGAATCCATCCACCTGCCTCGAGTACTGCTCCACCTGCCTCGAGTTGAGCAGCGTCTCCAATCTGCTCGGCTCCTGGGGCAGCTTGAACAGTCGTTGCCATTCATCTTCCGGGAGGAGCGCCTGCTTAGAGGCAGTGCGCGCAGCGTTCTCAGCCTTGCGCTTTTGTTGCCAAGCCGTAATCTTAGCCTGCTCACGCGCAAGGGATCGCTGGTAGTATTGATAGTTGTTGATCTCTGTGTGGTGGTTCTCAATGCTCTCAAGGAGCAGGTCGCACGTCTTCTCCAGGAAGGGGTCGATGGAAAGATCGAGCGAGTCGTAGTTCGGGAAGAGCGGTGGCTGGGGGATGTTGGGGTCTTGCTGCAGGGCAGCTAGGTTGGGCGGGAACTTGAGCTCCTCCTTTGGCGCACTCGAAGGCAGCTGGTGGAGGAGCGAGGTGAGGAGATGCGAGTTGTGGATAGTTACGGGGAGCTCGACCAGAATATCGTGGTAGCGGAGACCGCTCTTTTGCAGACTGTGCTTGTTAGCCTCTTTTCCCAGGCCTTCAGCTCGTGCGTATATACCTCTCAGTGGTGAACTTGCCCTCCTTGTAAGCAGACATGAACGAAGACGATAGTCTGTATGCGCGGAGGTTAAGAGTGCCCTGCGAACTCCTGCTCACATCGTAGACCAAGGCGACAGTCCTCTCGTTCGGCTGGCCCTGGTAGAAGTATTGGTTCTCGATTGTGTTCAGGTTGACAAAGTTGCCCATGCTGGTGCTGGTGTACCAGCCCACATTGTTTGCATCCACGTTCACTTCGCGCAGGAACTTTATCATTTCGTTGCTGTAGGCGACGTTCTGCTTGGCGCGGGGAGCAGCAGCCGCGAGGTTGGCGGCCGTCTCGTTCTGTCCGTCGGCCTGTGCGGGAGATACATCGGGGAAGGGGAAAGAGTTTGTGATCTCCAGGACACCGTTCTTCTCCATGCCCACAATGCTTCCGGTCGCGATCGAGGGGAACGCCTTTCCGCTCGCAGTGGCGATCTTGATCGCAACCTAGCAGCCAAAGTCAGCCTCTTGCAGTTGCGGCAAACGTATACAAAGACATGTCGATTGCACAATGGCGGGGCGCACAGTGGGGTGCTGCTGGTGCATTTTTTCTACGTACCAGGGCGTCGATCTGCACTGACTTGAACAGCGCATCTTTCTGAGTGTCCGCCATCGTAGATTCGGAAGAGTACGTCGTGCGGAGAGTCCGGCAAGAGTGTCAACGTTGGGCGTCCGTCGTTGTCAGGAAGCAGAATTCGGGCTCAGTGACTCTGCCAAGATTCACGCTGCTACCTAAGCGAATCCATCACGCTAGCCCAAAAAGGCTCAAGCATGCCATTCCTACCCTATCCAACTCTCCAGATCTAGTCATAACAGCATCCAAGCGCATCTGGGGAAGAACAGACGAGGTGATTGAATCGACTTGGAAGAAACATCCGTGATTTCTATTCAGTGTGGTGGAAGTGGATATCCCAGTGTACGATGAGTGTCGAAAAAGATATGACAGCCTCTTAAAGGCGTCCAATTAAGAATTCAAATTATATGCAACACAGCTGTTGTAGTGTCAGGGATTTAAACGTCCGGCATGCACCTGGGAAACAACCCAAAGGTCAACATAGTAGCCAAGAGACTGTGAGACTTAAATGGCTCAAATCTGTACTTGTTCCATTTTCTCTCCCCGCAATACCAGCAAATAACAATGCCCTTTGCAAATGCAATGGTATCTAGAAATTGATGATTACTATCAAAAAAGCAACATATCCTCTTCATGTATTGTACCTAACCACTTTCCGGTAGATCCACCCAAGAAAAGGCGCATTCAAACCATGTCCTGGTCAGATCCAACTTTCCCAGGTTCGACATCTTCTGGAATCTCCAATTCCTTTGATTCCTTCTCTTGCTCTTCTTTTATCTCAACGACCTCCTTAGAGACACATGGCGCGCTTGCTTCAACAGTGTTCTTCCTCTTATGGTTACTGTATGGATTCCATCGTGGCACCGCAGGCTGACGCTGCGACCTACGATTGCTGGCTTTTGGGTTCCTTGCAATCGAACCATCGTCCATTCGCATCCATTCCGTATCTTCATTATCAATGTGATCGGATATATCGGCATCGCTTTCATCTTCCCAGATCATGAGGTTGGTACCGTTTATCTCTATCGATTTACCACCAGTGCGGGGAACGAAAAAGATGTCAGTGCCAGCCTTGCTAAAATCCTGTACCCACGTCTCCTTTTGCTGCAGCTTGAGGATGTATTCCATGGTCAAAGCATATAGCACGTTTTCGTCCTTGTCGTAAAGTTCTTTGAGTGGGTAGTCGAGGCAAGCAAGTCCGAATTTGCAATCGATCCGGCTGGATAGCGGGTGAATGCGACCACCGAAGATTTTCAATTCAAAAGAAATCCCACTCTCTGTCCACATGTTGTCTCCAAAAAAGACCTCTGGCTCAGACAGTAGTGGATGGTCATGATGCGGTCCAGATACTTCGCAGAAATGGGCTACTTCATGCGCTAGGCATGTGGCTAAGAACATGTTGTAACGCAGTACCATGGCGGGCTCACGATACCGGAGTAGGCTGAGCTTCTTTGCTGTAGTGTAGAAATCCGAGTGCAAGCAAATACGACTTGTATGACATTTATGGTTGATCTTCCGCATCAACCCATTCTTGTAATCCTTGACCAAGCCCATTGATGCATATGCAGTCTCGGGGGGTAAGGGGTCGTGGTGGAAGTAAAAGTGCAGTGTGTCGATCTGGTTGCCAAGAAAATTCTTGAATATGGTGTCGCGCTCCTCAGACCATGCCACATCCTCTTTGATACGAAAGCATGGTTGACCATACGCAGCCGAAGTTTCCTCGCAATGCTCTCGCTTTCCGAACACGAGGGTATGCCAAAAGTGAGCCGTTGCTCGAGAGGTCAAAAACAGCGTAGCCAACTGCAAAGCCGGTTTCATCACATCGTATATCCCATCAGGACAGCCATGCCAGTTCTCTAAGCGAAAAATTGGATGGATGTCGTTGTCAAGCGTACATATTGCTTCCGGGCCATTTTCCCCAAAGGCCACAGCTTGCTTTTTGATCAGCTCAACTGGATCAAACCCAAGCCTCACAGCCTTCTTCTTTGTTGCGTCTTTACGGTGTCCAAGAAGTCTCCGGTACTTCTCCAGCGCTTTGCGGTCGGCTATCTGAGCGAGATGATGATTGATCGAAATACTTAGCTGCAGGCCAAAGTCCTTGGGCACCTCGATCGTGGAGGGAGTGAAGGATAACGACTTTTGATAGCTCAAGACATCCGGTAGATCGTGGACCAGTTTGTCAATACACTCATCCATAATCCTACCCTCTGCCATCTTGTGAAGGAGCACCGCATTCTCGCCCGTATCCTCAGCCCTGAGATCGCCTTCACCGCCACCGGGCAGGAGGTGTCGCATCTTTTTAGATAACGCCGGTGGCGGTCCACATTCCGGAGGAGGGGTAAGAGATTCTGTAGGTGTCCAATCCATGCTATCAGGGTCCTGCCCTGATAAAGCAGCTTTAGGCGCGTCATCCTGAATGGTGGTTTCTTCCCTGGGTTCAAAATCTTGTCTCAGCCGATCCTCGATGAGTTGTGTGGTGTGCAGCATTGCCTCATATGCTTTACGGTATCTAAAGGGATCCATTCTGGTTGGCGTCAGTATCCCAGAAGGCTATCGTCGGAAAAAAGTCGAGTTGGTGGTTGAGTAGGGTCGACGCTCAACCAGGTTATATGCAACAGTCGCAAACGGCTTTGGAGAGGATCGGGCTGCCAACTATTATTGTTCTCATGAGAATGTCTTGAACGCCCGAGACAGCGCGTTGTGCGGTTGCAGCAGCGTCGCAAATTTTTGCACAAGCCGGGAATGGGATTTTGCAATTCGTTCTCGGCTGGGCTCGCGGAAAGGAGTAGAACATCCAGCACCAGCCATCTCACCAATTTCTGGTTTCACAGCGCCGGGTTGTATTGGTTGCTACGGCAGAGGGGATTGCGGGCGGAGGGCATGTCTTACTCGAGTCGACGAAGCGATCAGCACCCATCAAACAGTAGATGTGCTTTCATCCAAAACAAGGCAGCAAACGCTGAGGAAATGCAAAGCAGCGTGGTGGAGTGTGGTGGAGAGGTGAGCAAGGGTCGGTGTGAGTTGTTTAGCGCAGGCAGTAGCAGGTGCCAAGACCCGCTTTCTGTCCCGCCAGGAAGGCGCGCGCGTTCCATGTCTGACCCATCAACCATTACATCAGCATCATCGCCGAACATTCGCAGGCAACCACAACAAAAAGCAGATTTAGCGAGTCTTGTCTAGGCCAATCTCTTTGTAAATGGGGGCACCAATAATTATCGGTGGTGCTGTGAGCCAAGCTGAAACCCACTTTAATTCGGCTTTCCAGTATACGCTGCAGCCATGTCGCGCCCCCGGGTCCCGTCAAGCTAGACTCCACCTGGTCTGTTCTCTGTGCATAGCGTGCATACTATAGCGACACTAGAGCTCGAAAAGACATAATCTTTGCGCACATGCACACCACCACGTCACGTGACTTAACAATCACCGGAACGTAGCAAATCATCTCATGGCGCAAGTATATTCGGAATGGGAGATGTGAATCCTTAGCAAATCTCTATACCTATCGGAATCGGATAGTAGGGAAGATGTTGCTGACGCTCGGAACGTCACGTGTTGTACTGCTCGGTATAGCTGATCCATATTCGCGCCAAAACCACTAGACACTACTACTGGATACTCCCTACTCATCCTCGTTGAAGTCATCAAAAGGCCAGTGCTTTTCAGTCATTTCCATCAACCACGGGTCATCACTAACTGCGGCGAGTCCTTCCTCCTTGATCAGTTTTGCCCTCTCTTTTGCACTCTCGAAGGATTCATTGGGCGTCCATCCGTCGGAAGCAACACCAAGGACCCCGTTAATCCGTTCCATTTCATTGTCGAAGTCGCGGAGGGACTCATCCAGTGCAGTTATTCTTTGTGCTTCTTCCTCTACGAGTAGAACAGGGCATTTCTGAATGCTACCATCTGAGTTGGCAGAGGCAACCTTCGACCAATTCTTCACTACTTGAACGATGTTTATTTGAAGTGGGGTATTCAGGCCTTCCCAAGGACTGCCGGCATCGTGGTATATCCGGCGCTTCAGAACACTTGTTTCTTGTTCGAGGGCGTGCCAGTGGGATTCATTCATTTGTTGTGTGAACGCTAGGTAAAAGAAGTGTACGTGCTGACGGCGGAACTGCTCCAGTGCTATAGCACGTTCATCTTCCTCCATTGATTCAAGGTCCCGCGGCATCTGGGGTGGGAAAAAAGGCATAGATTCCTCATCCTTGTAGTTTTGAAATGAGTTTGGTATGCCGGCAGCTAGAAATGTTGGAAGAACAAGAGAATGTTGCCAGTCGATAAGGCCGGTGATGCTCAGATCCTCAGAAACGAAAATGTTGTTGGGCTGGAGGTCAGGATGGCGAAGAACTGGTGAATTGAGCTTGGGATATTCAGGTACAAGATAAGGAGCGAGCCGGATGTAATCCATCAGTGAATTGGCATGTTCCTCGGGATCCTGCTTCTTATAATCGAAAGTTTCTCTATACGCACGCTCGATAGGGAAACGGGGCCGGCCGTGTGCGCGGATCCAGGCCAACTCTTTCTCTGCAGGAGCCTGAAGAACAAGGCGAGCATCGTCATCTGTGAGTGCTAAGGTTAATTACATACAGTAGTCATAGATTGGTACATACGAGGGCCCCGGTCAATGTCAAGATCCCCACGTTCGCCGAACCACCATCGTAGAGCTGCGTAGGGTCCTACACATAATCCATCATTAGATCCAGGTATTTCGATTCTAGGAATATCAACAGAGAGATCACGGGCGTAGTATATGCTCCCACTGGCTGGTAGATTGATACTGAAGAGCTTCGCTTCCAATTGCACGATTTGGAGTATGACTTTGAGCCTTTCATGTTCCGAAAGCTCAAACCAAGCATCCCCAATGGGTCTTCCTGGTAGTTTTTCCATCAAAATATACTCAGCGTCGACGACATTATCACCAATTGAATACCCCAAGACCTGAGGTACAGGGACTCCGTATGCTCTAACAAAATCAAGAGTCGCAACCTCACTCGCTACTGCCAAACGTCGCGGTAGAGTTGATGGGTAGGGTAGGCGGGCAAGTATGCTCGAGCCGTCTTCCATTGATATTTCAAAGACACGGTTAAAGCCACCCTCTGCTATTTTGCGAAAGCTTTCGATATCGGATATTGGCCTGTTGACTGAATTGGCGGCGGCTTTCTTCAGTTCATCGACGTTAAATGGTAAACGTCTCTCGGACAGTCTTCGACATTCATTGTAACTGGAGAATAAATGATTTAGCCGATTGGTATAGCTAAATGCATAGAATTGGATTGAAACATACATCCATCTCCCAGAAGTATACTCAAACAACTCGCGGTTTTTCTCATTCTCATGCGTGGCAGCCTTGGAAAGGGTAAACGCACGGCTGTAGCTAGGGCAGGGAGAGCGAATGAAAATTTGATTTCTTAGTGAGCCCCAAGCTGTGGCTCGTAATGGCAATCTGCAAATGGCTATGGTGGAGAGAGGAGATGACATGTCTAAGATCGCGGCATGACCTAGAGTCAGAGGTAACTAGACACCTGCTAGATAGTCGCCTTGCGCGAAAATTTGGCGTTTCCTGTCGTATATTGTCAGTACTGCTAAAACTGTATCCGAACGATGCTGCGGCACTCATGCTAGATGTCGTGAAGTGAGTTGAATTCACTGGATGCACCCAACGCGTTAGCGTCGCTTTTCCGCGTCTTACATAAAAACCTACTCGAGTTGGGATAACGCATATATCTCAATATAAGGAAAAGCGGTTAGTATGGACGTTCAACTCCAGAACGCTGAAAAGCTTCCAGTTGACAAGATGTATTGCCCGTGCCGCATTCTATGCGCCACGTCTTGGCATACCGACTGTATCACGTGAATTGCGGTATTTGCGGCACATCCGACTTTCTCAACCGCAAACACTTACAAGGAAGGTTTCCTAAACAACCGAATCACAAACATCAGCTAATTGAGACCTGGAGATTCTGCTCGAAGAATGACATCCACGTGGTCATCACCCCAGCCAAATCCCCAACCGGAAGGAAGTGCACGGCTTACTAAATGCCACGCCTTACGCTTTTCTTCTTCCCTGCGGCCGTGCAATGCATCTATTGCCACTAGTCGATAGCACCGCTCCGAGCCGTCAGCCGTTAATCCTTGTGCTGGGGGCTTAGTATCCAATAAGCGTGTTAAGCACGATCTATGGCAATCTACAGCGGAGATCCGCTACACACCACCATTGCTTTATCACAGCTTTCCCATGACTAGACATGCAGTTTTGAGATGGTAGCGCTTGAGCCTCGCAGATCATGAAATCATGTTTCTTTCTAGCTATCCGGGTATAAAAAGCTACGACGTGGCTGTATGTGTCGGTGACCTATTATAGCTTCTTTTTGCAGGACGGATATTGCATCTGCAATGCGGCATTTTACCACGATACTGGGTCTCTGCACCGCCATTGTGGCATCTGAATCGGATGGCGCTACCTTGCTCCAACAATTCTTCGCCCCAGGCCGTCTCCTTGGCAATTTCTTTGGCAACCCAGGAGTGAACGGGACATACGATTATGTTGTGGTTGGGGCTGGTCTTGCCGGAGCTCTTACGGCATCTAGACTTGCAGAGGCGTTGCCACACATGACGGTTGCTGTGTTAGAAGCTGGCTCTTTCTATGAGATTTCAAATGGCAATTACAGTCAAATGTGAGTGAGAAATGTAATGGCGAGTATATGGATGTTTACGATTCGATTGCTGCTAGACCGTACTACTCTACCTTGTATAATGGGCCAAACGCGGACGACTATCAGCCGTTGATCGATTGGGGATTCTTTACGGAACCCATGCCAGGTGCTAATGGACGGCGATTCTTCTATGCCCAAGGTAAGACTCTTGGTGTACGTTCAATCAGCTCAACTCTTACGTTTGCGAATTGTAATTTAACATTGCTGTAGGGCAGCTCAGCACGAAACCAGCAAATTTACCATAGGTACGGCAAGACCTCTCCAACATGTTGATACATGCAACTGACCGCTGTCTCTAGAGCAACCAAAGGTTGGTATGCAACCATGGCCAACATAACGGGAGACCCGGCATACCTATGGGACAACATGTTACCTTTCATGAAGAAGAGCTTCTCTTTTACACCACCAGATATCACATACCGTGCCGAAAACTCCAGTGTAAATTTTACACTGTCCAGCTTCGATAGCCCCGGAGGACCGGTACACTTAAGCTATCCAAAGTACGCGCAACCGATATCCTCATTCGGCCCTCAAGGCTACGCCGCAGCTGGAATCAAACCAGCCAACGGTTTCTTAGATGGAAACCTGCTCGGATACGGATACTGGCCCTTCACCCTGCGTCCCACAGACAGCACAAGAAGCAGCACGGAGAGCGCTTTTCTCTCTCGAACAGCTGCCAGGACCTCACTGAAGATCTACCAGTCATGCATGGCGCGCAATCTACTTTTCGATGCGAACAAGCGCGCTTTTGGCGTCAACGTCACAGTCGCTGGAAAAAGGCCCTTTGTCCTTCACGCGCGGAAAGAAATCATCGTATCTGGCGGCTTCATAAACTCGCCACATCTCCTCATGGTCTCTGGCATCGGACCGCGAGCAACGCTCGAAAAATACAACATCCCGGTGGTCTCTGATCTCCCGGGCGTAGGCCAGAATCTGCACGATACCCCCGCCCTCGGCGGCATCATCCACGCGTCCAGCGTACCTGGTAGAAGCGGCTGGACACGCACTGCGGAATCATTCAACGACGCCGTAGAATCGTACCTCAAGAACGGGTCTGGACCACTCAGTAGTCCCGCCAGCGACTTTGCCGCGTGGGACAAATTCCCCGAAGCATACACGCGCAACATGAGCGCGTCCACGCAAGCATATCTCCAGGACCTCGCTTCCGACTGGCCGAATGTAGAATACGTCCTGCAAGCTTCCGAGCGCGTGCTTTCCGCGACCCAAGCAGCCAGCAACACAGGCGTGCTCGGCGCCATCCTCACGTCCGCCTCGAGCAGGGGCAACATCACCATCCAGTCTGCCGACAACAGCGTCGTCCCGCTCGTCTACACCGGCTGGCTCGACTCCCCCGAAGACCAGGAAATGGCCGTTGCGGCATACAGGCGCGCGCGCGCCATTGCATCTGGTATTTCTGCGTTTGGCGCCGAAATCGCACCAGGGGCCAATGTCACGACTGATGCTGAGATACTACAGTATATCCGCACAAAGGGCATCGGCGCGATTCATCATGGGGCTGCGACGTGTGCGATGGGGCGTACTGCTGCTCGGGGAGCTGTGGTGGACTCCAAAGCGAGGGTGTTTGGGGTTAAGGGCTTGAGGGTTGTGGATTCCAGCTCGTTGCCGTTTAGCGCACCGGGACATACGCAGGGCGTTACCTATGCGCACGCTGAGAAACTGGTTCAGGATGTGATTGATGCTGCGGTTGGGTAGTAAAATCAGAAGTACTGGGTTGTAGATGGGTGTTGGCTGGTTTTTAGAGAGCGCCGGAGATGAATACTACGTCTCGCTTCTCACAGTGAGCGCACCAGCTCTGTGGTATAGCTCGGAGCCGAATTTTTGTTCCTGAGCAGTTCTAATGTTTGGATGGTAAGTACTGATCTCGTCGCAAATGTGCCACACGATGATCGCTCTTTTGATATCAATGCTGAAGGCTTTCTCATAGGTTGCCAGCCTGGCATGACCACGATACATGGCCGTTGGAATCTGTGACGATAAGCAAACTCGTCTATTTTGTGACGAAACCATATGGTGTAGTATTAACTTTTCTTCTCAAATTATTTGTCTATCAATCAATCATATATTACATTTTACTTCTTCGACATATTTCTAGATTACCACATTCATATCTATACACCTGTGCTCCTCGATGTACCACTTGCTAAACCACTCGGTGTAGCAGCACTTGTTGCACCTGTAGTCGTACCACTTGATAGACCACTCGTCGTGGCACTGGTTGTGCCAGTCGATGTGCCGCTTGATGTTCCAGCTGGCGTTGCAGCTAACAGTCCAGCTACTGTTCCAGATGAAGTACCAGACGATGTACCGGACGATGTGCCAGACGATGAACCAGTAGATGCCCCAGCCATTGCAGCACTCGCCGTACCATTACCAAAGTACGCACAATGGATGAGATATGTCGAGGTTTCCGCGCTGAACCCTTCCAAAATAACCGCGCTAATCGTCTTGAGAGAGAAAGCGCTGTTGCTCGCGGTGTAAGCCGAAAGGGGGATTTTCAGGACAACAGGAGAACCGCTCAGAGTACCATAAGCACTGCTTGCCACACTGGCTCGCTGAAGCATTGTAGAAGCAGCACAGCCGTTGCCACCACTCTGCAGCTGCACATTGAAGCTTGCACCCGCCTTTGCTGTGACGTTGAGATAGAGGAAGCCAGATGTGGAAACATCGACGCAGCTCTGCAGCGAGTACCAGTAAGATCCAGAGACAGAAGGTTGCAGAGCCAGACCGCCGTCCTTGATATACGGTGCAACCGCCATGGTCCCGTCGTCGCTCTGCGCATTGCCATTGGCATTGCGGTCCACGTTCTTGGAAGTGCAGTAGTTCAACCACGCGGTATCAGGGCAGTTGCACGTCTGATTCGATGGCACGGCTGCCGTGGAAGTCAAACTGACACAGCCGACCTTGATCTGCGCATTAGAGGGGCTGAACGCCGACAACGCGATGCTGTCGAGCCTGCTCGAGTTCATTCCAGGGAAATCCGAAAAGGGAATGTTTGCGATTTGGTACGAGTCAGTGCCGGAAAATGTCGCGTACGAACTGATGGGAACCGAAGATGCAGGCGACGTCAGTGTACACTCAACATCCGTCTTCCAGCGCATCGAAACTTGGAAATTGGTGCCTGCGGCAGCCGCAACGGAGAGCTGAATGCCTGTTGCATTCACCTTGTTCGCATTGTAGCAGGTGCTGGAACTAAATTGAGAGTACCAGTATGAGCCGCTGTTAGAAGTCATGCTGAGTGAGCCGTCGTTAGTGACGGAATATGCAGCCAGAGATCCTTCATCAGTCGAGGCGCCAAGAAGTGAATTCGTCCGTGGGGGTTCGGACGCGAATGTGCACGAGTTGAGGATAGTGCCTGAGCAAAGCGCGCAACCAGGGCTATCAATAGGTCCTGTAAAGACCAAGGATTGAAGACGATAGGTTGAGCCTGGAGAACTGAAGTTGGTCATGATAAATGACTGGAGATACTTGGCGTTAAAGGAAGTCGGGAAGCGCGAGAAAGGAACCGTGATTTGTGTCGGTGCACTGTTGAAGGTGATCGGGACATAAGATGTGAGCGCGTTGGTGTTGCAGCCCTGAGTGCCATACTTGAAACCAACATACGCGGTTGAGCCTTGCGGACCGGAAACGGAGAGCTTGATCGCATTGTAAGAACCGTTGACCGCTGCGCAGCCAGATGGCTGTGCGAGCAGCGTGTAGAACAAGGACTTCGCGTCGCGAGGGACGAGATCCACGGATCCACTGGCGACTTGCTTGTAAGCCTGCATCGTCTTGTTGTCCGACATGGAACCTCCAAGGGCGTTGGTCTGCGTTTTGAATTCAGTCGGATCGCAGAAGTCAAGCACAACATAGCCAGAGGCCTTCGCGCAACGTGCATCGGCAGCACCTGCGGGAGGTCCGCCCAGAAGAGAGATCCATCGTAGCGTGAAGTTGCTTGCAGCAGAACCACCATTGGGTGTGAAGTTGCGTAGTGTGATGCGACTCATGGCATCAGTACGGAGTCCCGAGAATGCCGAAAGAGGGATTGTAATGTTTGTAAACTTGTCCTGGCCCAAGGTAGCATACGACTTGGTGTTGACGGTAGAGGTAGTACCAGTACCAGAGTTCACGACAACGTCAAAAGAGCCACCAGCCGGACCGCGCGCATTTAGGGAGACTGCAGTGTACCCGGTGGCGTTCAGATTCACTCCGTCGATAGCAGTATCGGTGTAAAAGTATGAGTTCGTGTTCGCAGGCAACAGCTGCATTCTCCCCAGCTCTGAGAGTTTTGCAAACGTCATCGAATTGTTGTGGTCGGTATCGCCGAAGACGTTGTTGATGCCAGTGATCCACCGATCAACATTTTGGAAGGACTCGATAGCAAGGCCCTGAGTACGGTCTTCTCCTGGGGCTGTCACACATCGCTTTTGGATCTTGATGTTATCAATGTAAATGGGCGTAAGGGCTGGTGAGATGTTGCCGATACGTATTCCGCGAACATGCTGCATATCCTGCCCGACGAAGTCTGACAATGGTATGGTAACCGTATGATTCAGACCGTCTGCAGCGGCGTATGCGGACACATCCAAGTATGTGGCGCTTGGCTTTTCAGTGTTGCACCCGGAATCGTACGAGACAAGTTGTACGTAAAAGGTGGTTCCTTGAGGAGCGACCATGTCAAAGTACAGATGTGTGTAGATCGAAGCGTCGAAGCAGAAGCGTGAGATCTCCGTAAAGTACGAGTTGACGCCGCTGTTTGTAGTTGCTGTGAGCTGCAAAGTGCCGTCCACGTTGTTCGACGAAAGGCCTGTTGCAATCGTCTTCAACAAAAGTAGATTGACATTGTTGTTGCCAAAGTACAGCTCGAGAAAATCGTCAATCATAACGTCCCACGCTATGCATTCAGTATCGCCAAGCGCTTTTGGTGTGAAGTCGGGGCATGTAGAGACGGACGCGTCGAGTAAACCGACGGTGAAAGTCAGCGTGTACAGGCCCTTTGCCGTGTTGCGCAGTACTACTGCATTCGTTGTCTTGTCGTACGAAAGCTGCTGGCAGACGGAAAGAGAGCCCGTAGTGGACTTGAAGGCATAGGTCCGAGGTACTTGTATGGTGAGTCCTTCAGTAGGGCCATCCAAACGGACTGTCATCGTTACAGATGTGATACTTGATGCCGTGATGGTCACGACGGCACGGTCCCGATTGGTCCACCAGTTGGCGATTCCTGTCTGATTGAAGAAGACTGCAAAAGGACGTACGTTGTCGTGGAATGCGCGCTGGATTTGAATTTTGTCGAACAAGGCGTCTGAAGGGTGAATCAAGATGTTGTAATGACCGCCATAACGTGCCATTTTCTTGATATCGCTGATTTGGTTGGAGAAGTCCGAACCGGGAAAGATGGCACTGCTCATGTTCCCGTCACCATCGGACCACTGGAGTGGAAACTCGTAGTATGTGAGCTCCTGGAACGGTTCGCGATTGTGGGTGACTTGAAAGGGAAGGTGAGTGAGATGAGAGTTTCCGGAGCATGAAGAACCACCAATGAATCCGTTCGCGACGCAGTGCGTGGCTTGGTACTTGCTCCACGCAAGGTTTCCTGGACGATAGGTAGTGAGGTTGTAGTTGGTCTTGAATACATCCTGGAGTAGATATCTGATAAGGTATCCACTCACGCGGACTTCGCCCGATGAAGTGCCACCCGTCGTATAGAAAGTGAGTCCGCTGCACAGATGGAGGCGTGAAGTCAGTAGATGTATCATATGATTTTTGGATAGTAAAAATCTTACCTAGGACCTCCCTTTATGCATTCCTCGTCGTTCGAAGGTGTCCCGTCAGCGTTGGGTCCGCATTGGTGAATGTACGGCGCGTACCCTGCGGTGCTCCCTTGAACAAACTGTTCATTAAGAGTACCATAGGGGAAACCTGCTGCATTGGGCGAGTGGCTGACAGTGTGAGAGCCAAAATCGATATATGGGTACCCGTCAGGAGCCGTTCGAAACCCTGTGATCTGATAGATGTATGGAATGCCGTACTGAAAGTATGCATTCTCATAGGCATCGGTAATGTACTTGGTGTGAAGATTCAAGTTACCGGCGGCACCTCTATCCTGTGCGGCGGCCGCTATTCCCTGGCCATGGGGGTACGAGACGTATGTGTCGATATCCCAGGTAGTAGTGAAAGCGAGTCCCTTGTTGTATGGGACGGTCCATAGGCTTACGAATTGGGGGCTGGTAGTGACAATGTTCTTGATGATGCGTGTGCCGATATCGTACCCAGGGTAGTAATGTCCATCGTACCACTGCGAGTAGCCGCCGGCTTCATTCTGCGCCTGGATAAACAGATAGCCAAGATCCATTCCGAAACTGTACACATAGCCGCTCGAACCCGAAGGCTGGTACTTGACTATTGCTGCGCTTGTAGCCGATTTGTCTGCGCTGTCCACACCATTGTTTCGAACCTGGTATTTGCCAAGTGTTTGTGCGCCCTTGACGGGCGTGTAGCCAACATTGACAAGGCCTTCCTGAGTGTAGTTTTCATAAAAAGGCATGTTCGTGTCGTAGTAGTCAGTGAAGTCGAAACCTTGGAGAGCCTGGACGGTCGTCTCGGTGTTGGTCACCTGCAAAAGCGACCTCGCACCACTCACGTCTATAGTAGACGCAGACACTCCTGCGAGAGATTGAAGAGCGGAAGGAACCTGGCTCATGAAAATCAACCTCCCGCCCCTGGCGACGAAAGACTTGAAGGCTGAAACATGTGCAGAGGTTGGGCTGTAGCTCACGCTTGGAGACGTGTAGACAAGCAAAGTCCAGCATTGTGAAGAAATGTTCAGCGTATCGAGAACCTTGACTTGTAAACCGATGGTCTTGAGAGATAGTGTCAGGGGAAGCCTGATACGACGTTAGTTGTGATGCTGGAATCAAACGTGTAGGAGATGATGTACCAATTGGGGTCTGCTTCATAGTCTGGTAGGAAGATGTTCAACCCGGAGCTCGGCCCAGCGGCATATCTATCGGAGCGCCTTCAGTAAACGATATCCCGATATGCAATTGCTCTGCTAACCTCGATTTCGAAGGCACAGTAGGTGGCAGACTGTCCTCGGGTAGAGCTACACTGGCCGCTGCGGGCTGTGTAAGGGAGTAGATATCAGGTGATGTGATGGCCTGGCATAACTGGAGTAAAAGAAAGAAGGGCAGAAGAATCAAGGCGTGCATAGTGAACGATTTCCTTGGAAGGACAAAGAAGTCGCAGGAAGATTGATCCAGGAACTCACAAGGGCAGGCCGTGACTTTTTGGGCAAGTTGGGACGAAAAATTCCACCCGAAATACGGGACGCATTCCGCATCGCCCGGGGGCGGATGACAGATCGCCGGGTACGCTAGGCTGGCGCGCAAACCTGACAGGACAGAATGTGGGAGTGTTTCGTCAACTTCTCCACTGGGTGCGTTTTAGTAAGCCCCTAACAGCGACGGCGATATTGTAGCTGACCGTACCTGCATCGGAACCGTGTGCCTAGGCCTCGCCGCTTGTTTCAGCCACAACCATCAAAGACGCGTCGGAACGTCATGATGCGGATGGCAGGGTCGCCCTTTTTAGTCAGTATTGAAGTTTCTCGACTGGATGGAGCAATAGAGTTTGGTAGAGAGGGCGCCAAGTGCACGAGTACGAGTAGCGCGTAAGTAGTGGTACCGATGTATCCATGCCTCGCTCTCGATCGCTCACGCCTCAGGCAACTAAAACAGGTGCCAATACTCGTAGCCGAGTAGCTTGGAAAGGCCCAGACGAGTGGCAGAAGGCTGCGGGCCAACAGGTGTATTATTAGGTGTATGTAGTGCTAGGGGTGCGGAACCGTCATCATCCTAGATGGAAAAACGGGTGGCCTGACTGGCACGGGCTTGCTTGGCGCCTACGAAAAGGGGTCTGACCAGGGGCAGCTATCAATAGTATGCTATAGGTATACAGTAGTATAGATGCGGCGTGAATAACTGCTCTTTTGAAGAGCGGAGCGAGCCGTCCAGTGTCCAAAGGCAACGCGAGGCAATGCAGGTGCTGAGGCTTCGACCGTAAGTAGCTGCTTTGGCCACTGATGGGCGCCTAAGTAAGTAAGTATGGCGATCGTGGTGATCTCAAAATGATTCGTCTTGCCATGACAATGATGTGCGGAGCAGTGATAGCTCCCGCGGCGGAGGCACCAGCCCTTTGGAATCTCCACTCCTCTGGCAGAGCACTCCAGACTCTGTGCCTGGGTGGCCAAGGTCGCGGCTGAAGCGAAAATCGCCGTCTAAACGACCATGCCAGCCACCTTGGCAGTCGCCTTGGCCTAGACTATCGTTTACAACCTACTCGAACAAAGTTGACGACGACCCGCAATTACGACCGACGCCAGCCTCTCCTGGCTCTTGGCAATTTTGCTTCGCATTCACCACGTACAGTGCCCATGCAGGCGCCGATTCCGGTTGGTCCCGTTGTGCACATATTCTGAAGACGTCGTCGCCAGTCTTGTGCGTCGTGGGTGCGGGACTGAGTGCACCATCCGGCACAGCCACCTGGAGGGGAACGAATGGATTAAGTATGGGGGAGCATCAAGGCCAAGGAGCTGGCATCGCCCAAGAAATTCCAAGAAGACCCCGTTGCCGTGTAGAACTTTAACGGCCAACGCTTACTCGAAGTATTGGCGGCTCAGCCGAACCCAGCACACGACGCGCTCGCGGCTCTTGCTAGCCAGCACAAGGATTGGCTGACTGTTCATCAGAACGTTGATGGTAGGGCCGCTCGCGTGGAGATGGAATATCGTCTAAGAATGCGCTAAATGAGACAATAGGGCTTCTCGAACAGACCAGCCATCCTAAATCAACATTGCTCAGCATCCACGGCAACCTAAGGGCCGTTCGCTGTACCGTGTGTGACTACCACATTCATGTCGAGAAACCGGATGATATCCCTTATTTGCGCGCACTAGCTGACTTGAACAACCCGCCCCCCTCCGTCGCATTATCCGACCTTCCCCGCTGTCCTACTAAATGCGCCAACTTGCTGCGCCCACGCGTGGTTTGGTTCGGCGAAAAGCTCGCTGCTAATGCGACCGACACAGTGGATGAGTGGATACCAGCAGGCCACGTCGACTTGGTGATAGCTGTGGGTACAAGTTTGGAAGTCTTCCCAGCTGCAGAGTGGGTCCACACTGTACGAGCCGATGGAGCAACCCTTGCCATTATGGATGCAGACGAAGATCATCACCCGAAGGATCAAGAAGCGTCCGACTATGGCGATTGTTGGCATGTCCCAGGCGATGTTGCAGTGACTCTGTCTAGGATTCTGGAAAACTTCATGTTAGTTACAGCAGAGGCATGCGAAAAAGACACGACTAGTAGAGGCTAGTGATAAGAAGACAGTATTATGTGCATTATCATCGCAAACTTTGAAGTTTTTTGATCACCAGTCTGACATGGCGACTGACTTCGAACATACCTTCGTCATCTCCCAATTTTCGTTGGCTGTGATCTCCTCGCCAAACTTTACGTAGACATAAGAGACGAACGTCCTGCGAAAACGCCGTATTCTGCACAAACACAGCCACAGCCCCAATTCCACTAAAGTTATTCATCGCAACCTGATAAATATAGCCCTCTCCGGGTCCGAATATTGCAATAACAGGGTTGAACACATTGTTACAATCGGATCATTAAACTCGGTACTAACACGCAAAACTGAAGCATACTCGTATAGGGCCGAAGAAACAGACTTTTTCAACCAGCATATACGCTGAGTCGTCTCATGAGACCGTATAAATGCTATGACAAGTCATCAATCTGTGCTCATAGAGTATGTTAGTAATGCTCCTGTAAAGCAGGTCAGATAGTAGGTTGCAATCAAATCTAGAGAAAAAAAATATCTATTGAGGATACCTAGAGCAGCTATCTTGATGGAAAAAAAAGAAAAAAAATATAAAATAAAAGAAAGCATGAAAGAAAAATCTAGCGAGGCAGTCTAGGAAACGTCTGAATCAGGTTGTCGCTCTAAATGAGGCGAGAAGGCATCTCCATACGGCCCAAGCCATTGAGACCAAGCTTCAGAGAGCTAATGCTGTTCAGGAGGCTGAGGCTGCCACTCTCCTTGCTAACCTCATCAGTGCTCTTAACAGCAACAGTGCTAGTGACAGTGGTAGCAGCAGTGGTAGCAACAGCGCTGGTAACCGGGGCGGCACCATTGGCAATCTGCTTATCCTTTTCAATAATATCGAAAGCAAGACGGGCGGCGGTGGGAAGCTTGTTCTTGTCACCGCTGGCCTCGATGTCCAGCATCTCCTGAATCCAGGTGACCATGGACTGGATCAGGTTCTTGACGTCCTCCTTGGTGTTGTGGGCGTGCAAAAAGAGGCGCACGCGGTCCTCGCCCTTGGCCACAATCGGGAACACAATGTAGCAGCCGTTGAAGCCGTCCCTGGTGAGGTGGAAGGCGAGGTAGAGGGCGTGGCGGGGACGGCGCGTCCACAGAGGCACAATGTGCGTGATGGGTGTCTCGTGCCAGGCGCCGTCCTCGTGGACAGGCATGTCGACCATGCCCTTCTTGTACGCCTTCTTGTAGACGGGGTGCGAGGTGAGTGTGTCCAGGTAGAACAGGGTGAGGTCGTGCAGGTATTCACGGGCCTGAAGCGAGTTAGTGGAGACAGCGCTTAGAGTAGTGGTAATAGAGGCCTCACCTGCTGCATCTTCTGGGATCGCATGAGTCGGACTCCGGCTCGGCTGGATGCGAGCAGGGTGAATGGAGGCGCAACCGAGCAGATGAAGACCTTGGCCTGGTTGACAAGGAGCGAACGAATCGTGTTGTTAGATAACACACAAGCTTCACGGTATTAGCACCATTCATAGCCTTGGAAGTCCAAAAAATACTCACCTCCAGCTCCGGAAAGAGCCTTGGTAAAGGTCACCATGGTGATGGCCACTTCGTCGTTAAGACCTTGCTCCCTGACAAAACCCGTGCCCTCGGAGCCGCAGACACCGAAGCTGTGGGCCTCGTCGACAACGAATTGAGCGTTACCGTGGGGAAAGATCTCCTTGGCAGCATCGATAAGCTCGCGGAGAGGGCAGATGTCGCCATCCATGCTGTACCAGCTCTCAACACCGACGATGACGCATCGCTTGCCGGCCTTGACGAGAGGAGTAGATTCCTTGACAGCCTCCATGACTTCGATGAAGTGCTCGACGTCGTTGTGGCGGAAGGGCCTCTGGTCCAGCGCCAAGCTGATCTTCATGCCGGAAAGTGCCGTCGCGTGCATCAGCTCATCGTAGACGAGCACGTCGCCAGAGCGTGGGACGGTGGAGAAGATAGCCTGGTTAGCGGTCCATCCAGAGTGGACGACAAGGGCCGACTCGACACCCATGAGCTGGGCGAGCTCCTTCTCAAACGAGTCCTGGTATTTTGTCGTTCCATCCAAAAGACGAGATCCACCTGCACCCATGTAGAATCCGGGGTTGGCCTCGAGCTCTTTCAGGAACTCCTCCCTGAGAGCGCCCGTGTGGCCCATGCCAAGAACATCGCAGGTGGAAAAGTCGGTAACGTGACTGGGAAGGTGGATTGGGAAGCAAAGACCAGATTTGCGGGAGATGTCGAGTTCTTCTTCAATGTTGCGGTAGAAGACGGAATCGTTCTTCATGCTGGGTCCCTTGACCTTTTGGGCAACGGCCCACTCTTCTCTCCACTGGGCTCCTAAATCTTGCGTTGCCTCGGACATCTTGATTGTGGTGGTGGTGGTGGTGGTGAGGTAAATCGGGAAGCGAGAAGCTTGAAGAAACTGTGATCGGAAATGTGCGTGAGCGAAAGATGCCGAAGTGGTTGTTGAAGCCGGTGGAGTGAGTGCTGTGATGATTTGACTGTATCGTGGACAAACGTTGATTTATATATACTTGAGTCGCAGAAACGATTGAAAACTGTTGTTTTGTTCAAACAGCTAGCTTCACTGCCTGTTCCATCGCTTCGGTAACCATTGTGAACTCGTCCAGTGCCAAAGCCGACGATACATGCAAGCAGTGTACATTGGCTGACCCGGGGAAATCCAGCCCGGCTACCCTGCCAGTGTCAGATGGGTGGAATACCGAAACTCACGATGTTTTCCCGTCATTTACAATGTCCTAATGCAGTATGAGTACTACAAGCGAGTGAAGAGGGTTTAGGCGAGCCGTTTGATCCTTCGGTGTCTTGGCAGAATGCGTCGGGGTGGATTCCGGGTTAGTCGCAACCTGAGCTGCAAGGTCAGCCATTAGCATCTTGCAGCTCATTCCAACCAATCAACCGACTAAATGGGATCTTTTTCTTCGGGGTGCTTTTGCGGGCGTTACTCCAGAATAAGGCTAAGCGCCTTGATCCCTTTGCCACGCTTGGCGTGGCGGCAAAGCCGCAATTCGGGGGTACCCGCTCTTACAGGTACCAGTGGGCCTTTCGCCGAACATTCGTAGCAAAGTGTCTTCAACATTTCGCGTTGCAATTTCACTCCGACACTCAGTTGCCTAACAGGAGATGCGATCTACCATGTTCAACTCGCCTTTACCCCGGGAACCGGAGTTGTCGTTCAAGGGCCCGAACAACCCCACGAACTCTGGCATCATGAGTATAATAAAGGGCCATTTGGTTCCCTATTTCGAATCATCGCACTCAGCACCAGCATCCTCTGCAAACAGCTTCTTGCAACATCTCCAACGATCTCTCAGACGTTATTCGATAATCATTCACAACCAACTCTTCCCCAATTCTCCAGCAAGAACCTGTTTCAGACTTTAAAATGTCCATCATGAACGGAACCAACACTACCAATGGCAACGGTGTCTCCCACACCAACGGAACCAATGGCACCAATGGTCATACCAACGGACACTCACACGAGAATGGCATTAATGGCCACTCTCACGAAAACGGCACCAATGGCCTCAACGGTGCATCCCACACGAACGGTACAAACGGTACAAACGGTACCAACGGTGTCCACGCCGACGACACCAACCAAAAGGCAGTCCCCATTGCCATTTGTGGCATGGGTCTCCGCCTTCCAGGTGGATCCTCCACACCGCAGGAATTCTGGGAATTCCTTGTCAACAAGGGAGATGCCAGAGGCCGCGTCCCGACCTCTCGCTACAACGTTTCGGCATACCACGAGACTACTAAGCGCCCTACTACTGTCGCCACAGAGTATGGCTACTTCCTCGACGAAGAAGTCAAGCTCGGTGCCATGGACACGACTCGCTTTTCCATGAGCCGAGCTGATGTCGAGTTTGCGGACCCCCAGCAACGCCGCTTGCTGGAAGTTGTCACTGAGGCGTTTGAAGACGCTGGAGAGGCCAAGTTCAGGGTATGTGTTGTATCCTTAGATGTATGCATGTTTACTAAAAAAAACTTCCAGGGCAAGAAGATTGGTTGCTACTTCGGCAACATGAACGAAGACTGGGGCGAGATGATGAACCGCGACCCTCTTTGGCACGGCCCCAACAAGATCGACGGCTACCAAGACTGGATGCTTGCCAACCGTATCTCGTACGAGTTTGGCTTGACTGGACCAAGGTTTGTTCTTTGATGCCATATCGGGGTACTAGATCGCTAATACTGAGTAGCATGACTATCCGCACAGCCTGCTCATCGGCTCTCATGGGCGTCAACGAAGCTTGCACAGCTATCCAGCGAGGCATCTGCGAGTCTGCAATTGTCGCCGGTGGTAACCTGATTCTGGCACCTGGAACCACGCAGCAGATGACGGAAAAGGGCATCCTGTCTCCTGAAGGTTCTTGTAAGAGTTTCTCTGCCGATGCGGACGGATATGCACGTGGTGAGGCATTCACCGCAGTGTTCCTGAAGCCTCTTGATGCGGCTATCCGCGATGGCAACCCCGTCCGCGCTGTCATCAGAGCGGCTGCAGCAAACTCGGACGGAAAGACACAGGGTATTACCCAGCCCAACGGCTACGCTCACGAAGCTATGATCCGCTTGGCCTACAAGCAGGCTGGCATCACAGACTTCTCCAAGACAGCGTACTTTGAGTGCCACGGCACCGGCACAGCAGTTGGAGATCCCATTGAGACGGGAGCAGTAGCCCGCGTGTTCGGCGAAAGCGGTATCCACATCACATCTGTGAAGCCCAACGTCGGTCACACTGAGGGTGCCTCTGGTCTTGTCTCCCTGATCAAGGCTGTCATGTCGCTAGAGCACCGCACCATCCCCCCGAACATCAAGTTTAACTCGCCCAACCCCAAGATCCCTTTCAAGGAGGGCAAGCTCACTGTTCCCGTAGAGCCCACCCCGTTCCCGGCTGATCGCTGCGACCGAGTCAGTGTCAACAGCTTTGGACTCGGTGGCTCAAATGCCCACGTCATTGTCGACTCTGCCAGGAGCTTCAACCTCCCCAAGCCAGCGGTTCGCGACAGCGAGAGGGAGAGCGACCCCCAGTTGCTCCTTTTCTCGGCTGGCTCAGCTCCTTCGCTCAAGTCCACCATCAGTGGCTACGAGAACTGGGTTGTGAAGAACCCCGATATGGCCGACAGGATGAACGACCTCAGCTACACGCTCGCCAACAGGCGTGAGCACCTTCCTCATCGCTCCTTCAAAGTCTGGGGCGCCAATGATGCTCCGCCATCTCAGGGACGAAAGATCCCCGGTCAGCCGGTCAGCCTGGTCATGGTCTTCACAGGCCAGGGAGCACAATGGCCGCGCATGGGTCGTGAACTGCTCCTTCGCGATGATCTTGTCTTCCAGCAGAGCATCCGAAAGATGGACGATTACCTCGCGGCTCTCTCCGAGCCTCCTCAATGGACCATCAAGGGCGAGCTGATGAAGTCGGCTAAGACGTCGCGCGTCCAAAAAGCAGAGCTTTCACAGCCCTTGTGCACTGCCGTCCAGGTCGCCATGGTCGACCTTTTGGCAAGCATCGGTGTCGAGCCCGCGGCGGTCGTTGGCCACAGCAGTGGTGAACTTGCAGGTGCCTACGCTGCTGGCGCCCTTACCGCAAAGGAGGCCATTATCGGAGCCTACCAGCGTGGCCAGGCCGCCAAGCTCCAGAACAGAAAGGGAGCCATGGCCGCCGTTGGTCTCGGCTGGGATGAGGTTGAGCCGTTCCTCAATCGCCCAAAGGTTGTCGTTGCGTGCGAGAACTCCCCCAAGAGCGTCACTCTTTCTGGTGACTTTGACGAGGTCGAGGCCACAGTCAACCGCATCAAGGAGGCCAACCCCGACATCACTGCTCGAATGCTCAAGGTCGAAAAGGCATACCACTCATACCACATGCGCGAGATTGGACCCGACTACCACGCCATGATTGAGCCTCACCTCGAGGGCAGGCAGGCAGTCAAGCCCTTCTTCTCCAGTGTGACTGGCACAGGAGAGCCAGAGCAGCGCAAGCTCGACGCCAAGTACTGGCAGCAGAACCTCGAGTCTCCTGTGCTTTTCAACCCCGCTGTTGCCGGTGTGCTGAAGCACTTCAAGAACCCAGCCTTTATTGAAGTTGGTCCCCACGGAGCCCTCGCCGGTCCAGCCCGCCAGATCTTCGCAAAGGCCTCGGCTTCCCCGCCATACCTGTCCGTCATGGTCCGTAACGAGGACTGCGTGCAGTCGTACCTGTCCGCTGTTGGTAAGCTCTTTGAGCTGAACGTCTCGCTCGACTACGACGCCGTTTGCCCCGCTGGCCAGACGCTCCCTGGCCTTCCCCGTTACCCCTGGCACTACGAAGGCGAGTTCTGGGTCGAGTCTCGTATGTCGGCTGAATGGCGAGCTCCCAAGTTCCCCAGGCACCCGCTTCTGGGACGCCCGCAGTTGGAGAGCACCAGTCTCGAGCCTAGCTGGAGGAACCTCATCAACATTGAGGACGCCTCCTGGCTCCGCGACCACCAGATCCAGGGTACCATTGTTTTCCCTGCCGCTGGTTACTTTGCCATGGCAGGTGAGGCTATTCGCCAGCTGAGCGGTATCGAAGAGTCGTACAGCCTCTCCCATGTGGTGCTCAGCCAGGCACTCATCCTGCAGGAGGGTGTTGACACTGAGGTCGTCACGAACCTGCGCCCTCTTCGCCTGACTGACTCCGAAGACAGCCAGTGGTGGGAGTTCTCCATTGCTTCCTACAACGGTCACTCATGGCTGAAACACTGTGTCGGTCGAGTCTCGGCTGTGCCATCTGTCGAGCCAGCCAAGGCTGGTGAGCTCCAGCCGCTTCCTCGCAAGTTGGATACTTGGAAGGTCTTCAACACTCTGGCAAAGGCTGGTATGCAGTATGGCCCAGCTTTCCAGCGCTTGGGCGAGATCAGTGCAGACACCATGAAGACCAGGGCTGTCAGCACCCTGACCAGCGATCGGAACGGAGACGAGAACAAGTACCACCTTCACCCCACAGTCATCGATGCAGCTCTCCAGATGGGTCTTGTTGCCGCCAGGTCGGGCAAGCTCGATGCTAGCAACTGTGCAGCGATGCCCACCTTGATCGAGGAGGTGACCATCTTCCGAAGCACTCAGGAGACTGGTATGTTCGTTGCAGCCTCCACCACCGTTCAGCCTGGCAGTGGTGAGATTCGCGGCAACTTCCAGGTTGTTGCAGACGGCAAGGCCATCCTGAACATGCCAAAGGCTGCTTTCACGTCTATCGAGCAGGGCGACAAGGACATTGTGCACAAACTCCCCATCAGCGCGCGTGTCAACTGGCAGCCTCATCTTGACTTTGTCGACGCAGCTTCTCTCATCAAGCCCGAGTTTGATGGCGAGAAGTGGATGCCCATGCTCAATGAGCTGAGCGAGCTCTGCTTCATCTTCTTCCAGAGATGCATCGAGGATGTCAAGGTGACCGAAAACCCTACCATCCAGCGCTTCGCTGCCTGGGTCGGTCGTCAATACCAGACGCTCGACAAGAACCACCCCGGACACGCTCTTGACACTACACAAATTGTCGAGCGGGCCCACGCAATCGGAGAGCTTATGGCCGGCACGCCTCTCGCCGCATGCGCCGACTGCATCCTTGAGATTGGCAAGAACATTGTCGAGCTATTCACGGGCGACATGAGCATCGTCGAGGTTCTTTCGCAGGACGATCTTCTCAACAGGCTTTATGCCGCGGCCAACACGACCAACAAGACGGCCTTCCTCAAGAGCCTGGCACACGCAAGGCCCAGCCTCCGTATCCTGGAGCTCGGCGGCAGCACTGGACAGCTGACGACGTCTCTGATCAAGGACCTCAGTCTCCCCAACGGCGGTTCGCTCTACTTCAAGCATACTTTCACTGACCCCTCTTCGACTGCTCTCGCGGATGCAAAGAAGGAACTCCAAGATCTGGACAACATTGAGTTCCGCGTGCTGGACATTGCCTCGGACCCAGCCGAGCAGGGCTTCAAGGAGGAGGACAAGTACGATCTGATTGTCGCGACCAACCATGTTCACGCCACCCCTAGCTTGGCCACGTCGCTGGCTAACGTACGCAAGCTGTTGGCGCCCGGTGGCCGTGTTCTCCTGCAGGAGCTCAGCACCGAGTCCAAGTGGATCAACTGCATCCTGGGCTTCCTGGACGAATGGTGGGTTGGCGAGAACGACGGGCGATGCGACGAGCCCTACGTTTCTACCGAGCGCTGGGCATCCGAGCTGAAGCGTGCCGGCTTCGCTGCACCAGACATGGTTCTCGATGCCCCAGCACCGCACCAGACAAGTGTCGTCATCATCGCCAGACCCGAGGAAGACGCCCACCCAGCCGTCAACAAGACCGTGACTGTGCTTGGCTACGAGCAAACCGGCAAGAATGTCGATGCCGTGAGCCAGAAGCTGCAGAGCCGCGGCTACACAGTCAACAAGTGCAGTTTCGGCGAGGATATCCCTCAAGAGACACAATATGTAGTCAGTCTTCTCGACGAGGAGAGCCCCTTCTTCGAGGACATTGACCAGCACCGCTTCCAAACGCTGCAGAAGCTCACTGCCAACATTGGCGACCGCGGCCTCTTCTGGCTTACGCGCCCCTCGCAGATGCAGTCCAACGACCCGCGCTACGCCACAGTCGTGGGTGCAATCCGCTCCATCCGCCACGAAGACACGATTGACTTTGCCACGTGCGAGGTCGAAGACGTGGGCGCCTCGCTGGACCTCGTTGCCGACGCCTTTACCCATTTCCAAAAGGGCCAGGAGGACGACTTCTTCAGGCCCAACTACGAGTATGCCATTGCCGACGGCATCATCAATGTGCCTCGCTTCTACCCCTTTACCTTTGACGACGAGCGCGTATCCAGCCGTGTTGCTGAAGAGTGCGTGTCTCTGGTAGCCTCGAAGCCAGGCCGTCTTGCCTCGCTGGGCTGGGAGTCGCGCCGATCCAAGCCTCTGGCTGGAAACGAGGTCGATGTTGAAGTCTTCTGTGCGGGACTCAGCTCCAAAGTAAGTTTTTTTTGAATCAGTCAAGCTTTCATGGTCTACTTTACTAACAACACTTCAAGGATGTCGCTGAAATTATGGGCACCAGCCCCTACCCTGCTGGAGGCCTCGGTGGAAGCGCCAGCGGTGTTGTTTCTGCCATTGGACCTGATGTCAAGAACCTTGCCGTGGGCGACCGTGTCATCGGCCTTGGCTCTGGCAGCTTCTCGTCGCACATGCGTGCGTCTGAGGCGTTGATGGTCAAGGTTCCCGACAACTGCTCCTTCGAGGAGGCGGCTACCTTGCCTGCTGCCTTTGGAACAGCCCTTGCTGCTCTGAAAAATGCCGGAAACCTGCAGTCTGGACAGTCTGTTCTCATTCACAAGGCTACCGGAGACGTCGGCCTCGCCGCCTTGCAGCTTGCAAAGGCCTCCAAGGCGGATGTCTACGCCACTGTCAGCACCGAGGCGGAAGCTGCCTACCTCGTTGAGAGCTTTGGTCTTTCGAGGACTCACATCTTCTGGTGCACCGACGACAGCTTTGTGAAGGAGATCATGGAGGCAACGGGCGGAGAGGGAGTCGACATCGCTCTCAACTCGCTGTCTGGTGATCTCCTACACGCTACCTGGAAGTGCGTTGCTGAGTTTGGCAAGATGATTGAAATCGGCACCACCGACCTGATTGGTGCCGGTAAACTCGAGCTCAGCTCTTTCTTGGGCGGCAGGACTTATACCGGCGTCAACCTCGAGGCTCTGGTGGCCAAGAAGCAATCCGTTGTTCAGGGGTGAGTGATATACGAGATATCCTAATACTGTTGATCTGATAACTAACGCCTTGCAGACTTCTCCAATCCACTGTTCAGCTTCTGCAAGAGGGTAGCATTGCCCCGCTTACACCTCGAGCAGTGTACGAGGCCTCTGGCGTAGATGATGCCATCAAGCACGCCCAAGAGAACAAGGACTCTAGCAAGATCATCCTTCAGCTCCGCGATGCCAATGGCAAGCTCAACGTCGAGACCAGTACCATCAAGGTTGCCGACGACATCTTCACTATCGACGAGACAGCATCATACCTGCTTGCTGGAGGCCTAGGTGGCATCGGCACGGTCATTGCCAGGCACCTAGTCGAGAACGGGGCTCGCCGCATTGTGTGCTTCTCTCGAAACCCTGGCTCGCGCCCCGAGGACAAGGACACGATCTGCGAGCTGGAAAGCATGGGCTGCGAAGTGGTGCTTGTCAAGGGCGACATGGTGAACCGCGACGACATCTACCGCGCAGTGCAGCAGTCGCCCAACCTCAAGGGTATCCTGCACTCGCCCATGCTGCTCCAAGACGAGGCCTTCCGCAACATGAAGCTGGAGCAGTGGATCAAGGCTACCGGCCCCAAGGTCAAGGGAGCTTGGTACCTGCACGAGGCCACGGTCGAGGCTGGCATCAACCTCGACTTCTTCGTCTTCCTCTCATCCATGTCTGGTATCACTGGCCAGCCCGGCCAAGCCAACTACGCCGGTGCCAACACGTTCCTGGATGCCTTTGCACTGTGGCGCAACAGCAACGGGCTGCCCGCCTCCTCGATCGACATCGGTGCCGTGGCCGACATGGGCTACGCAGCGCGCGACCAGCAGCTGCTACAGCGACTCCTGAAGAACGGCTACTCTGGCGTCACCGAGGCGGAGATGATTGAAGCCTTCCGAGCCTCGGCCTCGTACCCGGTGCCGGAGCTGAACACAAACACAGCGACTGCTCCATTCGCACACATGAACACGTTTGCCACGGGCTTCGGCTCCGACAAGTCGCTCAGCCACCCGGAGAGCCGTCTGCACTGGAAGAAGGACGTCCGCATGGCCATCTGGCACAATATTCCCGACGGCGACATTGGCAGCGCCAACGACGGCGGCGACGGCCTCAAGACGTTCCTCGCCGCAGCCAAGAGCGACCCAGAGCTACTCAGCAAGCCAGAAACATCCGTCTACATTGCCCTTGAAATCGGAAAGCAGCTCATGAAGCTGCTGCTGCGTCCCGACGACGACCTCGACATCACGCTGCCAGTGCAGCAACTGGGCCTCGACTCTTTGGTTGGAATTGAGCTGCGCAACTGGTGGAGACAGACGTTTGCCTTTGACATTAGTGTGCTCCAGCTGCTTGGCTTTGGCACCTTGGAGGAGCTGGGTCGCCAGGCGGTCAACGGATTGGCCAAGGCTGCTGGTGGTGGTAAATGACGGGAGAAGTCTTCTTCTTTTCAACCTGCTTTTTTTTCCTTTGTTCCGCGTAGCTTAATTTCTCCTATACTAGAACCAAATTGACCTTTGTGTTTTTTTTATAAATCAGCTTTCCGACTAGTGCGTGACTTTACGAGTGATTCTCTAGGTCTTTCCAAAGGCACAGCTTCATTACTCATGTGTCCAGATTTTCCGTACTTGCAGCTGTGGCAGAAACCAAGGACATGTGGCAAAGAACCACATGATGCAAGTGTCTCTCATCCACAGTGTGCCAATTAGTTAATAGGGAAACCATTTACCTGATCCCACACCTCACAGCCACACACACTCAAACAGGGAACTATAGTTCTCACTTTTCCTTGGCTTACTAAGGAGGCTTCTTCTCTTCCCAGTTTGCACTTGGTCCCGTTGGCATGCTGATGGCATGCATAAGATGCCAAGCCGCCGTTTCATCCCTTCTGGAGTAGGATTAGGAATTGCTGTTGTGGGCACGGAGTATGAGAGATGATGTTGTGGGCGTAGGGGTTTAGGGCGGGCTAGTTGGTCGTATTCTGAATGAATTGTACAGGTGTTGTAGACGAAGAGGTAAAAGACATGGCATAAAAGTAGGGTACGGATGCTACTTAGTGACGTCATGCACCGCGAACGCCATATACAGCACTACTTACCACTACCCCTAATAACCACGCTGCAGACATACCCGCAAGCCCAGATATACACATACACACGTATCTCCGCGGGGACCCCTCAATCCATCCTGTCGCCACATACCCAACCCCCATCCCCCGCATTTCCTCTCTCTCCTCCCATGCCAACGAGCACGAGCACGTGAAATACAAGTATGTACAAGAGCACAGCAAAGAAAAAAAGAACCAAGTATTCCAAGCAGGCTAAACTCTCTACACCAATACTCGGTCTAACCAACTTGGCTATCTTACCACACCCCCACCTAAAACAAGCCGCCCCCCCCCCCCACTTCGCTACCACCACTGCCTTGTTCCAGTAATAATGTAACATGGTAGGGTCCCATGGATTTTGCAACCTCGGGATACTTACGCGTGCGCGTACTCAACGGTGGTGGCGAGGCAGAGGGCGAAGCCACACACGTACACACACATACATACATACACACAGGTCAGGAGGGCGGCGGGGGGGGAGTGATAGGTATACGTTACTTTGGATTTTTCTTCTTCTCGAACTCATGGCGTGGGATGCGATGGGATGTAAGGGGAAGGGAGGGAAGGGGGAAGGGGGGGGGGCGGGATATCGGGGCATAGGTTGCCCACGCCAAAAGTCCGGGGTTGCGGATGTGCATGGGGGGGCGCACTCCGCGTTTATTCGGGTCACGCAGCCAAAACCAAGAAAAGAAAAAAGTCGTGAGCAGCAACAACCACACATTCCACGGCGCTCCCTTCGCACCTCCTCCTTGGACACACGCTCGCATCCCTCGATTCAGGCGTGCCACGCGCCCCTTCGGCCAAGGCCCGCCAGCCAAGGCACCGAGCGCAGCGGGGGGATCAAATCAAAAAAAAAAAATCAGGCGCACCGAATCCAGCAGGGCGCGCCAAGGCCGCCGAACGGGTAGTTATTATGAAGTAAAAAAAGGGCGCCCAGGCGGCACAGATGGCATGCCGGTTTCGCTTCCCCCCTGGAAGTGGTGGTGGTGGTGTCTTGGCTTTTTTTTTGATTTTGCTTTGCTTGAAAGCCTGAGGGCGGAGGGCGGAGGGGAAGCTAGTGTATGTATGTGGCACACCGACTTGGGAACTACCACTACTGTTACTGCTACCACTACTATCGTTACGACTACTGCTACTTACCTCCACTAGCCTTGGTTATCCTAGCTTCACTTACACCTATCCCTACGCCTACGACCACCCTACACCTACAGCCACTCCACTTCACCACGCCCACCCAAAGCATGCTCGACTTTCCGCCCGTCGTGCGCGTGGAGCTCCAGCCCATGCCGCACGAAGCGCACATCCGGCGGCCAGGCGAAGACTGGGCGGGCATCACGAATCCCAAGGAGAGAAAGCGGTTGCAGAACCGGTTGAATAAACGAGTTTGTACGTTGAAATATTCGTTTTTTTTTTGTTTCCCCCTTGTTTTCCTCTCGTCTGTCTCTCCCCGGGTCACTCTTCTGATTCCAGGGTCTGCTTAGTTGGGAGTGGTGCTGGGTTATTTTATTGTATTTGCCAGCGACGAAACCCCCACCCTCCTCCCCCCAAGCCCCCCAAATCTTCCTTTTTACTCTGCCTGGTGCAGTTCCCACGAGTCAATATGCTGCTAGATCGACATGGATAGAAGCTAACACGTGGACTTGTTTGCAGCGAGACAGCGCAAACGAACAATGTGCTACGAAGACGATTCCTCGGATTCCACGTGCTCGGGGGGTACATCGCCGGATGCCTTCTGCATGGACATCTGCGTTCCGAGTGCTGCAGTCGTTGTCAGTGCCATGGCTGCTGTTACTGAATCCAATTGTGCCTCGCCGGCGTCATCGTCGTCGTGCATCACCGTGTCGACATTCAGCCACTGCTCGCAGGCAGACGCCGCACAGAAGCGCGCTATGCTGGAGCGCTTCGCACAGCAAGCACTCGTCAGCTACATGACGGCAGATCCGTGTGCAGACCACCATTTGAAGCTTCTGCAGTTCAATACTATCAACGGGTTTACCAAGAACGCAGGAGCACTGGGCTACCAGTTCGACTGGCTGGTGTGCGCCGCGGTTTCGCCGTTTGGATGCAACGGGCCGGGCCGCAGCGCAGTCGGGCCTGCCGCCGCCGCAGTCGTGCCGAGTAGCCTCAAGCCGACGACGATGCAGTTGACGACTCGACACCATCCATGGCTGGATTTGTTCCCCTTCCCCCGCATGCGTGACAACCTGCTCATCGCCGCTGGTGTACTGTCACCGGAAGAAGAACAGCAGCTTTTCACCGATGTCATGGAGTCGGATGGCGGCAAGGACGAATGGACTGGCCTGGTGCTCTGGGGCGAGCCGTGGGATCCGCAGAGCTGGGAGGTCAGTCTTCCTTTTCTGAAGCGATGGGCCTGGCTCGTCAATGGGTGTCCGGAAATCATCACGTCGACGAATCATTGGCGACGGAAGAGGGGCGAAGATGCCATTTCGGCGCCGGGATTCGTGCTCGACGAGTATTAGTGACAAGGTTAGCAATGGTGATGGCGCTGGAAACAAGCAACAATAACTGTCATTTCTGGTCAATTAGTCAAATTAGAACGCTCGTTTAACGCATAGTTTGAATATAAAAATGAAAAATCCACCACCGCCGTCTGCTTGCATGAAGCAGCAATGCGAAGAATGCAAGGAATGGATACTACCGTTGAATTTAGCCGGATCCCACCCAAGAAGCAAGAAAATCAACATCATATTTCCCCCTTCAACACAGCACTCCAGTCCTCATCCCGAAAAAAGTCTTCCAGAGCAGTCGTCTTGATACCCAGCTCGGCCGGCGTCTTGACCTTGGGATTTCCGCCAGCATAGCCGTATTCGGCAAAGAATCTGACATCGTCGATAACGGTCGCCTCAAATCCCTCGGGTAGATACTTTACGTATTCGTCCTCGTCGACGTCTCTCACTTTTGCCTCGACTCCTAGCGTGCGGCCCCAGGTAGCTGCGTATTCGGGCTTAGTGAGGATCTCGCTGGCGCCCAGAACATCTGTTCCCGGTGGGTGATGAAGAACAAGTGCCTCAACAAACACGCCCGTGTCACGAGTCGCCACAACCTCGGGGTTCGCCTGGTGCCTGCCGGACGTCCTAAGGCGTACGTATTCAAACGTGCCATTGGGCAGCTTATGCGGCCGGAAGGCGGCTATGTCTCTCCACGTCTCCTGAAAGATGCCCATGGTAACAGTACTCAGACGGGAGCGCAGATCCGGCAGGCGTTCCCGCATGTAGCGCTCAGCAGCGGCCTTTGAGTCGAATTCGTATGCGTGCTTGTACTTGCCACCACTGATGCGCTGCACAGGAGCGAGGGTGGAAAAGATAAACTTGTCGAGCGTCGAAAGTACCTTCGGGTCAGATGCGGCCGTTGCCACATTGATAGCTTGCAGCGTTTCGAGATCTCCTGCGTACTCCTCAAATGACATTCCCGCTGCCTCTGCCTCGTCCTGCAGGGTCTTGTCCTCGCTAACACGCGTGAAGCACGTGGCCCAATCAGTTACAGCAAAGATGGCATTGGCGCCTTGGAAGGCTGCTTTGAGGGACTCCAAATCGTCGTAGTCGCCTTTGACCATCTCAACGCCTCGACGGCTCCATTCCTTGGCCTTGGCGGAGCCGGGGTTACGTGTTAGTCCGCGGACGCGCCATTCGGCGTGAGAGAGGAAGCGGTTTGCAACAGAGCCGCCCTAATGATTACCGAGACGTCAGTGGCTGTCTGAGCTGAGACGGCGCGTGGCCGAGGGGGGGAGCAATATACCTGCGTGCCAGTGGCGCCGAGGATGGTGATGAGTTTCTTAGGCATGATGGGATTTTGCGTGCTTGTAGTTGGGAATGTGCTTCACTTGGCTAGGCCGATTCCGAGACGTCAAGGCTGACGAGTGATGTATTTATGTTGACTCGACAAGATGCAAAGGGCTTAAGTGTTGAAGCGGCTCAGCAGCTGGATGACCTGGGGCGGCCCGCCATTGGCCAGGCCATACGAGAGCAGGATTTCTGCATTTGGCTGACACTGTGTGAGGGCAGTGTCACGAGCAGCCGGGAGGCATGCAGGTGAAGGACGCCGGCTCCACTTTGCTTTATACAGAGTGAAGGGGTGCCGTCGAGGCGTGGTGCATGCGGATGACATGGTCTGAGCGGGCCGGGGATGCATGCAGCTGACATGGAGGGGACGCGTGGAGACAGATGGACGGGGGGGTTGGCAGAGGGAGCAGGAGTGAGATGGAGTGGAGACAGAGGTGAAGGCGAGATGAGATGGAGGGGCGGACCCCACAGCGCCCCTCCCGCACTATGTAGCAGACGCCCAGGCCACGCCCAGCATGCGCCTACAACTCACATGCATCGTCTGAAGAGATGGCCCGATGGCCCGCCCCGGATGCGCCACATGCCTGTTCCCGCTCTCTGTCTAGGGCGCAAGCGGAAGCCGGCGACAGCATGTGAATAAGGCCCATCAGACTGGGTAGAGGTAAGTAACAGGCACCGTCCATGCGTGCAGCACACCGTCTGGGCCGAGCGTGTGGTTTCTGCTCACACCAAGCAGACGACCGTTCGAGCAATTGCTGATATATGCCTTTTGCCCAGTGCCCGCTTGACAGACACAGTCAGCAAGCTCGTCTTAGCATCCAGAGCTCCTTTTCTGAAACAATACATGGCCATTGGCGCGCAGGCTTGATTGGTAGGGTTCGTGGGAGGCCTTGCATGCCTATTCCATCCTTCGGGGATGTGAATATGGACATGCAAAGTCCCATCTTACGCCTCCAAACTGCTGTGCGACTTGGCAACAATGGCATACAAGAATGGCTGCGCCTATATAGCCAACTTGTCGAGCTTGCTTGAGTATACCGTTACACACTTAGCAGCAACATTCCCGCCTAGTCTCTCAGTCTGCAGCCCAACGAGACACCCATCTCCTTTTATATCATCTTCTATCCAAAGACACTGCAGCCATGCCCGCCCCTTCCGGTGTCCGGCTGCGTGACAGTTGTCAGGCGTGTGCAGCCTCCAAAACACGATGCTCAAAAGAAAAACCTCAGTGCAACCGATGCGCAAAGAGGGGCACAACGTGCCAGTACCTGGTGACACAGAGAACCGGCAGAAAGGCTGGCCCGCGCAGTGACTCCAAAGACGACAGCAATACCACACACCGGCCAGCTCTCAGCCGCACACCGACGCCCAAGTCGCCATCAATACGCTCGTCTATAGAGCAAGAAACACAGCCCGAACTCTCCGTGCTCACCTCGCGGCTCGATGCACTCGAAGCAGCCATGATGCCCTCCAACAACGACTGCTTCTCCATGCTCATGTCAGACGTCGACTTCTCCACGCCAGCCCAGCCCTACGACCCAGCGGACCCATCAGACATTACACAAGATTACATGCTTGGCATGCCGCATAGCCATAGTGGCAATCATGAAATGCCATACTATAGCGACAGCTTGGCTGCAGACGGTTCGGCCTCGGCCCAGCACGACCTGCCTTTTCGGTCAGGCCCGTCTTCGCTTCCCCCCTCCTACTCGCTACCGTACGAGCAACTCGTCCAAGAACTAAGCCACACCCCCATGCAAACTATGCCCCAACAGCAAGAAGGCATCACGTTGGCGCTGCAGCTCATGGGTCAGCTCTGCTGCTTGGAACAACGCCCTGCATACGCCAATCTGTCGCCTTTGGAACGCGAGCACTGGATCAACACGCTCGCCGACAAATGCAGAAAGGTCACATCGACTGTCAGTGACATGCTGAATTGCCACAGCTCCAAAGACGGCTACTTTTTGACTGTCGTCTGCCTGGTCATGTCAAAGGTGCTGGATGCCTACGTCCAGGCAGCCCAAGCATTGAGTGCTCGCGGACTGGGGGACCGGAGGTTATCTCACTCATCATCATCCTCGTCGACCGTTTCCGTCATGTCCACCACAGAATCAGAGACGTCGTACGCCAGCACCTCGCGCTCAGCGAGAGAGGGCGACGCAAAAGCCATCCAGCAGCTTTTGGATGAACTATACCAAGTCCGTGCTTCCATGGACCTTTTAGGCACAAAGGTTGCCTCTATGCCTTCCTCGTATGATTCTCTAGCAACAGCGGTACCCTTTTCCCCGGATGTTCTGAACAAGCTGTACGATGAGCAGCGGAGGCGGCTAAAGACAATATCCTTGCAGTTGATTAATAGTTTAAAGGCGTTTTGGGTAGAGGAGCATTCATTTTAGTCAACGATTATCATTTGGTTGATACCCGGTAGATAAAATATACAAATAAGCATTCTTACCATACTAGAGGAGTTGCACATGTGAACGCGAAATGTGTGGATCTGGTGGTAATGATATCACGTGACTCAATGGACGACGAATGATATGCAAGGGCCATACCAAAGAGTATCCACATCATCGGCTATTAGATGAAATCGAACAATCTGAACAGGTTGAGAGTGCATGTGACATTGTGCTGATCAAACAACAATAGTCGTTCAAAAATAGCTCCAACAAACAACAAAAATGCATACATTTTACAAGCATAACTAGCCCCACCACAAAGTGCGCGCGACCACAAAGTGCGCGCGCGGCCTCACCAAAACTACCTTAAAAACGAGGCTATAGAGCCACACCAAATAGATATTATCACGATATATTTTGGTGGTGAGATCAATAGGCTTTAATATATATATACAGCTATAGAAATCGAGACGGAGTTCTAATCGCGCGGCCGCGACGCGAGGTTGGAGGTGGTGAGCTTGCAGCACCTCCCTGAGGCTCCTCACCACCTTGAGGCCTCGCGATAGGCTTCTTTTCTTGAGTAGCCTTTGCAGGAGCCATGAAGCTCCTTCTCCTACCCCTTTGAGAAGTTTTAATAGCTTTTTGAAGTTGTTTTGCAGCCTTGCGAGCCGCGATCCTTGAGGCCTTTTCAATAGCCTTCTCCTCCCTCTCCTTCTGCCTCATTAGACTTACTGCAAGCCTCGCCTGACGCCTCTGCTCCTTCTCCCTCGCCCTAACCTGCCTTGTCTCCTCACGCTGTCTTCTCGTATCAGCCTTTTGGAGTTGCAGTTGCTCCTCCTCCTCCTCCTGGAGTTGTAGGCGATCGCGCGCCTCCTTCACCTTCCTTGGAGACCAGAATACAGCTCCACCATGATACTCCTCAGCCTCCTGTAGGGGTAGAGGCTTACCTCGTTTCCTACGTGTTCTCTCATTAACTAGAGCCTCTCTCAGCTTCCTTACTTCATCCTTGAGGAGACTGTTTTGACCGAACTCGAGGTGAGGGACCTGGCTGAGCTTTTT